ACACGAATGAAAGTTGTATATTTACAAGCCCACGCACACATAGGGCCGCGCGCACAACTGAGTTGAACTATCCATAATAGTCGTGATTTTACATCGATCATACTCGAATTTGAAGTACTGTCTATAGAAAACTGTTGTCAAGAGGCCGATGCGTTGATGGAAACAACACAACACTTTCAACAATGTGTTTATTTGCGCACTTAGTTATATTTAATAGGTATTTAGAGCACTTATATTATTACAATGTTCTCTTTAATTTGGTTACAAATTCTAATATAATCAGGCTAAATAGGTATACAATAAATTCAATCAATGAATCGTCCTACCCCAAGTCAATTGTTGTACGGCCTGATGCAATTTGTGCCTTAACCCTTTATTCATTGAGGTCACTATCACGCCTTTCTTCAAGTCATGAGGCTATCCAGCTCAAGGTTGACCTACATTACTTTTACCCTGTTTTATATTAGGTATAGACTAAACTTAGGTTTTATTACTCCTAGCTGTATTAGCATGTTATTTAATTAATCGAGTGAAAGTTCAATGGTTGTTTCCGATTTCGAAGAAAGCTATTGTTTGTAAATCTTTGCCTACTGACCTACGGAAATACGAGGTCAGTGTCTCCCTATTATACACATAATTTATTGGGAAAACGCTCTGTTTTTATTTTATTTTATTTTTATTTAATTGGTACAGTTACAGACAATAGGTCATGCCTCACACAGTAACAAGTAACAACGTACAATTTCAAATCTGAAACCCAATTAAAACTATACACATAATTCACAATCGCGATGATATATTATTAAATGAGAAAATGAGATGCAGCAAATTGGCTAATTAGTTATATCTACAAATGTGTTACTAATATTTTACATTGATAGGTTTATATTATATTTATACTATCATTAAAAATATCTATTTGAGAACATACATTCGAAAAACAGGATTATTGCGCGAAACATTGTTGTTGCTAGTTGGTATAGTAAACAGTTTAATAAATATTAGGCAGTTTACGTATCCACCCGTGTGGTGATGGATTAAGATTACCACCACCAGTGCCACCACCCCTATTCATCATGTGGGTGTCGTAAGAGTCGACTAAGAGAGTAAACTACGCAGGACAACAGCACTGCAAGAAGGCAAAACTTCCAACAAACCCTATACCAACTCGTCTGGCCAGCGTGGCATAGTAGGCCAAACCCTCCTTTCTAAGAGAGAGGCCTATGTGGACATAATAGACAGTAGACTAGTAAAGGCTGTTAATGATGATGATGAGTGTATAAGTGAGTATTTACTTACTAAGATGAGTATATAATTATTTATAATACTGGTTACGCAAAGCGGTTTATCAGATTCAGTAAAACGTGTATCCCACGGGAACACGGGTTAATGGCGTTAATTGGGTCAGCTGATTGAGCGTGTAGAAATAACAAACACACACACACTCACACACTTTAGCCTTTATTATATTAGTGTGATTGTCTTACACACTGATCAAATAAATAAGTTTAAAATGGATAGTATAGCGAAAACCAGAATGTAAAAAGTCTCGATTTTAGTAAGTTTCTAGTTGAGAAAGCGACTGTAACTTTAACTTATTTTCTGTACCCCTACACTACTTTGTGAATGTCGTTCACTCTTTGTCTTCCAGTCACACTAAAGAGGAATATTGCTGTACACTGTATCCTCATAATCTTTTCTTAGAATGCTAGAAATTATCGTCCACAATGTTGTAAGGCACTTTGCTAAAGTTCTGTGATTTTTTGCTCTTGTATTTTTTTTTTTAAAGACAACTCCCGCATTAGCAATATATCCTGTGTCGTGGGAACCGGACACAAAGAACATTCAGACTCAGAACAACAAGCTGTGGATCGCACAAAGTGACGTCCCATGTGGGGTTTGAACCCACAGCTTAAACCACTATACCGTCACTGCAGTTTCAAACATTACGCATCAGATCAACAGCCTTTAATAGTCCACTGCTGGACATATAGACCGGCAGCTAGCGACAGAAGCTCAAAACCGATATTCTCACTCATGCCTCTCAGAGTATTGAAAGTATTATCAGAGATAAGTAGAATAATTGTAAAAATCCGCTTCGCAGTAGTATTCTCGGTGCGAACTCTACCATCCCACGACTTTGCAAACTGATCAATAGTTGCCAAAGTGACTCACTTACAAAATTCCGCAGTACCATACAAAATGCTTTTTAAAAGGTACTTTATTTGATTCTATCTGTTTTTGCCAAAACCTACTTGTATTATTTAGCATAAGCATAAAATAATTATTGTTTATAGCGCATGAGGTGCTTACCTACAAGTAATTGTAACACTATGCCACTTCATACTCATTGTAATATGTCTTTAAATGTTAATTGTTGGTGAGCCAAATAAATTAATAAATTAATAAAATTGAGCGGTGCCCGCGGGGCCAAGTGTTTTTAAATAAATTTTGATTTTGTAAGGAATTTTTGCTTTGTTCGACAATTATGTCACTTATGCTACTATCGTAAAACGATAGTTAAGCACCGACTAAATGATTGATGAACTAGGCTTAAGTGCAGCAAGGGATCTAAGTTGATCGAATGATTAGTTTTAATTTACATTAAAGCTAATCAGTATCAGTTAATTAAAGAGTTGTGGTTTTTTATGCTTTGGAAGTCACTAATTATAGATAATCAAAGTGCATTAATCTATACTAATATTATAAATCTGAAAACTTTGTTTGCATATCTATTTGAACTCGCTAATCTCAGGAACTACTGTTCCGAACGATGACGGCAAGGTCAAACACTCGTTTGCTGCTTTAGTAAAAAATAAACATTAACTTTAGACTAAAATGTAAAAGAAAAATATAAACTACTACCTAAGTATTGGTAAAGACGAAAAACAAAAGAATTAAAATAAAATGTGTACCGACCACTCCAGGTATAGAAATACCAGTTAAAAGTTGGAGTGTAGTAAACAAAAACATTCAGATGGCTACAATGTGTTACAATGTAGCGTGCTGAATGTCGTCCGTTATGGACAAAGCTATGAGACCTCACAATATACCTAATAGACATTATCCTAGAACGGTACAAGTCATGGGCGGTCAGGTTTAAACTATCTCAGGGTTCTTATATTAGCTCATTTATTTGAGTTAATTTGAGATGGTAATATTGCCGGTCGGTTGGCAAGCACACCTTTAAATGTCGTTTTTATATTAAAAAATATATATTTTAACAGCTAAGAAAATACATGCCATTCCATCATTTAAGCGTTGTGAACACACAGACGATAATATCTTTATTTAAGTCATTCTTTTTTTTCTATATTTCACATTCTTGTATATTTCAAACAATAAGAAGCAGGTATTAAATACCTGTTTCTGTAATGTTACTGTACTAAAAAAACTTTGATTTAAATGTGAAAAGAATTAAAAACGAAAACAGAATACAAGTTTGTAGGTCCTGGCCCCTGTGTATTGTCCTCCAAAATACATAAAAAGATTCATCACAGCTTCTGATATGACGATTAAAAGTAGATTAAAATACACAAGTTTTGTTTGTAAAGTTTTGTTTAGTAAGTGGCAATGGGAAGCTAAAAAACCTACCCAATTTTATTCGCAGGTCAGCACGATCTTACATTGCAAGGATTTTGGTTGGACCTTCTGCCACCTGTCTTAAGCCACAAAATCGCGAAGCGAATGCTATCATCCGCCTCTTATAACATACATCCTCAACTAATAAGTAACAAAATACATTGAAGTTTTTACAATGTTTGGTGGTACCGGACAACGCGTACGTTGACACACTGTTCTGTTTTATTGCGCATTGCGAACCGTTGCCGGTTGTGTTGCCATGCGGTAGACCATCGCGGGGACGGGGATTTATGTTATTACTTCTACTTTGTTATATATATATATACAATAATATACATATATATAAATAATAGGGCTATTTTTGTCATAACGCTTATTTCAAGTTCTTACTCTTTGCCGCACAATTTTTTGTAGCTAATTCCTTGATCGTATACCATATGGCAATCAATAGTGTCTTAATAAGAGAATTAACTCGTTCAATACATATCATAATACACAGGCAACAGGCAGACGATACAGATTCATCATCTCATATCCGTTTTAATAATTAATTAAATGTGCTTAAATTATGAAACGCGAAGTTAAAAGTTTATTATCAATTGTTTTATAAATGTAACATTTAAAATAGTTATAACTTAACACATCTCACATACGACCGTCTGATTCCAACCTCAGGCGTCAGTGCCTGTTCTATAATAATCAGACTGCTAATAAACATACTTATATATTGTTATATACATACACAATTATAGGTAAACTACACCCAGATACAGGCAAACCGATAGCTGGTATAAAAGAAATAATTAAAAGTTTACCAATAAAAGCAGAAGAACAGCTTATTTCATACGAGTTTTATTCATTCCACAGTTCTAATACATTTATTTTACATTAGGATATTTTTTCACGAGAAACTTTAAACAAAGAATATTTTATGATTTTGTTACGCTCTGGTTTTTCTTAAAAATTTTATTTGCATATCGCGTGTTTGCTTTAGCGACCGTTACCATACAATCTTTTTTTATGAAACGGGGCAAACGAGCAGACGGGTCACCTGATGGAAAGTGACTACCACCGCCCATGAACGCATGCAACTCAGGAGTCACTAGCGCGTTGCCGGCCCTTTAAGGAAAGTGTACGCTCTTTTCTTGAAGGTTTAAAGGTCGAATCTGTCCGGAAATACCGCAGACGACAATTCTTATTATTCTTTTAATAAGACATCTCCCGCACTATGAATATATCCCGTGTCGCGGGGACTTTACAAACATACATGAAAAGGACACAAAGAACACCCAGATTTAGAATGACAATCGTCCCATGTGGGGGTCGAACCCACAACACTCAGCGTAGTACGCTGTGCAGTCAATTTGTTCCACAGTCTATTTGAGTTATATTTATATTCTTATGTATTTTGGTTACAGATGCTGCAGGAGAGAAGGCTGTGCATCTTAGACTCGGAGCTGTCGGAGTTGGATGTATTCGAAAGGCTCATGAGATTTGCAGGAGCACAGCTGCGTCTATTAAAGTGCTTCCAGGTAACCACCCAATCAAACCGTATAAAAAAATATCCCTTTCCTAAAATTACTTGTCGTTGTCTTGTCAATCCTTCCTGTAGTTCCTGAAGTTAAGGGCAATAGGCTACCCCTATAATGGTACTAAAACTGTAGTTGGCAATATGTAAGGCCCGTCCGCACATAGATATTTCACCGCGCGTTTTTTCTGCAAAATTCTGTGACACATGGGATTTATATAGGACTACACTGGCGGAAAAAAAATTGCATGAAAAAAATCGGTCTTATGATACAAAGGCTCTGAAAGTTGGCCCATTAAGAGAACGGATGAGAGACGCCTGAACGTAGCCGAAATGCGAATGCTGAGATGGATGTGTGGTGTGACTCAGATGGACAAGGTTAGGAATGAATATATACGAGGGAGTCTGAAAGTAGCGCCACTGGATAAAAAGTTAAGAAGTAATAGGTTATCTTGGTATGGACAAGTCATGCGGAGGGATGAGGAAAATGTGGTGAAGAAAGTTTTAGGTATGAGAGTTGAAGGGTACAAGAGAAGAGGCAGACCGAAGAAGAGGTGGATGGACTGCGTCAGTGAGGATATGGCTAGGAAGGGAGTAAACAGTGAGATGACACATGACAGAGTAGAATGGAAAAATCATACATACTGCGCCGACCCCAAATAAAATTGGGAAAAGGGTAGGCAGATGATGATACAAAATGAACGCGATACGATGGCGATTTATTTCCAAAGAATTTTGCAAAAAAAATAGACATATAGGGAGTTTATTGTTATCCTTTTAACCATATGAACTAGTTAGTTAGGTGTTCAGATCTAAAATGCATCGGTGGTCACTTACCGTCAGGTGACCGGTATGCTTGTGTGCTCCCTATATCACTCAATAAATCAATATTTTTATCTTGCCTTGTTGTCTTAAACAGTTAAATGGCAACACTATTTATTTACTGCATGTGAACGCCCATAATTACTTACTAATGACTGCACTTTGTGAGATCTACAAACTGTTACACACTTTGTTGTGTGTTTGGGTATTTCATGTATGTTTGTAAAGTGCCCCGCGACAGGATATTTTTCCAATGCGGGAGTTGTCTTAAAAAATAACTATGAGTTGACTATCAGAATTTATGTTTGTAACCAAAGAGTTACGTTATTTCCTAACCGATTTGAAACAACTTTTGCAGATAATCTGTCCCATTTCCCATTCAATAGGTCAGTTTAAATTCTAAAAGAAAACTACCTTCCGTGAGGCTGAAAATAGGAAATTAAGAAAACAGTTTGTTTCAGTTCATCAGTTTATAACATACATACAGATGTAGCCTTTTTGGCCTCATTGTTAACTAATAATGAGGCCAAAAAGCTAATACCATCTCTATAAAGAGGAATGAAACTTTAAAGAAATTGAACTAGAAAAAAATTAAATATTTGCGTGTTTATAATGGTGCCAATTATGTTGTTACAAGACTCCAAACTAATTAGATGAAAAATCACTAAAACTTAGTTTAGACCTGCCGAATGTTGTTTCGTATACTTATGTAGGACTTTAGTCCTATTATTTTGGTTTGAAATAAATTAAAATTCGGTAAATTATTCAAAATATTCTATATTTGATTTTTTTTCTGTTCTACGTTCTTGATTGTTTCAAATTATTGTCTCAAATTAGAAACATTTGACTGACATGACATATTATAATAATATAAATACATGCAGAAAATCTTTTTTTGGTGTGTATTAATTACTTTGCATTTTTTTTATTGTTAATCATATTTTGGCCACTAATATGATGAATATCGAATATGTGATTTTAGCAGAGGTCACTTCAACGGAAAGGTAAATCCCATCAAAAAGATAACATATAAAAAACCCAATTGCAATTGTTTTTCTATCGCAAGAACTAATTGTTGTTTAATTTGTAACACATGTCATATCATATATTTAATAAATATAATAATTAATAAGCCATCGTTGGGCAACGTAACCACATACGCATTAATTACTATTTAAAGTTCTAATTGATCATAACTCTAGCAAAATGTACGCTAACATATTGGCTAATCATTCTAATTTTAGAGGAATGTTAGTTTAGTTAAGTGGACAACAGAATCAGCACCCTTATCAGGTTTGAATTACGTGGTATAAAAGCTTTCGTGTTACACGGAATATGGCGGCAATTAATACCTAAATAATCTAATCTTACATCGATTTATTTCAACTGTGAGGTTTGTAAAACATTCAGACAGAAAAAAAACCTGCCATCTATTACACATTATCGTAAATGTAATGAATATGGTACTTATGTTTTATCGTCCAAGAGTGAGATGTTACTAACTGTGGGTGGGTTGGTTTCACTTAGAAAAGTACCGAAGCATCTTAGAGAAATTCCTTTGCTGGTAATCCCCGATCAGAACTACAAGTAATTCTTCATTGGATAGGGCGAATTCCACTATAATTTACTCATTAGGGATCATTGTCTTTCCGCGACTATTTACAGAAATTTTATAAACAATCATTAATAGCAGAGCGTATTTGGTCCTTCGAATTGTCGAAGGACCAAATATCCTGCAAATATATGCCTACCTTATTCATTAGGTAAGGATTTAGGGTTGAATTTAGAGCCTCCTAAAAGAGTCAGTTAATAGCGTACTGAAAATCCTATCTTACAATTACTGAAAACAAGAAAACAAATATTTATTTTCCTAAAACATTTTCAAATTGAAACTCCTTGCTCCCGCGTATACAAGACTACAACAGTGCCTGTGTACATCTGAAGTAGTATGTTTACATCTTTACCAATGTCATACCAATCATGTGTGATGTACGCAGTTGCATCGGGGTTACCACCTTATTAAATCATGTTGCATTTTTTTTTTTAAAACTGGTGTAGTATCTTGTAGCAAATCTTATTAAAACTTATTAAAATAAGTTTCACTGAGCAATGAGTTTCACCCTGCACTTAATGTCAATTTGAAAATGTTTTATGAAAATAAATATTTGTTTTCTTGTTTTCAGTAGTTGTAAGATGGGATTTTCAGTACGCTATTAACTGATGTTTTGGGAGGCTCTAAATTCAACCCTAAATCCTTACCTAATGAATAAGGTAGGCATATATTTGCGTACGCTCTGCTATTAATGATTGCTTATAAAAGGTCCGTAAAAAGTTGCGAAAAGACAATGATCCCTAATGAGTAAATTATAGTGGAATTCGCCCTATCCAATGAACAATTACTTGTAGTTCTGACCGGGGATTACCAGCAAAGGAATTGCTCTAAGATGCTTCGGTACTTTTATAAGTGAAACCAACCCACCCACCGTTAGTAACGTCTCATTCTTGGACGATATAACATAACGTAATGTAAGATTTTTTTGTATTATGTACAATTTTGCGAGATTCATAAGTTAAATGTCAGTGTTTTACATTTATAGATCTGCAGAATCCTTACTGTACCTGTGTTGCCCTCAACATGAAATGCAGTTACAGTTAAAAGTTAACTAATTAATCACTCTGACAGATTATTTTTGTTCTGAGTCGCCAAATGCTTAAACGAACTGTCTGATCTAATATTCAGTAAGGGAGTAAATAGTATTTTCTTAGGAGTGTAAAAATACTCAATACCTTATTGCTTCCACAATGTAAATACATAGGTGATATCAATTTAAATATAGTAACAATTATGAACCCTGACGGGCGCAGCAGTTTGTTTGGGCACAATCTTCTTTATCGTCACATGAGATTAAGTGAGTTCCCGATCCCCACATGGGACGACAATTTGTGTGATCCACATATTTTTGTTCTGAGTCTGGGTGTTCTTTGTGTCCGTTTCATGTATGTTTGTAAAGTCCCCCGCGACACAGAATATATTCCTTATGCGGAAATTGTTTTTTTTTTTATAAAAAAAAACATCATTTAAAGGGCGGCAACAAACTTGTACCTCTTGCGTTACGCGGCAGTAGACACCTACTATCCGGTCACCGATCTGCTGCTCGTTTGCCCCTAGAATAAAAAAAAAACTATTTACTATCGGAACTCTTCACTTTATTCTTTAAATTTCCTCTTTTTTAACTGTTTATAGTTTATTTACTGAAAAGACAGAATAACAATCGATTGAGTTCTTTTTATTTCTCTCGGGAACAGCACTAATAAGTTCAAATAAGAAAACAAATACCATGCGATGAGTAGACGTCCAACATTGTACTGCTCAATTTATTCCGTTTCAACCCTAGCGTATAATCACCGCAGATGTTTGCGCCTGCGCAGCACAATGACACCATCACCCTACAGCTATGTCATCTGTCATCTACGTCACTTACATATATTATATTTGCATGTTTATATGTCGTATGTCCATAATAGCTATTGTAATGTTCTCAAACTGTTATAAGCTATTATGAGATACATTGTGTGTGTTTTTTTTTAGAATTATAACCAGTATAGTGGGAGGATTTCTTTATATCACTCATTTTAGTCATTGTCCTAACCTATTTCCAATTTCTTGTTTTTTATTATTTTCTATATTTTTGTATTAGCAAGGAGCAAGAGATGTTTAATAAATTTTAAATATATATAATTAAAAAGCTTATTGTTAATTAAATAGCAGTTGAAAATGGTCTATAATTTTAGTAATAGCAAGGAGCAAGAACTGGTCGATAAATTTTAAACATATATAATTAAATTTCTTACTTTGATTAAATAGCAGTTTTAGGTAATGAGGAAGACCCCAGTTCCAATTAGAGTCGACCGCCTCTTATTGAATTTTGTAAAATTGTCCGGTTATGGTTATTCAAAGGTATGTAACCAGTGAAAAATCGATACATCTGGAATCAGCATACTAAACATTATAATTGTACTTATATTCGAATTTAACGATTAATATTATTTAAAACTATAGCAAAAAGTTAACACAATGCTTCTTAAGCCAAGGTTGCAAATTCGTAACAAATTATTTTATAATATACAAATTGTACCAAAAAAATTGTTGTTATTCAAAGGTTATTTAAAAATAAAAACTACCTTTTATTAATTTTACAACATCTATATTCAATTGCGTTTTATTTATTTTCGCCACAACTGCTGACAACTATTTGTGCCATAAGCACGATCGTGAAAAGAAGGAAAACTTGAAACAAGCTGTTTACCAACCCGTGTTCATATAGCCTTCCTCGGTAAATGGGCTATCCAGCACTAAAATATTTTTTCCTTTCGAACCAATATTTCCTGAGATTAGCGGGTTTAACGAACCAAATAAACTCTAATCTATTCTAATATTATAAAGCTGAAGAGTTTGTTTGTTTGTTTGAACGCGCTAATCTCAGGAACTACTGGTCCGATTTGAAAAATTCTTTGATAGATTTGATAGATTTCAGTGTTAGATAGCCCATTTATCGAGGTAGGCTATAGGCTATATATCATCACGCCTTTAGGAGCGGAGCACTAATGAAGAATGTTTCAAAAACGGAGAAAAATTATTACTATTGAGAGACGCAGACGAAGTTGCGCGGGTCAGCTAGTATTAGTATAAACATTTATCAACAGTCTGGTTAATATATAACAGGCTCTATCTAGTTCGGGATAAGACGGTCGTGTGTGAGATGCGTTAAGGTTATTACTTTTATATTTCTGCCTATCTATATAATATTTAAATTTAGTTTTACCGACTTCAAGACCCTCCAATAACTTGAAATTTTGCACACGTATCAATGTCAGATAATAATTGACAATACATTGGTCTTTTACCTTGTTATTGCTTCGTCAGTAAACGTTAAATTTGTAACCATTTTTAGCGAATATTCAAGCGATACTTAAATATAAGTGGTCCTTGTCTCGTTTTGTCACATTCACGCACACTTAAGCAGTGACAGTGATAAACACCAATGAATGTCACTTGTCACGATTCCTCATTTATCAGATTATACGAGTATTTTAGACGATATACATGATCAGATGAACATATATCGTATATGTCCCTGTATATACATACCTATAAGGTTATTTCCGAAATTGTGATTTTTATTTATTTCAAAATCTATCTGTGCTAAATTTCATCCTGAAGTTTTCAGCCATTTTGGCGTTATTGAGTAACGCACATCCACCATAATATCCAACCTTACATTTTGTTACGGATTTACATGTATGCACAAAACTGGCAATTTTAAGGTAAACTGCCAATATTAAAACAAATGTGACACTATTTCATTGAGTATTACATAGCAACAGATCAGGGCCTCAAGCCACTGTCATTTCATTGACCCGCCTTTGAGACGCCATTTGAGATGATTTATACCGATGTTAATGACATCGGTCAAAATATTGGTATTCAACTCATATCATTTTCTTACAATTTAAATTGTACCGTTTACCAAACTATTACAAAGACAGCGACGACATTTGTATCAGTGACAAGTCATCACAGAGGCCATTGGTCTTACATAGTTAATGGAATACGAAAAGTGCAAAACTATGCAATATTAAAATAGCAGAATTGAGGCCCAGTTCAAATCTTTAAAACGCTCTCGTGTAAACTGAGGGCCTTGTGTAAGTTTAGCGGTTCGGCGTTGTGATTGGTGCAGATTTCAGTGCGGGCCAATCACAACGCCGAACGCACTCACCGTGACGATCGAGTGAAGTGAGTAAACATACACTAGGCCATTGCCTTGTCTTTAACCGTGAAAGAGCCCTACTGCAAGATATTATAAATGCCGGCCTCACAGAAGACCAGTATTTAGCAATTCTCTCGTTGTTCGTCACCGAATGAGTGAGGTTACTAGAAGCTCAACCCTCGCCGTCTTCCTAATTCAAGGGAAAGGGCACTCCTTGGGTGGTAACACACTTGTATTTTGAGTTGCATTTGTTCTGGCAAATCGTCTGACCACTATATTATAAAAAAATGGTGTCTTCAGACTCGTCGCTGTTGGATATAAACATCGTCGCATACATAGGTTTCTATAAAAAATTTAGTAACGAAATTGACTGCTCCGAACTTTCATCTTAGTTTATTATTAATATTCCTTCAAGAATTTGCTTAAACCCACCGATGAGTGTACCATTTGCATTGACGAACTATAGAAAAAATATTTTGTTGTTCTTGCCTCAATAGTGTGCGTGATCAATTTGGTATTGATAGTTATAATGTAGTGTATCGGGAGCGAGGAGGTGTTTAAGCCTTAAATTCTTCAAGGGTAATGGTGAGGGGTCCGAGTAATTATAGTCCTGTGTAATGTGTAAGTGTATCTGTGCCTTTAACATACATAATACCTGTTGATAATACCCTGTATTGTCTTGTGAACTGTAACTTAACTCTGATTTATATAAGTGAGGATTTGTAATTGGCTATCTGTTTTCTTGACTGCTTTTATTCTGATCATCATAACTGTAAATCCTCCATAGTATGTAATAAATAAATAAAAAGTTGTACAAAGTCCAGGTATACCTAAAGTCAATTCGTGATCCTAAATAACAAGAAGAGATCTCCCGTGATGCCGCCTCATGTTTCCATAAACAACATAAAGCTGATTTTATCTCGACAGTTAAACGTCGAATCATCGTTTGGTGTCAGGATCTCATCTAGTATTGCATGTCATCTCACGATGTTTATAGAACATTGGTTTATGATTTCAAGTAACGTTATAACAGTGGGATTCAAAAGCCTGACCTCAGATTATTACTACCTATTATATATGTATATATTACGACTTAAAAAGTCACGGTTCCCCACAATGAACTCTTTCACACACATGCTTCGGCACAAAATGGGAGTGATAGAACGACCTCACAGAAAACCAGTGTTAAGTAATACTGTTGTTGCTTGCTAATCACAGTCACATTTATCGTATCGTCTTGTAGAGCTTTTTTTTTAATTCGGCTTGTTTTTAAATCTATTTGTAAAACTATTTTTATTTGGGAAAGGCTAGGAAAATATGTAATATGCCTGTCAAGAGTTGTCAAAAAAGCTTTGCGTTATTTCAGCTTGCAGTTGCTACTTTAATCTGATTACCGTATTACTATTAAGTGATTACCAAATTACGACACTTTATTGGACAGTATTTCCACTACTTGAAAAAAATGTCTGTAAAATGGTAACACTAAACTGATAAAGGAAATTAAAATAATCATATAAGCTTATAATATTTTTCTTTCTGACTTGGACAACAACTTTGGTTTCAAAACACGTAGATATTTACTAGAATTAGTTTCCTATGAATGACATTTTAAGACGCTCAAATTATACTCAACTACGAATTCGCCATTGTTCTTTGGTATGAAGATGCTTTGATTTTTGAGAAAAGACATCTCGATAACCAACATACACGCGGCGTAAAATATTTAGTAAGTTTGTCGGTTCAAACTTTACATTAAAATAAATAAAAAACAAAAGAAGAACCTGTCTTATATCAGAAGCCTGTGTGTTAGATGTTTCAAAGTTTAATCTTACTATTTTGTAGATTCGTCCGCTACATATTCAGTTAATAAACAATAAAACATCTTGACCCCATGGCGTCAGCTGTTAAGTCAATATTAATAAAATCAATGATGTTATTTATATATTTTTGTTACCTGTTCAGCTCAGATGGCAATGAACCTAGCAAACAAGAATACAACATTTAGGATGACCGTCTTTTGTACGGTCGCTAAACATTCTGCGACTGATGGCTCTACTTCTTTTGTTTTTTTATTTTATTTTTTGACTACTAGCCGTTTAAGCGCAATAACATATTGTTTACTTTGCTTTTAAGAGTCTATTATATAAATATACAGGGTGTAAGGGACGTCGTAACGAATACTGAAATAGTGTATTCAGACCTCATTCCGAGTCTAAAATCATTGGAATTTTCTGCCGGAAAATTAAACTTTTTATGCAATCAGCTGTCAAAGGTTAAGGTCATTCCCCGTAGATATCGCACCAAAGTATAACTACATGTGTATTCCGCGCAAACAGTCTACGCACACTAACACAAAATGGCGGCCGGAGGAGAGGCCCCGCGCGCCTCGGCTGTTTGATTAATTACATTGCAGTTTTTTGGTATTTACTAATTTGTTTCGGCAGAAAATTCCAATGATTTTCGACTCAGAATCATGGTCTGAAAACACTATTTCAGTATTCGGTACGATATCCCTTACACTTTGTATATATTCTATAGCATTTGTTATATATATATATCTATTATTATATGCTAGTTATTTTTATCTATTATTAAGATTATATCTAATACAAAAATAATAATTCAAATCTGACTAATATTCCAAAAAGCTCTTCAGCTGAACTACATTAGTATACGCAGTGTAACAGATTTTATTTTTTAACAATTTCCAGGCAGTTATCGAGCATGGATCCAAATTGTCAGCGGAGTTGGCAAGAAATTATCTTGACATGTGTGACGCCGCCAAACGCTCGAAGGACTCATTAATACACCTTGGGCTTAGACTGGGTAAGTCCAATGTATTTTGAACCTTATTATTTACTAACTCGAATATAATGCAATCCTGTTACTTCATTTACTGGTTAATATCACTTCAGCTTTGCTTATTCATAATATAAGTAACCCTGAGGCAATACAACTTTTTGGTAGTAAGACCAGTTAGACAGTAAAAGTCCTGTGATGTTCAGAAGAGGAACAGACTTGTTTGAAAGTTGAGTAAGCCCGCGTGAAGATAGAAACAAGTGCAATTCATTTATTGGTTGAATAATTACTAGGTTTCATTTACTACCTTACTGAAGCAAATCAAATAAACTGTCCGGCTCGAGACGAATGATTCCGTTGCATCACATAATAGCCGTGTTTAGCAATTTTTAAGTTGTTTTTCACCGAGTGAGTGAGGTTAGCCGCGAGTTCGGCCGGATATTCGATATCCGGACCTTCTTTTTTATCTCTAATTGTGGGGGTTAAAGTGATTTCGAAATAATATGTACGAGTATGTCAAAACGAGAGGTAAAAATGAGCAAATATTCCTCTACTTACTTGTTAGGTTTTAATTTGAAACTGATTATTGTTCAGTCACAATTACCAAAAACAACTGTTATCCTCATAAGATAATTCGAGTGATGTGAGCGAAGGTCACGAGTAAAATTGCAATTGTAGCACCCACAGCCATTAGGTACCATTTGTTGTCATTTAGCTTAGGCTACTGTTCGTTATGTCATACATTACTAATCTCTTTGATGATTAGGCCCGCATCAGGTCATATTCAAGGTTAGAATAAATAGCACGTTTGGTTGCTGCATAATTTAATTTTCGACGGAGTTACCATTGTCAATTTATTTTTATTATTCTCTAATTAGCGTGTCATTGTTTTTATGCTTAGAAGTAAACAGCTGTTGTTACTGCTCCGCTCCTAAAGATTGCAGCATCATGTTAAATAGTCTTTTAATAGACTGGCCACCTGAGCCTCAATTCTGTTATTTTAAAATTGTATCAATAGACTGTCTAGTTTACTGAATAGCTTTGCACTTTTCGTATTCTAATAACTATTTAAGACCGATGACTTGTCACTTAACTGCCACTGACACAAATGTCCTCGATGTCTTAGTAATAGTTTGGTAAACGTTACACTCAAAATTTGTAGGGAAATTATATATTCGATTTGCCAGACATGGCAATTGCCGTTGTCACTACATTCTCACTCTATTCACACTGTGAATTTATGTTATTAGATTACCGATATTATAATTATGTACCGATATTGACCGACGTCAATGGTATCTCAATAGCGTGTCAGTGGAATGACAGTGGCTTGTACGTTTAAAATGTGCAGTCTTGAGTCACTCGCACTAGAATCGGGGTGAAGGGAAGTATGGGAAACGGTAGTCACTTATCATTAGGTGACCTAAAAGCCAATTCTCGTAATAAAAGTTCGGTCACAATTCAGTTCCGATTAACTTTCGATCTCACATTTGTCATGAAAGGTATTTTCTTAGTAAAATAGTAAAGTAAGACTAGCAGATTACCAATTCAATTATTGATTACAATACGATATAATCACGTCAACGTTGGATATTTAATACTTTACTACCTATATACCTTTTATGACAATTATGAGATCGTAAGTTGATCGTAACTGAATTGAGACCGAACTTTTATTACGAGAATTGGCCTTCTGTCTGCTCGATTGCCCCTATACTGTAACTACTGTACTCCGGCCTACAATTTTTTTCTAAATCACCTTTATATCGTTGTCTTTGTCACAGTCTTGTAGAATTTTAAAACAAATGTTCGAAGGAAACGAAGGAAGGAATCCTTCATTAAGTATTTTGTACTTAAACCCATTAGTGTCTATGGACTAATTGAATTGTTGACTGCCTGGGTGGTGCCAGTGGTAGCGTATACGACTGCTGTGCCAAGGTCTCGGGTTCGATTCCCAGTTCGGACCAAATGTTTGTATGATCTGCAAATATTTATTATTATTAGTCTGTATTCACAAAAAAAGTAAATAAGTATTCTATCAGTCAAACTGGCTTTCATCGTATAAGCTCTGATTAGTTTAAAACTAGATGGCGTTGCCTGTCATTATGGTTTTTTTTTTCAGGTGGATTCCTAAACGAAGCTGGATGGTATGCAGACGCTGAACGCGTACTGCTGCGCTGCCGCGACATATGCCAGTCTCAGCCACAGACCACGCACAACAAGAGAATCACACTTGAGTGCTGTCACAGGTAAACCAGCTAGGTTACTCTACTTACTGTTTAGACTGACTGTCGTACAAAGCTTTACACGTCTCACGCACGTGACCCTGTAGTGACGGATTAAGAACACGGAGTATCACCACCCTTGTTTAATCCCATGAGTGTCGTAAGGGATCAAACTACGTAGAACAACAGCACTGCAAACAGAAGGAAACTTGACACAAACCCTACACGGCCCACACCAACCTGTCTGGCCAGCGTGGTAGGCCAAAACCTCCTTTCTAAGGAGAGGCCTATGTCCAGCTGTGGACTATTAAAGGCTGTTGATGATGCTCACTCACAGCTGTCTGATCTCAAACTAGGCAGATCCTGTACTATGGTAATCAAACTTTTTCTTTTTTTTAAAGACCACTCTCACACTAGGAATATATCCTATGTACGGTCATAAACACCCCGACTCAGACCATAATTTGTAGGTCACGCAAAGTCCCATTTGGGAATAAACCCACAACACACAGCATAGTAGGAAGCGGCGTGGCGACCGCTTAAACCACTAAGCCATACGTGCAAACTGCTGATACGTACACACGTATACCTATATATTTCTAAATACATACATATTATATATAAATTACAGCCAGACACAGAACAAATGATCGTCCTCATAACATAAATATTTGTTTTTATTTTTATCTAACTAATTGTTGTACTTCCTTAATTGCAGGTTATTAAACACACAATCAGCATATTGCTGCTTCCCGGCGGCTGCTGAGACTTATTCGCTGGCGTTGAAGTTGCTCGACATTCCCGATGACGTCACGGCCGAGATGCCCGAAGGACCATTCGCTATTGCAGACACCTGCACTAAGGCACTAACTGCTGAGGATGATGACGATAACAGGTGAGAGAGAGACTTGGAAACGTGTAAGACTTCCGAAAATTGAATAAATACTGATCTGATATGTAAATTGACTGCACGGATGGTGTAATGGTCGCCACACCGCTTTCTACTGCTGCGAGTGTTGTGGGTTCGATCCCCACATGTGTGATCCACAAATTGTTGTTCTGAGTCTGGATGTTTATTGTGACCGTTTCGTTTACCTATGTTAGTAAAGTTCCCATGATATATATTCCTAATCGGGAGTGGTATTTTGTATAAGCAAACAGAAAAAAAAAAGAAAATCGACATACGGGTGTTCCCAACCGTTCCAGTAGTTCAACAGGTAAAGTTCAATAGTTCAATAAACACGGAACGCACAAAATTCTCAGAGGGGGTGATACAAATGGCGGTCTCTATGGGCGGCGATACCCACTTTACTATCAAGTGACCCGTCTGCTTGTTTGCCACCTGTACCATAAAAACTCTTTTTATTGCATGCAATTTATTTAAAATGTAAAGACTACTCTGACAAAGTCAATTTTTTAATACAAGTGAATATCTGTTTTGTAATATATTTACTAAGTTTATTAGTTATTTAATCGTTAAACAGAAACAGAAAAGGTCCATTAAATATTGATTACGTGTCTCACGTGCCTCAGCTATCTTAAAATATAATTATAATGTTATCAGTAATTTAACTCCGTGTTTAGTATTGCGTAACGAACTGAACATAACATATTAAATTAAAATAGCATGGGTTCATTTATTTTCTTTACCTCAATGTAATGAGGACAATAGGCTTTGATCATATATGACACAAATTTGTCTTCTTTAACAAAATTGCATTTACATAGAGGCATGTTATGTTATACGCTATCTTAATAATAAACCAGATCAAAAGAATTAGAATTGTTTGACACAAAAATTTCAACATCTACGAGTATACCTATTGACTATAATTTCCGCGCCATCGTTCCACACGGCAAAATTTCACTGTTCGCTTTTCAAGACACTTTTTGCCTGACACGACAAATCTGTTCAACGAATTATCGTCTGCGGTATTCCCGAACCCTCTAACTTTTAAGAGAAGAGCGTACTCCTTACTCAAAGGCCGGAAACGCGCTTGTGTCTCCTGAGTTGCAAGCGTTCATGGGTCGCTTTCCATCAGGTACCCCTCTGCTCGTCTGCCTCCTCTTCCATAAAAAAACCGGGTGCGTATTAGACTTGTGTTTTTTTTCAAATCCCTCTTAACCCTTCTGTGGGGAAGGCAGCAGCGTCAAAATTTACGTTTCTTGGGTCGCATTAGTCCGTCTGCTGGTTTTCCGTTCTTTAAGAAACGTTTCGCAATCCATTCGTGTTGAATCTAAGATAAGTAGTGGTCTGATTGATCTGAATTGGGAGTATATTTTGGTCCTGTCAGTGATCGCGTGCAGTGCGAGTCGTGCGGCGGCTCGTGGGGGGTGGGCGCGTGGGCCATGTCGGGGCTGGCGGCGCGCGTGTGCAAGGAGTTCAGCGCGCTATTCTTCGTGCGCTGCGACTACAACGCTGCCTTCGCCTGGAGCATGCGCGCGCTCAAGCTGCTCACGCCGCACACACCGCCTAAGTATGTATAACTATTTCTAATAAGTTTAACTGTGAATCCTTGTGTTACATGTAATAGCTCCTAAACGGATTGATCGATTTTGATTTAGGCATACTTTTGAAAGGCGATTTGATGGAGCTGTTTGGATAGTATTTTAAATAAATAATATATGTATAGTTATACTTCAAATGAGTAGAAGAGTATGAGTTCGTAGAAGATGAGATACGTATATCTTTTTACGTTTCGTATGTCAAATTTGAATTTGATTTAAGAATGTAACGTATTTATTTATTAAAAATGACCACTATCGAACACTGTCGGTTGAAATATTGTACGAGCTGGAGTGTGCAGGATCACGGTGGAGGTGCTCCGCGCGTGCGGCAAGGCGTGCGTGGTGAAGCGGCGCTTCGGCGCGGCCGGCGAGCTGGTGCGCCACGCCGTGGCCCTCGCGCGCCGCGCCTTCGGCCCGCGCCACCCGCGCCTCGCCGCCGCGCTGCTCGACCTGGGCTTCTACCTGCTCAACGTCGACTCCATCGTGCACAGCGTCGCCGTCTACACGGTACGGGCCAGGCTCTCTCTCTCTCTCTCTCTCTCGCTCTCACCCCCGCGCCACCCGCGCCTCGCCGCCGCGCTGCTCGACCTGGGCTTCTACCTGCTCAACGTCGACTCCATCGTGCACAGCGTCGCCGTCTACACGGTACGGGCCAGGCTCTCTCTCTCTCTCTCTCTCTCGCTCTCACCCCCGCGCCACCCGCGCCTCGCCGCCGCGCTGCTCGACCTGGGCTTCTACCTGCTCAACGTCGACTCCATCGTGCACAGCGTCGCCGTCTACACGGTACGGGCCAGGCTCTCTCTCTCTCTCTCTCTCTCGCTCTCACCCCCGCGCCACCCGCGCCTCGCCGCCGCGCTGCTCGACCTGGGCTTCTACCTGCTCAACGTCGACTCCATCGTGCACAGCGTCGCCGTCTACACGGTACGGGCCAGGCTCTCTCTCTCTCTCTCTCTCTCGCTCTCACCCCCGCGCCACCCGCGCCTCGCCGCCGCGCTGCTCGACCTGGGCTTCTACCTGCTCAACGTCGACTCCATCGTGCACAGCGTCGCCGTCTACACGGTACGGGCCAGGCTCTCTCTCTCTCTCTCTCTCGCTCTCACCCCCGCGCCACCCGCGCCTCGCCGCCGCGCTGCTCGACCTGGGCTTCTACCTGCTCAACGTCGACTCCATCGTGCACAGCGTCGCCGTCTACACGGTACGGGCCAGGCTCTCTCTCTCTCTCTCTCTCTCTCGCTCTCACCCCCGCGCCACCCGCGCCTCGCCGCCGCGCTGCTCGACCTGGGCTTCTACCTGCTCAACGTCGACTCCATCGTGCACAGCGTCGCCGTCTACACGGTACGGGCCAGGCTCTCTCTCTCTCTCTCTCTCGCTCTCACCCCCGCGCCACCCGCGCCTCGCCGCCGCGCTGCTCGACCTGGGCTTCTACCTGCTCAACGTCGACTCCATCGTGCACAGCGTCGCCGTCTACACGGTACGGGCCAGGCTCTCTCTCTCTCTCTCTCTCGCTCTCACCCCCGCGCCACCCGCGCCTCGTCGCCGCGCTGCTCGACCTGGGCTTCTACCTGCTCAACGTCGACTCCATCGTGCACAGCGTCGCCGTCTACACGGTACGGGCCAGGCTCTCTCTCTCTCTCTCTCTCGCTCTCACCCCCGCGCCACCCGCGCCTCGCCGCCGCGCTGCTCGACCTGGGCTTCTACCTGCTCAACGTCGACTCCATCGTGCACAGCGTCGCCGTCTACACGGTACGGGCCAGGCTCTCTCTCTCTCTCTCTCTCGCTCTCACCCCGCGCCACCCGCGCCTCGCCGCCGCGCTGCTCGACCTGGGCTTCTACCTGCTCAACGTCGACTCCATCGTGCACAGCGTCGCCGTCTACACGGTACGGGCCAGGCTCTCTCTCTCTCTCTCTCTCTCTCTCTCTCGCTCTCACCCCCGCGCCACCCGCGCCCCGCCGCCGCGCTGCTCGACCTGGGCTTCTACCTGCTCAACGTCGACTCGGAACAGAATCTATGTTATGTCTGTGACGATCTACAACCGCCCGTTTCCAAATTGTTGAGCCTTATGCGAAGAAAGGGCATACAAATAAACGTATGAAATTAAATGTTGCAGGAGGCGTTGAAAATCCTCACCCAGGTGTTCGGTTCTAGCAACCTTCACGTGGCCACGGCGCAGGAGGACCTGGCCTACGCACTCTACGTGCTGGAGTACTCTTCAGGCAGGTTCTACATGGCCAAGGACCACGCTGAGCGGGCCATTAGAATTATTGAGGTATGTAAATATTGGATGGATTGTCTGAGTGAGATATGGTTAGGAAGGGAGTAAACAGTGAAATGATGAATGACAGAGTAGAATTGAAGAATCATACTTATTGCGCCGACCCCAAATAAAATTGGGATACGGGGGTATGCAAATGATGATGTATTAGTACTACCTGAAAAGGATTTATGTGAAGAAATCGAATAAAAACTGATTTTATTTGAATTAAGTCGTCCTACTGCTCAAGTCTTTAACAAGGTAAAGAAAACAGACCTGTGAGCACAGACCGCCCTCGATTAAACTCACTAAACCAGTGATACACAGTTGTGTTTGATGGTGCTTCGTCCCCAAAACGTCGACGAGAGTTGATCGATGCACTGTTTTTGAGTTAATATAGCATATATATAATCATAGCACGAAAATTTTCACGAGTTAAATCCATGGTGATAAAGACTTTCAAAATGACGCCGCAAAGGATAAACAAATGTCAGCTACATGAAACAAATTGTTTTCTTCAGCCAAAGAGTTCCATTTTTAAATGTTATAATTACTTTTTTAATATTGTTCTGTAACTGGCCAGTTGCGGATGCATTAATAGCAGTCCTCGTATATATAATAATAATTATTTTTTGTTCGGAATACCAACAGCACAAATAACGTAAGGTAAACATTGTATATAAATTGTTATGTCTATGCATTTCCAGAACTTAGTTCCTCCTGATCACTTGCTGCTCGCATCTGCGAAACGTGTAAAGGCGCTCATCCTAGAGGAGATAGCGCTCGACACTCCTGCGGGACAAGACATGAACAGTAATTATGACCAATTATATTTATGTCGTTTAAAGGAAATTTTAGTTAATCATTTTTAGCTGGTTCGAAGGACCATGTTGTCTTTAGTGTTTATGGATAAATGCAATGTGCGATATCATTATAGAGTACAAACATGACTCCAATTAAATTAGAATAGAAATAAACTTTAAACAGTGTTAAGATAAATAAAAATACGACTAAACACCTGAGATGGATTATAATCCTATAATCACTGCTCCTTAGCACCGAGTCTGCTGGAGGAGTCGGAGGCGCTGCACAAGGCGGCGCTGGCGCTGTCCATGATGGCCTTCGGGGAGAAGAACGTGCAGACCGCCAAGCACTACGGGAACCTGGGCCGGCTCTACCAGAGCATGCAGAAATTCCAGGTATGATACTGCTGCACCCTAACATAACTAATGACTGTAATACAGATATTACAAATACTATGCCACAGAGCTCTTTAGACCCAGACTAAGCATAGCTATGCCTATGGTTAATATTAGTAAGTACTAAAACATGGATAAACTTAATCAAATTCTTTTTTATATAAATATACATACTAGAACTATCTGCGACTGAGCAGCTAAACCCTCTACCGCTGGACTAGGTCGCCTACTTTGTTAATATCATTAAATAGATTGTATGACTTGGTAGAACGAGTTATCTCCAGTGTTGTCACAATAGCGATAAGGTTATTGTGTACACTCCTCAGGACGCGGAGACTATGCACCTGAAGGCCATCGCGATAAAGGAGGAGCTGCTCGGGCCCGAGGACTACGAAGTGGGGCTTAGCATCGGACACCTCGCCTCGCTCTACAACTATCACATGAACATGCACTGCGCCGCAGAGAAACTCTACCTCAGATCTATCTCCATCAGTAAGTAACTAAACATTTGGGTAATTTTACCTAAAAGTTTTAGTAGTTTTAGTTTTACCAATTTTATAAAAAAATTATGTTTCGACCCGGTTGTACTGGTCGTGGTTTTATGAAACAGCTGACTTTTATGAAAAATGATTTAAAATACAATTAATATTTCACAATATAAAAGCTAAAAGCAGTGGACCGAGAAGTGATCCCTGAGGTATCCCAGGTGATTTGTGTAGAACCATAGGTCTAGTTAATTTAGATTCACAATTTAAAAAGACGATTTTTAATATAATTTACACTCTTTCAATGCATTGAAAAAGTTTTTAATAAATTCAGTAATTTGTGAAATAGAATAACATGACCAACTTGATCAAAGGCTTTCCTGTGATCCACATTAGAACACTAATTTTTACACTTGTGATATTTATACACTTTGGGCAACATATAAAATTTCACTTAAAAATTTACTTAATTTACCTTAAATTTTTCTGAAAAAACGGAGTGAAAATTTTAAAATAGTGAATGTGAGTGTAAATGTACATTTAAAAATGTCTAATCAGGTTTGAAGCTATTCGGCGAGCGCTATTCAGGATTGGAGTACGACTACCGCGGCCTGGTGCATGTGTTCACTCAGCTCAAGCGGACCGACCGCGCCAACCACTACAACAGGCTGCTGCAGCACTGGCAAGGTACTTCATGAACCTTCACACACTAACTCAGGGGAACAAGACAGTCGGTTGTATCATTTGGATATCATACAACCGACTGTTCTGTTCAGTGCCAAATTTAGGTCCACAAAGAGATTAATCTGCTTTTCAGATCACATCACATCAACAGCCTTTAATAGTCCACTGCTGGACATAGGCCTCTCCTTAGAAAGGAGGTTTTGGTTGGATCTGCTTTTATCCATATGAAATTAAAAACTTAATGTAAGAGCAGGTTTAATAATAGGAAGGCTAATAAAATCTCTCTTCACTCTTCTTGTCATCTCTTGTAACTGCTGGCGCGATTTTAGTTACGGAATAACACGAATTCTAACAACTTTTCAGAACTAAGGGAACAGTCGAAGGCGGAGCAGCAACCCGCCCTGGGCGACGAACAGATCATCCCGCTGGCGGAGCTGCACGCCAAGTTCTTCGGGCCCAACGACTGAGCGAGAGGCCGACATGCTCGCTCACACCACGCTCGTCCAGCAAGTCGGGACGTAAAATATTTAGTGAAAACGATGGGACTACTTTATGTTAAGGCTTATTGACTACAGAAAATTGTCTGTTAAACTAGAGGAGAATGGAACGACGAAACCCGGGGTCTGCTAACGTGTACGACTGTGCCTCATATATAGTATAAAATGCACAATAGCGTATAATATTTGTAAGTATTAGCACAAGTGGGCTCGCCCCGGGGGAGGGGTGAGGGGGCGGCGAGGGTTGAAAGGCGGAGCAGGGGGTGCAATACTCATACACCTACACTCTACAGAAGTGACTGCTAAATCTTGTAAATACGCTTGCAAAACCTTAGCTGTCGTTAGGTTCGGAACAGATTATTGTGTACCGTAACGCCAAAGGCTAGAAGTCTAAGTCATAAATTGTAAAAATCGTAGGCTGTTATGATACACGGCCTAATATTCGTGTTATTGTTTAATTATTTTGCGTTATAGCTGCAATAGTGTGGGCCGGCTTAACTGAGTGGCGGAGTGACTTGTTGGTGGTTGGACGGTGACAGGTCATCCAGTGGGCCGGTGGCTCACTGCGAATGTTCCTTTTCTTCACTGAATGACGAATTGAACGGTTTGTTGACATTTGCAAAAAGTAGTGTTAAGACAGACAAATTGAAAAAAATAAAAATATGTAAATGTTAACAAAATATGTCGGTGAGTGTACGTTTAAGATGTGATTCGGTATGTGTGTGATAGTACGTATTCGTGTAAATTTTAATTAGTTATATTGTTGCTTCCGGTAAAGTAAGTTTTAGTTCTCAAAATGTATGAAAGAGTGCAATGAAAAGGATTTTCTAGATATTGTTTTTTATTCGTCCCGGTGTTGCCAGGTATCAACTTGCTACATATGTTACGCGTAATATCTAGTACCTATAACAAACATAATTATTACCGAATCTTACTTATTTCTTGTATAATCTATTCAAATCAAGATATTAAGTAATACCAGAGGTAGTGTAAATGACACATATCTAATTTTATCTGTTTATTTGAACATTAAAATGTGTACGTGTAACGGAACAGGCGAATTCGAAATTTATTTTCATATACCACAGCTTGACGTGTTTAAAACTATTTTTGTGAATGTTTATGATATATATATACTGTACGTTAGATCATTGTCGGATGGCTGCTGTGCAGAGAAAGGCGCGCGATTAAATAAGTTTTATGACGACAACCTGCTTGTTTCATTTATTCTCTCCTTTAAACTATGGAGTGAAGAGGCAGGAGAATTATCTCATATAGGGGTAAAGTTGAAATAGTGTCCAGCTGTATACTGAAATAGAGGTCGCTGGCGTACGAAGAACTACGATATGAACATAGCTTTTGTTCACGGAGTGAAGTGTGCTGAGTTACAATATTATTACTTTTATTGTTTGAAAGTTATTTAGTACACGTTTATTTATTGTCTGTAAAACTCATTTGACTATTTACATGTGTCTAATTATTCTTTAAGCCAATATAAATTTATCCTAGGCTTGGCTAGGCCTTGTTAGACGCGTTTTACGGACACTATACACACAGGGCTGGTTCTCCTTGCCTCTTCTCTTCATATTTTAAACAAAAAACTGTTACATAACTGTGCTGTTTGTAACCAATATATTAGTTATATGCATAAGCTCACATCCTAAGCCGATGCAAGTAGTAACTGTAAAACGATTTTCTTAACAATCCTAACAAAACTTGAGTTTTTACATATTCAGGTAGTGTTTAATAGAAATGATCGATTAACAAACAGGCTATATTTATAAAATTTGTAAAAAAAACCTAATCCCTTAGAAAGATTATAAATCTTTATCACAACTACTTAAGTAAGGTTTTTCTCAATATAAATATAGATATATTTGGCAATACTATTTGACCAGTCCATGGACTGAATAATTCTAATAAAACTCTGATAATTGATCAAACTGACATACACGTCATTGATATTAATTTTAAATTTAAAAATATATATATTAGGGTAATCACTACATTAGGGTTTAGTAAATAAAACCAAGTACTCACATTGAAATTTTATTCATAAATAAAAGATTAAAGCTAAAAATACCAAGATTCAAAAAGTGGAATGCAACATACACATTCAAAAAACATTTTATAAATTTATTTTCTTAGAAAATATATTAAAACGAATTATACACTGAATTACACACTGGATAAGAATTCAATACTGTCATTTCACAAATAAAAATAATAAACATACTAAAGAAAAATCTTATGCACTGTATGACTTTTTTTTAATGTCTACAGTATGCAGTATTTTACTTTCCTAAACAACAGTTGTCTATTTCTCACATTCCGAGACTTCCTAAATACACACTGCTCTTAACTTGTTATCGAACGAAGATAGTACTAAAAGTGCATAAAAATCAGGCTAAATTTATCAATATAATAATTTTTAACTTTTTTTTGCAAAATAATCTTCCTAAGAACTAAGGCACTGCCAAGTGCGACACTAAAATAATTGTACTGTCAATATTACTCATTCTACGTGTAAGCATAGTGTACATAAAGTGGAGCGTTTGTAACAGTCATATAACTTGTTGCATTAAAAAGGTATGAGTAATTGGGTACAATATCAAATATGTGGGTTCTTAACTTGAAATCTAAAATGTGAGATTATCTTATTGCTAAGAACCAAAATAATAGTATATAGGCCATTGAAAGCTTTAGCTTACATGTTTTTGTATCTTATGTAGGTACCTTGTCTAAAACCAAACCGAACTACTCCAATATTCATATCAAATAAATTGACTTATCGTTTTCAACGAAATATTACGCACATTTTAGACCGGACGTCCGCTAATAAATATCTCTAATAACAATTACCATTTAAGACACAAATACACAATCTCAACAAGAAAACAGAGTATTACAGACATCAATCTTAGTCTAAGCTCGCTCGGTGCTGTCGTTGCATTGACGTGACGCGTCCGAAGGTCCCCGCGAAGTTAGGCCGGCCCGAGCAGAGCCACGAGCGCGCGCTTGTAGTCGCCGGACGTCTCGCCCTGCTGTCGGACCGCCCACACACGAGCCGGTATAGTACAGGCGTACGGTACAGGAGTACGGTACAGGAGTGTACGGTACAGGAGCGTACGGTACAGGCGCGTACAGATGTGGCGGAGATGCACATGCGGCGTGCGGAAAGAAAGAGCGTAGTCATTAGTATATTGTGCATTTTAGCTCTACATCCTTAACTAATTATAAAGATAGAAATTTGTGGGTTATCTCTTGATATAAAAAGTATCAAATGTGAAGTAGTATATCGTCATGCAGTAGTATTTAAAGTACCGGTCCCTAAAGGGAGCCTAAATCTCTAATATCTAAATCTATCTAAAATCTAAATAATTATTTAATATGAACATTTAAAAAAAAAATAAGTTGTCACTTTTAACTGACACAAGAAAAAACTTTCGCATAATGTTTGCCTGTTCATCAATTTTTTTTTTCTGTGCGGAAGTCCCCTCGGATACCACCCACCGGTGGTTTTATCGGAATCGAACCGAACAAAAAACCGCACGCCGTCTCGGGTACCATTTGCGGGGAAAACCAGATGTACCCTAGGAAGGAAAACCCTGATACAATTATTCAATATGTGTCAGCTTTCCAGGAGAATATCTTGTTATATTATACCAATTAGGACCCATCATTACATTCGAATAAGATCGTTAGATGTTATGATCCGATGCGTCTATTCGCTTTGGATCATAATCAGTTTAATAGAAAATATATTCATATATATTATATTGCTTGTATCATACTGTCGAAACTTCCCTCTCCCTCTACAAACGGCAAAATGACGGCACACCATGTAGCTTGTTCAATCCTAATATCACCACTTTACTGAGCCATGGTTCCCACGTAAGTTTACATAAGCAAAAGCACGTGACTTGCGTGTGATACAATTGAAATGTAATAGAAAAGAATGAAAAATTGAAAATAACTGCTATAGGTCAATATGAATTGAACATTAATTTAAAGAAACCATTCGTCTAACAAGTCAATCACGTTTAAATATCTAAATAGAAAACCTCCAGTCTCACCTCCTATTCCATTCACAAGTGGCACAAGATGACGGAAAAAATTTAAAAAAATATTAAACCACATTACACATAAAAGTATTCATCAGATAAAAATATAGACATCAAAAGCTTTTAGGTTTAGGGATGTTATGTATAAAACCCCTAAAAGGTTCAAAATATTTCATGCTTCAATGTTTATACTAATGTGCTTTAATATAAATAGACACATAGGCAGTGCATAGTTTTAAGCACTATTTTTTAATCTATAAGATTAGATTAACAATAGCAGGTAAGCGCCCGCGGCCATTAATTTAGCAATGAACAATATGCGTCATTGTATTCATTACTTTGTGGTAATTCTTCAAATTAGTTTCTGAATCTATGGTTGAAGTCTATGTTTTAAAAAAGTGACACTTGTGTAAGATTTTTTTTTTAAAAGAGTTGAGAGAGCAGAAGATGAAAATTAATAAAAAACAATTTATACTCAGGAAATGGTGTTACTAAAATAATCGTGTAGGATTGATGTGAATGTTTAGCAAAGTATAAATAATGTAACTGTTCTACAAGAATAATAGGATCCATTCCTTTTGACCACAGACAACTAACGACAAATCGAATAATGTATTTGATGTAGGTACCTATTGTATTTTATGTATAAAGTTTGACTGCTCACAGGCTCGCCTTTTCCTTTTTGAAGATGTTAATTTAATCTTGCAAGTTTTTGGGCCTAATAGGCTAGTTGACTCGATTTGAAAACTTGGTTAATTTTATACTTTAATATCTATTTTATCCCAAAAACTCCATATTTTAAAGAAAAAGCAATATTTACATAACGTATTTTGTATTAAAAAAAAAACAATTTAAATTTCCGTTGAAAACGCTGAACAGTGTCATGGCGTCTCGAATGACGTCACAGTCTGCGAAACAAAACTGTTTACATTCAAGGATTCACCTGCTCTGTTGTATGAAAACGACAACAACACAAATGATGTTTTGCGTGGCGTGACGTAACACTTTCTAATTGGTGTTCGCTGTCACGTGACTTAATGCCTATTTCGTTCGTTTTTTTTTTTATATTATTAATGTTTAACTTTTCTGAGAAATAGACTGGTTTTTTCTTATCTATGTCTCTTCATTTATAATTTGAAACTATAAACCAAGCAATTTGTTATTAGTGGACACAAGCCTATTCTCTTTCGGTTTTCCTAATATCCTAGAATCATCCCATAACCAGCAATGTACTCATATAGTCTGTTTACCGTAGCGTGATGAATAAAATATAAGTTTTAAAAAGTAATATGCATGTATTTCCACATTACTGAACAGACTATATATGAGTACGTTCACAAGCGCAGTGAACCAAGCATTCGCACCATACATCAGAGGACACAGTGCTTGATTTCATATAAATAAATAATGGCCAAAATTGCTAAACCTTTTTTGAATACAGGTTGCAAAATACCAGACAGAGACCTCTGAAAAGTGTGTTCTTAAATCCTGTGCTATAATTTATGGCTATTGACAGCAACAGAGCGAGTCAGGAAATTACATAAGTTAAAATTTAACTTATGTAATTTCCGGGCTTGCTTAGTAAGTTAACATAAGTTAAATACATAAATTTCACCATTCCCCGTTAAAATATTTTTTAACATAAAGTGTACTTAATAAATATAAGGTGAGGCAAATATGTCCATGAAATATCAAACACTGTTCCTTCGCCACATACCTTCAAGTCACTCTCTAATGTCTTATTAAACAGGTTCTCATATTCGGCCTTGATACGGCCCAGGTCGATCTCAGAGCGGGTAGTTATGATCCTGACCAGGGTCATATCTTCGGTGCCAGCACCTTGCATGGCATCCCTTAGACGCTGAGCGAACCACGCCGGGGCATTCTGAACACACTCCACTAGAAAAGAAAAAAATAAGCGGATTACGTACCCTGATTTCGCTTTCCAGGGTCTTATCATATAATCTCTCGTATTCTCTCTTGATTGCTGCAAGGTCTATCTCGGAGCGGCTGACGATGATACGTATGAGGGTCCTGTCGTCTGTGCCGAGGCCCTGCATTGCGATCCGCAGACGGGTAGCGAACCAGGCTGGCGCTGACTCCACACATTCAACTGGAATTTGATTTTAGGAGAAAAGGGTTTGGGTGTATGTTTGCATTGCGGAGGAATAGGTGTTATGTCCCTTCAACACAAGGGAGGATCCTCCGACCAGTCGAGGTGTATACCCAACGGTTGATGTTGGGAAATTTTATATTTGTACTAATCGTCGCGAGAACTTTATTAGCGAGGTGCAGGATTAACAATACTTCACTTTACTAAAAAATAAATTAATTTACTAGATAAGCAAAGAGAACGAAATCAACAGCTGATCGGGAAAATGACGGAGCGTGAATAATCCTAATAAAACTTTGTAAAATGACGTTTTTTTTTTCGCCGGAATCGACTTCGTGACACAAAGTTCGTTCAAGTCACTTTTCCTATTGATATATATATTGTAAATATATGCGTCTATCATCCGGGTAGAACATACATACACTCACGCCTCATTCCCGTCCAGGGTAGGCAGAGACGATGGAACGCTATTTACTACGATGCTAATACAGCTCACGCCCCTTCGTACCTTTTACTGGTGCTTTTAACGAGGCCCTTGTTCAGTACACCTTCTAATCTCTACATCTTCTTTCAGCCCACACCGTTTACCTCATTCATGCTCACTCAACCAGCCAATCATACATTACGCATTTGTACTTCATAGTATATAGAACATAAAGCGGTCGACAGAATATGTTACAATAGGATTAACTGCAAGCTTCCGTCGCACGTATGCGTCACCGCCGAGCTATGCGATGAACACATTTGGCCGTTTGAAGTTTCCAGCCGTTTTGAAGATTACCCGGAACAGACAGACAGACAGAGAAAAAATATTTAAACTGGTTTTTAAGCATAGCTATCGTGCCAATAACCCTGTGAGCATAAAAAACCAGATTATAATAGATTTTGTCATTACAAACAGACACTTCAATTTTATTTATTTGTATAGATATATAAAGTCATTTACTGTGGCGAGTCACGCTTCTGCACAAATAAGCCGACTCGACCGGAATGAGACCACGATCTCTCAGAACCAGGGTTAATCAACTGTTCCGTTGCCTTTCACCTCTCTATGTCTGTAGAGGCCGGACTCAGAGCAGGACAATACACGTGTGTATGTGTTTAGTTGCATGTGTCCATGTAGACCGGCAGTTAGCTACAAAACTTAAAAATACTAATTTAAATTCATTCGCGTCGTGTGTGTGTGTATGTATGTGTGTGTGTGTGTATGTGTGTGTGTGTGTGTATGTGTGCCCTTGGGAATGGTCAACGAACCCCCGGTGACACCTCATATTACCATATTATTGAAGCAGTATACCTATAGCTGAGAGTCCATCCTTCAGCTCTCCGTCGATCTCCGCCTTGATGGCTTGCTCGACGGTACGTCCAGAGATCCCCTTGTACTCTTCGAAAATCAGACGCAACTGAGCAAAGCTTTCGTGGGCCATGATCTGGAGAAGAAATTCAGTATGAGTATATTATTCAAATTCCTTGAAAATTTGTGTCGGACAGATTACCTAAATCAAACGGAGATAACAACGTAAAAACAAGCAATTTAAATTTAACAGTCAGAATATTATGCGCACACAGCTTTGATTTGCTAATTGTCACTCCACCACTGTGCGCTTTTCAAGACACTTTGCCTCGCACTACCAACCTGTGGAACAAGTTATCGGCTTCGGTATTTCCGGGCCGATACGACCTTCAAACCTTCAAGAAAAGAGCGTACTACTTCCTCAAAGGCTGGCATCGCGCTCGTGACTCCTGAGTTGCAGGCGTTTATGGGCGGCGGTAGTCGCTTTACATCAGGTGACCCATCTGCTCGTTTGCCCCTATTCCAAAAAAAAAAGTTGAGCCCAAAGGAAGGGCTAATCAAAATTACTTAATAGTACAAAAGCATATTAAAGCTAGAGTCGACAGCTACCATCTAACTGGGCCAATAGAAAACGCAGTAGCCGCAACGAGAAGAACGTATAAGAAAATATAACTTAGCAGTTCCACTAGCCTCAACCTCTGTTTTTCTTAGCTCTCTCTAATTGACTTCAGCAATCATCAACAGCCTTCAATAGTCCACTGCTGGACAAAGGCCTCTTCTTAGAAAGGAAGTTTTGGCCTACTATGCCACGCTGGCCAGACGGGTCGGTATAGGGTTTGTTTCAAGTTTTCCTTTTCTTTACGGTGCTGTTGTCCTGCGTAGTTTGCTCTCTTAGTGGACTCTTACGTCACCCACGGGATGTGACACACCGTATTCAACATTCATCACTACACGGATAGCAGTAGCGATCTAATCCTGAATCCTTTTTCATACATATTAGAGTCAAACAATTTAAGACATCTAAAGTTTTAACTAGACATTGATCTTTAATCTTACTTATGCAAACAGGATTCAAGCCACACATGTATCTAATTGGATTTAAGTAGGTATACAAAAAGTTTTCAAAATTCACCTTCTACTAACTACGTAAAGATGAAACTGATCGGACAATTTTACTGAAAAATGTTTATGAACAATGTACCAACCTACATTAACATGACATAACAAGTTACATAATTGTTACCAAACTATTAATGCCTAAAAAATTATAAAGTCGTTATAAAATATATATTTTTATATAAAATTAAGTATACTGCACAATAATTTTTACATCATCAACAGCCTATAACAGTCCACTACTGGACATAGGCCTCTCCTTAGAAAGGAGGTTTTGGCCTACTATACCACGCTGGCCAGGCGGGTTGGTATAGGGTATGTTTCAAGTTTTCCTTCTCTTTGCAGTGCTGTTGTCCTTCGTAGTTTGCTCCCTTAGCACACCTTTCACTACGAAAATACCTTTTATGGAAGTTGCGGGATCGAGATCTGACATCTGATCTGAGATCTGATCTGCCTTAGTCGGCTCACGACACTCACGGGATAAATAGGGGTGGTGACATTCCGTATTCTTAATCCGTCATCACACACCACAGAATACTTTTAAAATAATAATAATATTTTCGGACTCTGACACTCAACGCCATCTAGTTACAAAGTAAGCAGAGCTTGTACTATGAAAGCTAGATAGACTGATAGAATACTTATTTTTTGTAAATACATACATTTATACCTAGATAACACCCAAACACTTCGATTCAAATATTTGCAGATCATACGAACATTTGGTCCGACCCGGAAATCGAACCTGAGACCTCAACACAGCAGTGGCATACGCTACCACTGCACCACCGAAGCAGTCACAACAAATTTTATTGCATTTAAAATGTTTATAGAAACAGATTTTTCCAATACTATCGTTGTGCGGCACGATTCCGTTTTTTCTAAGTAGGTCCCCAGTTAAGCTTACTACATAAATATAGGTGTACAACACTCACTCTATTGAAGACTTCCTCGTCAGTTCCCCACTTGGCCTCACCAGCGTCGAACAACGCCTGCGCGTCCACACGAGCCTTCGCCACGTTGACGCCGGCCTCCTCGTCCCGCGCGCCCTGACGGATCGAAGACTATATCAACGAGTAGGTATCGCTCTTTGGAATCCTTGGAGTTTGGTGAGACATTTTGTTTTCGAAAATATATATTTTAGGTAGTTGTTTCGCAAACTCTATTAAACAAATAGGTATCTACCATTTAGTAAAAATTGATATTGATAAGTAAAAAATGTTAAATCATATGTATATTTCTTTTATTTGGACTAATCCCACCTACAAGCCCACTACTGTAACACCAGGATAGACAGCAGTGACATACGAACACACTGAATTATGACACTCGGGCAGTCCAGAAAATGTTAAATTGTCTTGGAACCCGCAAGGATATTAACCCGAAGTAAAACGTCACAATTTATTGTAACTCTAAAACTTGTAACTCTAAACTCTGTATTACCCTCTAAGTATTATGTTCCTATTTATTTTCATTTCATACATATGTATTAGACATATGTATGAAATGAAAATTTGAAATTTATTTGCCAATCCTAAACCGTGGCATATTTAAATTGTATTCAAATGTGTGATTAAACCTAAACATTGCAAATGTATCTAACTTATTAGCCTTTTCAATTATTTTATCGTTCTGCAAACATAACTATCACAATGACATGTTAAACTTTTCAAATTTGCAATAAGTATAACAATACGATAACAATAGGTATATGATACGAGTATTAGATATGATGTAGAGTATTTAAATTTCATAATCATCTGCACCAAAGAGAACCAAACTTAAGAGGTTCTATTAAAGAATTACCTATCTATATATATAATTCTTTCAAATTTTTCTAATTCTATATTCTCTTATGTGCGTTTATGTTTCTCTTATATATATAGGTATTTCTTTTCATTGAACTAATCACTTAACGGATCAATTAGGAACATTTATCCATTAAGATCCCAAAGAGGATGTATTTAGAAGTTTAACACAACGTAACTTAGAATCTCCTGCTTAAATGTCCTGGGGGAACACAGGGTATCCTAGTGGACGGAGGGATTTTTGTTGTTGTTGTGTGTAGCACTTGAAATATCTCATACGACCCGGCTTTCGTGTACTGCCTACGAATTTTAAAACCTTATCAAGTATATACATATATATGGGTATATTGTTTTCTGACATCAAAGCCAATCGATATTTTCGTAACAACAAAATGTTTAACCGGAAACTCCAAGGCGGTAAAGTAAGCGCAAAAGCGAAAGTAAAAGAAAAGTTAATGGTGCAACCCGCGACCGAACCCATTTTATTGTTGTTAAAAAATAATCTTACATGTATGCTGTTATTAATATTTTTCAATCCATGTCAAAATTCATAATTATTTATCAAACTTTTTTTTGTTATATCACACTGAATATAGCCACGAAATTTCTTTTTCATTTTACACAATACGTTACACCAACATCCAATTGAGACCATTAGGAGCGGAGCAGTGACCAAATAGCTGGCAAAATTGCATCAAATGTTCAGTAAATATTAACTGAAAACTGAACTGAAATTATGGCAATATTTCCGCAAACCAGTGATTAATGTTACTTACCTCTATTCATATTGACTGGTACGGTCAAAATCAAAAAGAATTATACGTGAACATAGTTCCTTTATAATCTTTATATCCATTTTGCCAGAACATTGTTACCAACTATACTGACAAAATATTGTGTTTAACAGTATTTGCCATTTCCATCTATAGTCAGGCTTAAAATTTTGTATATTAGTAGGTTTGGTATTATAAGTCTGACCGAATGCCAAGTCTTTATCACTGCACTGCCTTATATGGTGTTAGTAAAATACAAGCATAACGTGCAAAACAGTTTAGCTAAAGCATTTTCTAAATTACATACTATTTTATTTTATTATTTTTGTTAGTTGTCTCCACTTTTACATAGAGTGACATGCCATGCTATCATAATATAAAATGGACTCAACATCATCACCATGATCATCTATACTAATATTATAAAGCTGAAGAGTTTGTTTGTTTGTTTGAACGCGCTAATCTCAGGAACTACTGGTCCGATTTGAAAAATTCTTTCAGTGTTAGATAGCCCATTTATCGAGAAAGGCTATAGGCTATATATCATCACGCTAAGACCAATAGGAGCGGAGCACCAATGAAGAATGTTTCAAAAACGGATAAAATTTATTACTATTGAGAGACGCAGACGAAGTTGAGCGGGTCAGCTAGTCACTGATATACGACATCAACTGCAGATTTTAGGACATTTTTAAAGTTTGAAAGGGAGGCGCAATACCACTCTTTGTTGTAATGTTTAAAGAGCCCTACCAGGGTTTCTAAGACCACTCACTAGCTGGAGTTAGGGCCTGGAGTCACGGCTTGTATTTATTTAACAACTTAAAGAATAAAATCAAATAGGTACCAATCAAAGAACTTGTAAAGTATTCCAAAGACATTTTCTTTATGGAAATTTATAGCTTTCATACGACACCACTCTTCGTGTGGACTATTCAAGCATTATACCTAACATAATACTCACAGTGACAATGAGGGTGAGCAGGCGACGGAAGTCGCCGGATGTCTCCGAGCACATGTGTTCAGCCAGCGGACGGTCGTACACTACACAGAAATTATAGTAAAAACTAGCTAACCCGGCAAACGTTGTTTTGCCACATACATTTTATCTAGATAATATTGAAAAAACAAATTAAGGGGTGGGTCACCCTTGTTATTTAGGGGTATGAAAAATAGATTGCCGATTCTCAGACCTACCCGATGTGAACACAAACTTTCATAAAAATCGGTCCAGCCGTTTCGGAGGAGTATGGCAACATTGTGACACGAGAATTTTATATTTAAGATATACAAATATTTACCCTGCACAGAAGTAGAATACGCATCCTTCGTTCTTGTACAGCCTATTTCCTAGTTAAATTACGGTGGTAGTCACTACCTACTACATACGAGTAGTACTCCTTTGTCCCGAATAAAGAGTAGTATTTAAAAAAAAAAGAGTATGCCCTACAATATTTGCGTATGATGTGTAACATCATCATTAACCAATTCAAAATCCGTATTCCTGTTACACACTTCCGTCCCATTTCACAAAATCACTCGCACAGACTTCAGGAAAGCAAGAGAAAAGTTACACATTAAAAAATCCGTCTAAAAGTCCACGTAAAGGTTGCCTGTAGGACTTCGCAGATACGATAAGGCTGCCCATTCTACCACTGTTTTCTTTGTTTGTATTCTGCATTGTATGTTTCCTTACCATGGTGTACAATAAAGATTACTTATCTACCCATCTAACAAAACAATATAATCATAAATAAAATTCTCACTTCTCTCGTAAGCTTCAACGATGGCGGCAATCTCTTGCTTGGTCCTCGTGCACAGTATCTCCACGAGGGTAGCTTCGTCAGTGCCCAAGCCATCCATGCACTTGTGCAGTTCCTTGCACAGGTACTCTTCAGGGGGCATCATCAGAGCAACTATCACGTCTTCGAAGTGTCCGCCCAATTCGGACTTCAGATCTTCGATGATGTCCTGTGTGAAATATGATAGAAAATTAAGACTCTACGAATTATTATTTTTTATCCAACTGCAAAAACTTGACTGTTTTCCGAGCATACACATACGAGTGTGTGTATACTTATGTTTTTTTACTTCATAGCTAAGATGTCAAATGTATGTGTGTAAGTTTTGGCGATAATAACTATAACACAGGCCAACAAATATTGTCAAAGTTTCTTTCCCAGAAACCAGAGTATACTTTCCCGAAAGGTTTTGGTGCGCTGAATCCAAATTCGGCTGCAGAATTGCTCTATCACGTCAGGTTTCTGAGATATTCTAATCTAAAAGTGCAAAAAACGAGCAGATTTTTGAGGTTATGTTCCCTTCCAATTTTATTATGCCTCAAAAAGTACCTTAAAGTTCAAGTCTTTAGCTTTCAAATGACGTTGAGTTTGCTCAAATATCATTTTTTTGCACTTTTAGGTTAAAATATCTCCAAAACCTGACGTGAGAGCCAATCTGCGACCTGGATTCGGATTCAGCGCACCAAAATCCTACATTAAAGGTATACTCTGATTTCTGGGTAAATTTTTGTTGGCCTGTGTAATCAGAGATCCATATTTCATTAAGTTTTAGTTCTTTTTCATTTATTTAATTAACTAGCATTACTTAAACTCACTGCTGGACATAGGCCTCACCCATTGCACGCCACTTAGATCGTTTTTTTTTTGGCACTGGACTGTTGACTCGATATAAATGAATTAAAAGAAAGGCCGCTGCTCTGTAGTATATAATTATATTTTATTCTAGAAAGTGATCCAATGAGTCCGTAAGTCCGTAAGTCGAAGCTGGCAAAAAAGTTGTCCGTAGGTGGCGCGCTTGTCCGGTTGCACCCCGCGTCTCCCCCTCGCAGTCCCCGCGGGTACGTGCGCAACAATGGACTGCGATAGGCTGATGATGATGATGACTTCATTCATGAGGTCAACATTTATACTGGACGCATGTAACTAATTTATAAACTTTGTATCACATTTTTGGTTAAAAATTTCTAGGCTATAGTATATATTCCTTTTATATGCAAGCTTTCTTACGAATGTTCTTAACTTTATAATAGAAAATAGATTTTTATATAATATGGCAACCCCTGCACAAAAGAGTTTTTCCAGTGTATCACTTTGCCCTACAAAGATTTAGAACAGTGTTAAAATCGACAACATAACACGTTATGGCAGTCGACCAAAGGTGGGTACTAAAAGCTTTTAAGGCAATATGGAGGGCAATAATTAATAATTATAATAGGGAATATGCATGTATTTTTTTTTACGATTCTACTAGTTATTACATTACCAAAAATTAATATAACACATCCGAAATATAAACCGTTAAGCAAAAAAAAATTTATTAAAATCACTATCATTTTGGGGCAATTTGAACACGTCCATTTTGGCGCGCTTTTTTTGTGACGTCAGATTACACTTTCAGACGAATTCGATGTCAACAACGGAGTGAAGTTCACAAAGTTTCTGAAAGTTAAAAAAGTGAGTGATAAAAATTAACTTATTACCATGGAAATCCAATAAAAACTTATTATAAATATTGTGCCGTTCCTTTGTGCCCAAATAATATAAAAACTGCACCTGACAAAGTATATTCAGTCATTGTGTTGAGTCTTTCTACACGGGAATTTAATAATTTAACACTGAAAACCTATTAATTATTAACTTAAAATGAAACAAATAATTACCAGAAACCAAATATTACAAATACACACAACTTGTTGACACTCTTGACAGTGTAGGTTGACGTCACGTTTTATCAACCAATAGCGTTGCGTTTTAGAAATTTGCGAGGGAATCTTAAAAAAGCCAATTTTTGATGATTAAATTTCACTATTAAATTATAATAAATTTCAAAAATAATTGTATTTGTATCTTTTTTTAGCAATAAAAATTACAAATAAAAATATTTTGTCCATTTTGGTGTCACGTGCATATTCCCTATTAATAGAATAGAAAAAAAAACTACATTTTTTTTCTTGGCAATGTCAACTAGGTTATGTAGTTGAAACAAGGTCGATTTGCACATAAACATTTATCACCACGTCATCAAAGGTAATATTTCGTGGGAGTGTCCTCCCCGATGAATCATTCAAATGGGTGAATTAGTTCAAGAGGCCAGCGTAATGGAACGAATTTTACAAGATCCCATAGAAATCTACGCGAAGCATGACTAACATAATGACGGGGTAACCTTGATACCAAACTGCTTATACTTGTGAGCCAGATCATGTTTCTACTCTTTGCAATCGTCCGGGAAAAAAAACAAACTTAGGTTTTTAAAGAAAAATCTATGTATTTTTGTTTGATTTTTGTTTAAATTTTTGTGTGTTTGTGCTTTCTAACTCTCTTATAGTAATTGTGTGAAATCATTTGCTTATTAGTAATTATCGTGGACTGATTTTTCTGTGTCAATGAGTCGTACGATGATTTAGAAAAAAATTGGACCCTATAGGGGTCTGCGATAGAGTTGCTGGAATCATTTGTAGGGTTCCGTACCCAAAGGGTAAAACGGGTCCCTATTACTAAGACTCCGTTGTCCGTCCGTCACCAGGTTGTATTCATAAATAGTGATAGTTCACAGTTGAAATTTTCACAGCATATGTTTATATGTTGCCGCTATAACAACAAATACTAAAAACAGAAATAAAAAATATTTTAAGGGGGGCTCTCTAGTATTTAGTAACTACTAGACCAACAGGCCCAGGAAACAAATTCAAGTATTAATAAATTGTGTGAATTTTATTTTCTCTAGACGGTTTGTGATGCAAGATGACCGAGTCATGGACGTGAGTTACTCAACGTTTGCAGACTGAGTCATTCCCGCGTAATGACGCCCTTGACTGTATAATTATAATCACTCATTAATAAATCAGAATATTTGGTATACTGTATTCAAGCAGCAATGTTACTGTAGATTTTTTTATGTGTAATATTAAGGTGACGAGGTTTGACCATGTCTCATTGCCTCTGCTTAACTAGCGAGGAGGGGGGGAGAGGACAGTTGGATAGTTACCGGCAACAATCTTGAGCGCTGACCTTCACCTGCGCAGAAGTCAATTTTTAGGTCCCTTTGGTGGTATGAAGTAGAACACGGGGCATTTAAATCATAGCGTCGCACAGTGATCGGCTCACCGATATTGTCGCTGCTCCGGATTCGTTTTCTCGTACTTAACGACAGACGAGTACACTTCTGATAGTAAAGTTACTACGCACCTTCTGATTCTATGGTTTTGATATATTTCTATTCTAAGAAAAATAAATAATAATAAATGGGTGGGCATTGTATTTTGCCATAAGAGCACGATGCGCAAAGCGATCTCAACTCTGCCGCCAAGCGCTTAAAATCAGTGCTGGTAATTATTACTGCCTTTAGTGTGTTTATGTAGTAATTGAGTGTATGACAGTAAAATAAATATTTCTCAATCCTGGCCTGGGTCATCAATTTTTATTTTATTTGTATATTTGTCACCCCGGCCCTCAAAAGTGACTTTGCCTGCCCGAAACCACGGGTATGTCCATGCCTTCTCCACTTGTAAACTTCTGGTTAATGTTGAAATGACAAACATTGTAGTTTGTCAAATAATGGAGTGTTGGTCACAGAGGACAACGTCACAGTACCACTGTTATGTCATATGCACGTGGATAATAGCCTTATCATAAAACTAAGGCTATTAACCCCAATTCGAGTCCGTCTAAACTCTGAAGGCATTTTATCTTAGTATGTTGGGACAATTTGGTATCTGTACCAAATTTTCCAACATACTGTGTAAATAAGACAATATTATTACGTTTTCCAAATAAACTATAGGTATATTGACTGGTGGTGTAGTGGTTCGTGAACATCACGATGGCAAAACACCGAGTAACTTTTTTTTTTAGTTAAAAAAGACAACTCCCGCATTAGGAATATATCCTGTGTCGCGGGGGACTTTACAAACATACATGAAACGGACACAAAGAACACCCATACTCAGAACAACAATTTGTGGATTACAACAAAGTGTCGTCCCATGTGGGGTTTGAACCCACAAAAATCGGCGTAGTAGGGAGCGGCGTGGCGACCGCTTAAACCACTAAGCCATCCGTGCAGTCAATTCGTGCATCATAATTTATTGTGTGATGAGCACGACCAGTTTTTTAATTATGATAATCTTCCGGCGATTGCGGACGCGTATTCTATAATTAAGTTGAAAAAGGTTAACATACGTTTAGCTACTATAAAAATGATACATGATTCGTGACGGCTATCAAATAATTATACTAATGCAAGAGGTGCTGGCAGCGGTCACGCGAGGACGTTTTGACTACGCCTATTACTGTTAATTACTATTAATATCACATGAACATAATACATTTTTTTTTGTTTATATTTAGATTCTACTTCCTATTAATTTAAGCTTACTTTTTCGGATTTTGTTACTTATAATAGAACAGATGTACTTCTTCTCTGTGCCTCAATTATGAACGAATTCTGAACTGTCATAATTTGAAAGATTTCTTCACTGCGGTTAGGAGTTAACTGGTGGAAAACGTCAGGTAAGGGAAATGTATTCTGGTCTCTTTATGCAAAATTTCTCCCTCTGTATCCCTTTCATATTTATGTATTTACAAGTGAAGTGTATATATGTAGATACATGTGCGTGTGTGTATGTGTGTGCAAAAAGGGACCAACAGTGCACGGTTTGTTTTTAAAGTCTTTTTTTAGTTTCCACTCTACAGGTACATCATTTACCAGTGTGGTGACGAATTAAAAATACGGAGTGTCACCACCTCTATTCATCTCGTAGGTGTCGTAAGAGCCAGCTAAGGGAGCAAACTGCAAGAGAAGGCAAACTCGAAACGATCGCCAATCCGTCTGGCCAGCCTGCCATAGTAGGGCCAAAATCTCGTTTCTAAGGAGAGACTATGTCCAGCAGTGGACTACTAAAGGCTGTAGTTAATGACTGATGAATCTTTTAATAAACTTACCCTTCCATATTCGTGTGTGAAAGCTTGTGAAATGGCCTGACGCTGCTCATTGGAGCGAGTGGTTAATATTTCGATGATGGCCTGTTCGTCGGTCCCAAAGCCTTTCATAGCAGCCCGCAAAGCGGCCGCGTCCTCCGCCGCGTTGAAGTTTTGGACTCCGAAAACGGTAGGTTCACGCTGGTCAAAAGTACTTATTTATCAATATATTTATTAGATGATGAATACCTAACTAACCTAACCAAATCAAATTTAGGCACAACCTTTGATATTTTTATTCTATATAATCAATGAATGTTATCAATGCAAAACAGTTAGCTACTGTTAAAGATGATTTATTTAATACTCGTAAGCAAGAAATGCTAGATTTTTTTTAATCTAATAGATCTGCTCATATTTAATAGATTTCTAAAACATTATTCATTAGAAACCAACCAAGATCGTGACGATAATAATGAAGACGTAAACCCCAAACTAGATAGGAACCTTGTTGATTCTAGACATGGGACAAATCACCGTTCAATCACAGTGAACTGTGAATGAACGGTGATTTATCATTCGAATTTTTCGTACGTAGGTGAGGGTTACTACTTACTCACATGTTGTTGCCAATAAGCTGTTTTCAGACGACATTTGCATGAAGACCCTATTTCGCCTATTTAACAGTAAATCTAGTAATTATTTTATCATATATAGCTACCATTCCCTACATAATAATAAAAAAAAAAACTAGATTTACTGTTAAAATAGCGTCTAACCTACCTAGCAACCCTAAATATAAGTACGCAAAAATCGGACAATGAATCACATTTCAGATTCCATTTATTATTGTAAAACAAAGTACCATAGACAATAATGTTGTATTGAGTGACACATTCGCCGTGGAAGACCATGCATTGGCTCGTATGGGGGCTTGATCGTTTTTAAGCAATTCTTTTGTTGCTTTGCACCGAGTGAGTGATCAATTTTCTAGGAGGGGAGAGGTGGTGAGACGCTCAAAGAGTGGCAACTAGATATGGAAATTACTGCTACTTTTAAATCATATTCTTTTGATATAATGATTATTTTTATTCACAGCGATTTCAACAAAGATATATGACATTAAAATCAATCAAAATTCTTATTATCGAAGATTACGGCCATTTCTCTTAAATTTAGACCTTTAGCTAGTCTTGCGCTAGCGTAATAATAATAATAGGCGCTGTCGAAGTCACATGTGTTGCCCCCCTCTATTACGCGATGGACCCGGCACCCGCACGGGGACTCCATGGAACGCAAGAAATAGGTCTACGCGAGTTTCGCGACCTTTCGCGAGTCTTGCGCTAGCGTAATAATAATAATTAAGTAGCTGTGGTTTTTAAATCAGTCACAGGTGTGATGACATGATTTCCAAATCATATGACTAATCACATATTATGTTACTGATTTTATTCCATCCCTAGCGGCAACCCACTTGAATCTCTTACAACAAGGTTACTCGTCCGCTTGTTTACCGCCTATACCCCAAAAGGATTTTATATATTTTAGCTCTATTATAGCAGAGTTTATAGCTCTGCTTAACAGAGCTAAACACAGGGATTTCCTGAACTTTTTCAAATTTAAATAGTCTAAGTCCTTTTTTACGTTTTTATAGTTTTGCCTCACATCAGACTTACATACATATAATAGTATGTTCGTTCCAGTCTATTTCACAATTGAAGTGAATTAGCTCCTGAAATAAACACTTTATTGAGTTGGAGCGGTTGAGTGGAAAAAAAATATGAAAACTAATTAGAATCTACTTCTCGTCATTTAAAGGTCACTGTGCTATTAAAAAGCTGTGTTCATTATTACTCGCTTACTATATCGGCCATTACCTCACATGTACGGGTCAAGGTAACTCATCCCCTACGGCCTAAGACCTACTACGCTTTCACAAGCACCCGCCATTTTAACTGCCCCTTCACAGATATTCGGGACTACAACAAATGTATACTTACAAACACCATTTTTTTGAGCTGACGTAGCAATTCGAAGAAAATAGACGAATAATCACAATAAAGGGACAATAAATGTCAACACAATATCACTTTGGATATCTGCAAAGAAAATCAATAATTTCAGATATGTAAGTTACAAGAAATCGAAAAAAATAATTACGAAAAAGAAATAATCTTGGGACAATCACCTATAACGCCCGCTCACACATACAATTTCTTTACACTGACGTTGCAGCTGACACTTGACGTTTGACGGTTTGAGTAGTGTGACCAATTACAAAAAAATGTAATTACTATTGCGATAGAATAAGTACTAACCTGACCAAAATAATAACAGAAAGTATTGTATAACATTAATTTCTACTACAGCAACCAAGACTAATTAGAACACCTTTTAACGCTTATGTTAAAGGTTGCTAGTATCTCCTAGCTTTTGTCGAACACGCTATCACTTCGGGACATAAAATTACTGCACGATTGGCGTAGTGATTTAAGTGGTTACCACGCCGCTTACTACTACGCTGAGTGTATTGTAATGAATTCTATTGTTTATGAACGGAATAGATTTTTTTAGAAATAATTTATATGCTGAGATTATTGTCATCACATCATCACATTACGTCCGTGTGGTGACGGACTAAGAATACAGACTGACCTACCACTATTCATCCCGTGGGTGTCGTAAGAACAGCACTGTAGAGAGAAGGAAAACTTGACCCAAGCCCTATACCAACCCGTCTGGCCAGCGTTGTATAGTAGGCCAAAATCTCCTTTCTAAGGAGAAGCCAATGTCGAGCAGTGGACTATTAAAGGCTGTTGATGTGATGTGAAGAAAAACAAATCAGTACATGCATTTTGTTTTTTTAACTTTTATGTACTAAATGAGCATGCAATATGTAAATCGTCACTCTCAGAATTTTCACAAACGACGAATTCTAATTCATATTCTCACCTTCATTAACGTCAATTCTAACCGGTGAACTTTCCTGAGTTGCCTCACTGACCTGTTCATCGGTGCTTATGCATTCATTTAATATATTACAATTATATGAACTAAACGTTATTTTAGCAGCTATGTCTGCAGTAAAACGATTCCGTCAAGGCTGCCGGCTCCACCCACCCACCCAAAAAGGTTTCCATTGGTTAGCGCCCTCGCGGGCCGCACGTCCCACCTCTCATTTAGCCGCGGGCTTTCAAGGAATAATGACGTGATGTGTCAATGTTTTCCATCAACTAAAACAATATGGAATGAAATTGCGAAAATGTTTTTAAACTAGTAGACGTCATCGTTCAAAACTACTACAAGACATGCCGCGACAATCGTGTCGCCGGTAAAGAACTAATTTCCTGAAGCCGGTTTCCTGGTTTAGTGTGTAGATACCTTTACTTATATCAAAAAGGGAGTATGAATAAAACAATAATTTAGAAGCTAAAATCTTTATTAAAATAGTATTAGACATTTACCTACACATGTAAATAAATACACACAAGTTTATATTTCAAAGTCGAAATGCTTATCAAATAAGACAGCTGTTTTTTAGTTTATGTTTAATCTTCACTTCGAAATCCATCAATTCTGCCTTCTGCAACTCCCTAGCTTAGATGCTCTTTTTCCTTTTGGCTACATTGAGCATTACCCTGTTCCATTCCACACCACAATTGATGGTAACAAAGAATTGGCCGAAGAAGGATATCTTTGCCAATTGTAAATAAATTTTAATAATTCTTGTAAGTATGCCATATAAAAAGTAGGATATATATTAAAAAAAACAATGCCAAAGTCAGCCAATGACAGGTTTAAATGAAAATGTTTTCTATTTTTCTTTATTTTATGGTATCTGGTCTTTCTCTAGTTCTGTTTGGCACAAAGATGATAGTTACTTAGTCTTGATATTTCGCTTAAGCTAAGGACATTAAAATTCCATGATTATTTAGTATTGAACGTAAGATATGTCCGTGATGAAAATTTTCATTAATTACATTCTTTAAGGGACAGAAAGATAAAAGTTTACCCAAGTTAGTTTTTCATAATATAGACATAATATTTTGTATTTTTTGAGCTTCAAAATCTTCAACATTAAGCATATCGTATACAAATGGCGAAAGCAGAAACGGGTGGAATTTTTTTTGAGTGCTATATACTTACAATTACTATTTAAAAACAAATAACCATCTAAACAACCTTAGCTATGCTACCGTATATGTAATTAAATCTGAGAAAGGATACTAATCTTTGTCCGTAACATTTATGTTTTGAACTTGATATTCATACATATTACAACGAAATATATGGCTATAAAAGGGACAGATAATAAATAGATAATACATTTATTTTTTCTACTTTTTGTTTTTTTCCTAATTACTTTTTCTACAATAGTCACAAATAGATAAAATGTTGGCTAACTAACTCTAACGAATATTAAAACATTTAGACTACGAATTTTACACCAATACCATGTTTTTTTTTTCGTACCATGATTGCTAATTTAAACACATACCATTTAGACATTTAGATAACATTTAAAATGTGAATATAATATATTAACTATATTTATAATGATCAAATTATTATCTAAAAATGAATTTATAAGAAATAAAAAACCCTTGAGTGTTACTTATAGTAGTCGCATATGATGTGTAATAATCTGACATCTGACATCTCGCCTACGATCTGACGGACAATTCTAGCTCTGCGCGTTCATTTGTCAAATTAAATAAAGCCAGTTGACTTCACGAAATCACTTCCGCAAATCGCACAGAAAAGCGAGAGGTCAGATGTTACACTTCAAATATTCTTTTAATGTCACGCCATTACTAAACACCTTATAAAGATTATTTATTAAGAATTAAAAAAGATATACACAACAACCTTTATTAAAAAATCCTTTTTAAAAGTCAATTTATTAAACTATTATTACGCACAGAAGTGATTGGAAATATATATTATTCAGGCAAGCGAAGCCAATAAGCGAATACTTTGCTGCAGGCTCTGCCGCCTAATACGCCTCAAATTGACAGACCATTGCAGGCTAATTTTACTACCAATGATCTGTGCCAATTTTTAATTATTTTCCAATAAAAAAAAACGAAAAAGTACTGCTACATAATCATATTCTTTACGTAATTTAAATTTTTTAGCTGACAATAAAGACAAAACGATCAAAGTTCATAACTAATTTTGAAACTCAAACGGCAGTCTGATAGTAAGAACACAACAAAAAATAAAGATAAGCACAGATTATATACCCCAGCGATTGTATACCCCCCCCCCCCCCCCACATATTATAGAAATAATATGAACAGGGGTAAAAGTATTGCGATTGCTGCAACAGCAACAATTACCCACCGCTATCCATCAGCTTCGAAAGGCACCGCCACGTGCTCTGGGTTGTTCCTGTGGGGGTGCCTATAGCAGGGTGCAAACTCGGAGTACAGTATTAACTCATGCAATGGCTGTAATCATAAATTTACTATTTTTTAACCTCAAAACATTTGTTGCATCCTACAATCTGGTCTGTTTTACGTTCTGGTCTTATTTAGCAGTTAATTAAGGATCACACAAAGTGTTGTCCCATGTTAGGATCGAATCCACAACACTCAGTGCAGTAGAAAGCTGCGAGGTAACCGCTTAAACCACTACGCCATCGGTGAAGTCGATATCGACAGAACAATTTATTTTTTTAGAATATCCAATAGTGTATATACAATTTCATCTACTTTTATTACTTACTTCATTTAATAAAATAAAGACAGCCGTGATCTATTTCGTGGGATAGTAGGGCGTTTGACTGCAAAACAGGGACACGGGTTCTATTCCCTTGCCGTGCTAAAATACGTTTCTTTGCAATTGGTCAGGCAATTTCTATATACACATACATATAATATATGTATGTATACAATACATGTTCGAGCACTCATAGTTCATACGTTCTGCTCAATTTATAACATGTCCCAGGTATTATCTGATATATTATTTTGTATAGAACAAAATAAATACAATACATAACATACAAGAAACTGTATACACTGACAGTGCTGTCTTTGGGTCTAATGTAACAGAATTCTAGTCCTTTATACAAAAGCAAACATAATTGTCATAATGAACTCAATCGGTAAACACCGGCCTCCGTTCAGTTTCAAGGTTACGCCCCCACTAAGTATTGCATTTGTTGTCATTTTAATGGTGAAATAAAATTATTCGTTCGAAAAAAAAACATATATTTCTTTACAGTCTCATTCCTTATTCCTTAAACTACTATACATATATAATAAATACAATATATTTACTTAAATTTACTTTTTATATAATTTTTTTTTGTGAGTTGATCAATTCTGTCGGTTCAGTAATTTCTAAGCTGACTGAAGCTTAAACCACATTCAGCTGTCTTAATGCAAGTTTGAATAGATTCCCTGTTTGCAACCAAAAATTAAAAAAAAAATCGAGCGAGCGTTGCAGCAGTCGCATATAATGTATCACGTCATCTGTCAACTGATGGTCTACTCCATCAAATGTGCTCATTGGTCAAATTAAATAGCGCGCGCTGATTGGTCAAATAGAAAGTGCGCGCATCCCCGGTTTTCTGTTGCACATTTCCGTCTCGTTTCACGCAATCACTTACACAGATTAGACAGTAAAACGAAGAGGTAAGCTGTTACAAATCACTTGACGAACTAAAAATGAATGCCAAATACCTAAATATTACATCTACAATGAAAATAAAAATAAATAACGAAATATCCGTTTCGCTAAAAATGCTCTCAATTACAAGCTACAAAAATAGTTTAAGTACTTGTGGCAATAATTTTTCAAACACTGACTTAATTTCTAATCTGGCAATGAGATGATCGAATATTTATGTCGGAATCCAAAAAAAAAAGTTGAATAATGACAACGATGGTTGATTTATGCGCATTGACAGGTAAAATTATTACTTTAAGAAAAGTTTTTTAGGATTTATTACCTTTGGCCGCAGCCAGCGTTTCATTTTAGATCTACCTTGATAAACGAGATTATGACCCGTCTTATTGTAAGCTATTACACATAAACGAAGCATTCGAGTCCTTTCTAACTTTCTTATATCTTTCTAAAGTTTCCTCCATATAAGCTGGCTTTAGAAACAGGCCCGTCTCCAGCCTATTGGAGACCCTGGGCAAATTAGCTTAATAGGGCCCCTACGAACTTAGCTGAGCACTATTTTGTTAGAATAGAAAAAAAAAGTATTGTAGTTAGTCATTACAAATGAAATTTTTCTAAATTAATATGTTTTTTGGTGATAAATATTGATTTTCGATTTGTGGTCTGGCAGGAATCGAGCCCCTATCGATCGAGGGGCCCTGGGCACGTGCCCAAAGTGCCCAGTGGGAAAGAGGGGCCTGTTTAGAAAGTCTCGGTAAAAACAATGTATTCATTTTTCTTTTTATCGTTAGGAGTACGCACCAAGTTGCTGAGAGGTTTCATAATAGACTGGTCACCTGATGGTAAATGATCACCGTACTAATTTGTGTTATTAAAGTCGTTTATTGACTTAATAATATGTATTTTAGACAACAATTGAACTAAACATTATTTTGTCATTCTATTCTGACCTATTGCGTTGTCTTTTACTTTACCCAGGTTGAGGAGTTACTTTACAAAATTTTATTTATACCGTACCGACAAACAAACAAAAAGACAGGCACGGTAATGTTATAAAAGAAGTGAACATTTAACTACCCTTGAATTAATATCACAATATTTTACAAAGTTGTTAAGATAAAAACATTTTCTAAAATTTGTTGCCATCTTTGTTTTCCCCGTATGCCTCTATTTTTTTCGAATATTATTTTATAAAAGTCTTATTAACTTTTTGTCATTTTTTTACATTACGTCACAGCACTTCTCAGAAACAAAAACTATATGGGGCCGTGGACTAGGTGAACCCGTGGGCTTAAACCGTGAAGGTTTGTATTGTATAGTTGAAAAGGTCTGCATACAATCATACACGCTTTTAAAATCAAGACGAGTAAACCAGTGTGACGTCATATTACCATTACAAGTATAAAATAAATTACAAAATCATAAAAACCCTAAGTATCTTCAATTATTGTTGTTATCCTGCCATTAGACAGAACTCCTGACGTCACTGATCCTCATATAATCGTGTTATGACGTCACAATACCGTAACGTTTTCTTGGAGGTTTGTTTGTGCCACAGTTTCCTCTTCATGCCGGATATCAGGAGCTGGGGAAAAGACACTAGAGTTACGAACAATTATACTGTTCTGTAAGCGTTAAACCATCGCAAGATTTATAAGAAAAATGTGATTATTTCGAGAAAACATAAAAAAAATAAAAAATAAAAATAATTAAGCGACTCCACAGATAAGGCAGTGTTCACAATCAAGTGTTGCATGCTTAAAAATTTAAAATCAAAAAAGATTCATGCCTATTGTGACTATATCTACTTAGTTTTTGAATAATTTTGAAGCACTTAAAAGTGTAGATAATTTATGTATTGCGGTACTTCAAGCGCTTTCTTCATTTTGAAGGTAAGCCGTCAGGTTCTCATTTTCACTAGGTAGTACATTTTATAAAACAAATTTTATAGAAAAAGTAAACATTATAATGCTGTTATTAATATCAAATACGCATAATAATAAATACAATACATTAAATAGTAAAAATACAGCTAATTAAACTCTTCAATTGAACTCATTCATCTAACGTATGAAAAACCAGTCAAAAAAATATACTACTATTCGTAATTGATATTTTATATATGGAAAAAAATCTCTCGAAATAACCATTTATCAAACTTCTTACGGTGGTTTAACGTTTACAGGCCAGTACTTTTGTAATTAGTGATGTGCCGGATATCTGTGTCCAGATCGGAGCGGATCCTAGATCCGCTATTTTACATGATTGTTTTTTTTATTACGTTTCAAATCTACTAAACCTATATTGCTACAATTAAACATCGAAGGTAATGAGTTACTAACATAACTAACAAAGTAGGTACTACTTGAATGTCTTACGAGATCACCGACTCATGCGTGATATGTTAAATATAATAATTAAAACAAACATGCACAGCGCGAGTCGAAACATGTTGTATATTCAATAAAATATCAAAGTCAATCGTTTCGAGACAACGAGTGTCGCACTCATAAAAAAAAAACAGGTTTGTATTAGCAGAACGGGACACAAATATCCGTCTTCGTATACGGATATTGTTATGTTTAAGGTCCGGCACATCACTAATTGTAATCATGCAATAATTACCTTCAAATCCTGAGTATTACCTTCAGTTACGATCTTGAGGAGTAGACCAGTGGTTAAACTTTATTTGCAGTTTAAAGTGCAAAAAGCATGCGTATTGATGCCCCCTTCCATGCAATATGGTTTAAGTGTCCTCTTATTAGATGATTTAGAGCAGAAAACTTTGCAACAATAGTTTTTATATTAAATTAAAAGTAAAATGATCTTTGTATTTTACTATTTTAAGTCTTAATATTTTTTGAAAGAATTATAATAAAAACAAATAAATTTGAAATATAGAATTATATTTTAAACTGACCAAAAATACAGAACAAAAATAAATTTCCTTTGTATATCTTTAGTTTTTATGAGTCTTGGTTTTAAAAATATTTTTTTATTGAATAAACTGTGCTTAAAATCCGTGTAAATTAAAATTTAAAATCATATTCAACCTTTAAAGGGGGAGAATAAAGGGATGAGGATTTTAAAGTCGATGATGGTTTTTTATTAGTTATATCGCGTTTCCTCGTATCTTATTAGTAAAAAAGGAGGTTTTTTTAAATATGATGAGAAATTAAAATTTATTTTTTATTATTTTTGTCGTATTTATTTTATGTTTTTTTTTCAATATGTAAAATTGATCGTCGTAATGTAGACACTTTTAAACCACTTTTTACACACATGAATCTGTTCCGTTTCAAAACACCTAAGATTTTTTAATAATAGATATATGTCACGTTTAACTTCGTATTTACTATCTATGAAACAAAGACAAAATAAATCCCAGTGTTAGTATAAATAATTTAAAAAAAACCCTTTAAAATGCCTGGCCATCTGCCTGGCAATCTTTAACGGCAAATCAAAAGAACAGGAAACAGAAAGGCGTGTTACAAGTTTGAAGTTCTCTACTTAGTAAGATCTAACGTTGTATCTATTTTTTTATGGAGTAGGGGGCAAACGAGCAGACGGATCACCTGGTGGAAAGTGACTACCGCCGCCCATGAACGCCTGCAACTCAGGAGTCACAAGGGCGTTGCCAACCTTTGAGGAAGGAGTACGCTCTTTTCTTGAAGGTCGTATTAAATTAATGAATTATAATGTGAATGCCTGTATTATCAACTCCTAAAAAGATGAACAGTTTTGAAGCACTTTTTAGTTCGATCTTAGTTACAATACAAAAATCTACTCAGCTGATCGAGGATTATAAGTTCATTTCTAATCGTTTATGGGATATTTTAGTCGGATTTTAAAATAGTAGTTGTGGATTTATTTTATTTTCCTCAATAATAATGCTAACATTGTTATCTATCATGCCTCCAGTGCAAGCGTTACACCACTATTTAGACGTAGGCCTTGAAGTGATTAGCAGAGGCGAGAAAGTGACCTCTTCACCTTTCTTATTATTTCCACGAAATGCGTGATAGATAATTATATCTTATCTTATTTATATTAGTATGTACTAATTAAAATAAATTATTAATAAATGCCAGATAAAATCATGAAGTCGGGTGATGTTAATAATGGTTAACCAGAGATCATAGACTTTAAAATAATAGATTTTTATTGTCTTTTTTATGGATTAGCACGCATGTCAGCTGATGGTAAAGTGCAACACACACATAAAGCGGGTGCGGGTCGGGACGGGAGTGGGGGGGTCTAATTCCTTGTATTTATATAAAAGACAACACACTGAAAACGTGCGCGGGTCGGGTCTTCCATATAAATATAAGGAATTAGTCCTGCCGCACTCCCGTTCGCCCCGCACCCGCTTTCCGTGTGTGTTGCGTTTAAGTGATTACCGCCCAAGAACACCTGCAACTCAAAGAGTCACAAGTGGGTTGCCACCCTTTGAGCCCTGAATCAGGGGAGGTGGGGGGTTTTGGCTCCGGTAAACTCACTGACTGTGAAAAGCAACGAAAAAATTGTTTAACACTGGTTTTCTGTGAGGTCGTGGTACCATTCCGATTCGAGTCGGCCTCCGTATGCCGAAGCATGGCTCTCTCCCACGGATTGAATTTATCCGTGTATTGTAAACGACACCATTGAACCACACCGCTGGTTTCGTTTACAATTTTTCTTTGGTAACGACACCACTGCTGACTAGTGATGTTTTTTTTTTTAAAGACTGATGTGTAACGTGAAATAAAACAATTCGTTAGGTATGTGTTAATGTTTAATGATAATGTTGAAATTGGTCGAGTTCACAGGGATTCGTTAAACATAATAATTGTATTCATTACAACAAAAAACAACTAAATTAATTTATAAAACTTGATCCTATAATTATACAATTAAATAACTATTAATTTTTTTCAACGTATCTTTGTTCCACTTCATCTGCTATCTTTAAAGCAACTTCTGGAAAAGTCTTTTTAAAAGGTCAAGGTCGTAATCTTACGAGAGAAAAATACTTAATTGATGTCGATAAATGCGCATAAGTTTTGTGTTAGAAGTTCCTAACGGTGGTGTCGTTACCAAAAAAAATTGTGTATACGACACCCCAGTGGTGTGGTTCAGTGGTGTCGTTTACACTACACGAATCTATCTATTCTATGGGTATTTTGTTAAATAATATAATATTAATAATAATAAAAAAACTACTCTTTTCGTCGAAATAAGGAGCAAAAATGAGCACTAAAGGTATTTGATTTCTGTTATTAAAACAATATTTTGCATTTTGATTATTTTCGTTCTTAAAAAGAGACAAGGTGTAAATAAAATCAATTTATAATTCATTGATTCTATTAAACAAATTACTATTAAAATTGGGTAAGTTTTAAACTTGTTTTACATATTAATGAGGTGAATTATTCTTGTGAAATATTGAAATACGACATGAAATATGAAGTGAATGAGGTGAATTATATCCTTCTTCAAATAACTTTACTGTGAATATACATATATGTATATTTACTGTAATATTTTAAGCGCCACAGGACGGAACTACCTTTGTGGAAGTAAGTAGTAAAGTAAAGTAAGTATGTGTTTTATATAGGCTAGTATAAAACGGGACAGTTTTTAATGCTTTTAATGTATAAAAATCAATGTATAAAATTTGTGTTATGCTTTTCTCCTTTTAACGAGTGTTTTCTATTAATGAAACGCAGTGATCGATTAGATTTTAAATGTATATTTTTATCAGAGAGGTTATGTAACTATACAGACAATGGTTTTTATGAATATTAGATATAATGTGACATTTTATCACACTGATATAAATAGTCTAAAAAGAACTTATTTGAGACAGCAGTTTTGTAAGCACTTCTTATAATAATTTTTAAACAGCCTATTAGGGTTCCGTTTACAAATAAAAACTTAAGTTATAATGTATATATTGCTATAACTACAGGGTATAAGTAAAAATACTGAGATCCCTTTAACCACGCGTTGTATCATTGAAATACATTCGATTACACAATTGGCGCAAATAATTGCAGTCAATTCTTACAAATTAAGATATATCGTGTAGTTTTCGTACAGCAAAATACCAATAGAGAATTTGGTTCCAAACAGGAAAACAATTTCATTTTAAACTTAAAAACATCTGATGGTTTCATCAGATACTAATCTACGGACAATTATTTGATATAATAAATGTATTCGTTTCTTAAAACTATGTTATTAAATATGCCACCCAAGCATGTTATTAGGTCCGCGTTTACAAATGCAATGCTTAGTATTACTGTTCGCTTAAAATTTGCAAGCACGATCGTACGATCGCTTGTATGCACGATCTAACGAGCGCAACGAACCCACGACCAACGAAGTTTCGCTCGCACGAACGATCACCCGCGCGCACGCTAGAACGATCGCTCGCATGATCGTATGAAATGTCGAACAGTCGCTCCTGCGTGTCCCATATTCTTCCCTCAAAATCAAGCATTCACACATGGCTAACCCGTGTATTAAATTTGTTATGCATAAATGTAAAATTATAAATATAGTTAAGAAAAAATATTTTTTAATAGCACTTACTATATTACTACATGCAGTTTTGATTTGCATTCTTTTTGATTCCGCAACAGCCAAAGCCTCCTTCCTTCGTTCCTCTGCGATGCAACCTGGAAATAAACATTGACCACATTTATTTATTTATCTCGTCTTATAAGGAACTCCATAAGAATTTTACGAAAATAGATATCACAGTTCTTGTATATAGACCCATAAAAGGCATGCAAAGAAATAGTTACACCAATAGATTGACAAAATTTAACTAAGATAGTAAAGGCAAATTAAAACAATCTTAAATTACGGACGCAGAACATAAATACAAGGCACACTCTTTGTTCAACAATATTTTCCATTGTAAAAATCGCCGAGGACTCAAAACTATCACCAACAAAAAGTGTAGTTTAAAACGAATTAAATGACAGATCCCGCTCAAATTTTGCGCGCTTAATCAGTACAGTGCTACCAACATGCAGTAAAAAAATTAGAACGACCTCTTTTACGCGGGTCTTTTTATTGACATATTCCCGATACTTTTTACACAGAATGTATATTAGAACATTTTAAATGTTTTTTCACACATGTCATTAAGGAACAGATTAAGTGGCGTAAACGTAAACAAACTCACTTCTTCATTTATAATTTAAGTATGTAAGTATGGATTAAGTCTTCAATGTTTTTACTCAGTTAAGCTGTGTATTTACTTGTCTGGGTGACCGGTACTTAAAGAGACGGTACTTTAAGAAAAGACGGACTACTTTTAACCACGATAACCGACATTTAAGCGGGCGGAGTCGGGGCAAAAGACAGTTTCTACATATATATTATAGACAAATTGCACCCAAACACAGAACAAATGATCGTATTCAACACATTAGAATTAACTACCACCACCCAAGAACGCTTACAATTCAGTAGTCACAAGCGTTGCCGGCCTTCAAGGAAGGAGTACGCTCTTTACTTCAAGGTTTGAAGATCTTGGTGGGAATCGAATCCATGACCTCTGGTTTAAAATTCTCGATCACTAACCATTACACCAATAATGTATTCAAAAAAAGATACTAATTTTTATTTCGTTACTCTGCTTCGAGTTAATAATAATAAGAACACAAATATATCTATTCGGTGTTTACGATAACACATGACATTACTACAATCTGACCGAGGCCCGGCTGTGCATAGACAGTTCAGTAATTACTCATTTATTATGTCTCACTATAACATAAACATAATTAACACAGATTACATTTGTTTTTATAACATATTTTTATTCTAATAACATTTTTTTTGTGTCAAAAATAGCGTTAGTATTATCGAGTCAAGGTATTTTAACGTGTATTGTTTGTGTACATTTAAAATCCTGTGTCTTTTTAGGTAGGTCTTGGATAATATGACAGATTGGTTGCTATCTTGGCGTTGCTGGTTGCTGATGTTGATCGATGAATGTAAAACACTAGAGGAAGATAGAGATAACAATTCTACTAAACTGAGGGTAGACAGAATTATTACAGTGACATGACACACTAAAGCGCGGGTCCGCAATATTCATTGCGATATCATGACGATACACGTTTAATATAAATATTGATTTCAATTTAGCTAGTCTAGCAATTTAGTATGAATCATTCAATCAAATTAAAATCGATACCGTATTTCTTCCAAAAAGTATTTATTAAAAAAAAATGGTTTTATGTTTTTTTTTATAACAAATAGCAATACGACGACTCCCTTGTCACCGTGATCCAAAGCTTTTTTTTATATGCAGGGGGCACGCTAGCAGACATGTCACCTGATGGAAAGCGACTACCATCACCCAAGAACGCTTACAATTCACAAGCGTTGCCGGCCTTCAAGGAATGAGTACGCTCTTTTCTTGAAGGTTTGAAGATCTTATCCGGGAATACCGCAAGAATTTGTTCCACAGATTGGTTGTGCGTAAACGTATAATAACACTAGTCTACAAGCACTGTCGTCACTAATGAATCCTAGACCTCTACAAATCTGTAAGCTAGAACCGTAAGCAATTCTTGTGTAATTGAGTAAAACACATCCATTCCAATTTAGAATTTAAAATAGTAGTAAGATTCTACTAGTCTTTTGCCGCGGCTTCGCTCACGTATAAATTACTTTAATTCTACCACCACCAGTACTTTTCTTAATAAAGATTACCCTATATATCAGTTTCTGCACCCTGAACGCGAATATAAGCAAAATTCTAAACCATTGTTTAATTAACTGTATTCTCCGTGCCTTTTAATTCGAATATGACCAAACGGAAACTATACCCTCCTAAAGATACAAAATATTCAAATCGGGTTTATGAACTAACAAATACTTAAAAAAACAAAACCGAATTTAGAAACTTCTTTGCTTGAAGTTGGGGAAAAATAAATCAACTCACAGTTCCATAACATATACTCACTCTCATTCGGTAACATCATCCAGAATTGATTCTTCATCCTCGACTTGAGCCCAGGTGGTAGATTCAGATCGCCAGGGAACGAAGTACCCAGGATCTTTGCCGCATCAACTAGAAGGGAAGCCTGCCACGATCCAGCGTAGATGAGACGCATAGTAGACTGAGCGGCCGTCGAAGAAACCATAGGGAAGAGTGTAAGAGATGGATGACGGCGCAGGTTGTAGAATGATATTCCTAAAGGAACAAATAAAAAGATGTCAGTAACTAAATTTTAGGTAAAGCTTTTTTATTATTAGGGAGGGGGGGACAAGCAGATGGATCGTCTGATCACGATGGACCACCACCATTGGACACCTACCACTCGAGACACAACTGTGCCGGACGGTCTCTGATGTCGGGGGTTGAACGTGTACCTGGGCCATTCATTAATTACGACTGCACGGATGGCGTAGTGGTTTAAACGGTCGCCACCACGCCTGGGTGTTTGAAAAGTCCCCCGCGACACAAGGTACGTTCGAAATGCGGGAGGGGGGTTAAGAAGATCTATACATGCCCTTATCTTGAGGGGAAGGGGGTTTAAACCTTTTTATGTAAAATTTAACAAAAACAAAAAATTATGTATCCTTACATGGATGTAGGGGGGGTCAAAAATAGTCAAAATCATCCTTATGTATTCAATTAATGGCCCTTAATAAGAGAAATAGCAACGAGGTCGATCGCTAGGTAAATTATTATATTTAATATTTTTTGGCAAAATAAATGTAGTCAAGTTACTATTTCTAATATAAGGTGTTTACAAGTGAAAGTCCCGTAAGTACAAATGTATAGAAGACATACGCAGATACCAAACTCCTTACAGGTCCGAGACTAGATCAATTGGGACGAAGCTAATAGCTATAAAGCGGTTGACATATTGCCTCATTTACTCACACGACTACATCCATAGGTGTACAATGGATTCGGCCGAATGAGCAGTTGCTTCACTTCTCGCTTTGTATACTTATGTTGTATTAAGTTAATGAAAGTAATTTCAAGTAAAGTTAGTGACTTTCAAGATGGCAACAAAAAATTTAGCACCACCCGTATCAAAAAGCCCTTAAATTTGTTGTCAATAATATGAGTACCTCTTCCTCAAATTACGATCAACTCAACTGGTAATTTATAGGTAAGGGAATATAACTCACCCCTGGACTGCCTGTTGAGGAAAAACTCAAGAGTTCCTTGCCAGAGATCCACTTTCACACCAACAACAGTGCCCTTGCAGAACCCAGGTCCGTCTCTGGTGACTATCTCTTTGTGACGCACAGCACCGGTGTAGGAGAGGCCGTAGGACTCCTTGTCTTGACCCAGGAGAGATGTGAAGCGATAGCGGGACGATGTGGTATCAACTTTATGTGTACCGATTCCTACCATCTGTAGACAAAACGTGTATGGTGTATTCACTTTTTAGTCCGTGTGGTGACGGATTAAGAATACAAATTGTCACCACCCCAATTCATCCCGTGAGTGTCGTAAGAGCCGACTAAGGGAGCAAACTAAGCAGGACAACAGCACTGCAAAGAGAAGGAAAACTTGAAACAAACCCTATAACAACCCGTCTGGCCAGCGTGGTATAGTAGGTCAAAACCTCCTTTCTAAGGAGAGGCCTATGTCCAGCAGTGGACTAGTATAGGCTGTTGGTTATGATGATGTATTCACTTACTTTGATGTATGAATAAGAAGTGTTCAAATGACTGTCGAGAAATGCTTGCAATAATAGGCGATATTTTGTTGATAACTATGAAATATTCGATATTTTATTGATAAACATTCTGCAACATATTTTATTTACAAACAGTAAGCATTTTTGGCATATATTCAAGTCACAAAGATTTGCCACAAATGTTGTTCTCGTACGTTCTAGAGAAAATGTCGAAATTGGCAATGGCAAACACTTTTCTAATTGGGTAGTTTTAAAATAGTCTCAGAATGCTGTTCAATAATGTCATTGAGGCATTGCCAAAACGGTAATACACGGAAACATATTATTTGAAAAATTGATTTATCTTTGCAACAGACTGACCATTGTCATGTTTGTAGTTGTTTGTATTTACTTTGGTATTTTATATTCATTTCATTTTATTTATTTATTTCATAAAATAATAATTATTATTATTGTTGATTATATATATATGAATTTATACATATTAACGTGGTCTAATCAATCTAAATATAAAAATTATGTAATTCATAAAAAAATCAAATACCCAGACTAAAAAGTATGTCTCAAATTCTTCAATGGTGGTATTTTTAATTTAAATTCTAAAAAACAATATGAAATCTTTTTTTATATAACAAATGTTAATTCTGCAAAATAAAACAGCTGAACGGGGGTGTAACACCTACAACAAAGTTGGTGCTGTCCATTTTCATGTGAAAAACAATGTCATGTAATGTTTTTCATGTGTGCGATGACGGATAAGAACACGAAGTGTCACCACCCTTATTCATCCAATGGGTGTGGGACTGTGGGAGCTAATTACGCAGGACAAAATCACCGCAAAGAGAAGGAAAACTCGATAACCAAACCAAACTCTATACCAACCCTGGCCAGTATGTTATAGTAGGCCAAACCTCCTTTCTAAGCAAAGGTCAAAGTCCAGCAGTGGACTATAAAAGGCTTTTGATGTGATGATGTTATTATCATCATCAGTGCTTAAATCCCTAATAATGCTACCAAGACCCTTGTTCACCCTTGAACCGTTTGCCATTTAATTAACTAACGAGACATTAAATGTTCACTTAGTTGAGATAACATGTGTCCGTGTCAAGAACATGCAAGTAATGATATGTCCAAGGTGTCCCTTGTCTAAACACGTCACCAATGTGGTAGTTGGCCAATAAAACGGTCTACTTTTTAGAGAGAAAGGTATTGAATTTAATAAAAGTCAAGCGAGAATTTTGACTGAATCTATTTTAAACGGTATTAGACATGTCATACTTTAAAATTGAAGAGTTTCAAAGTATGACATGTCTAAAACTGTTGTAAATGTAAATGAACCAGTCTGGTTGGGCCATTTGATCGCTTTCCGCATCCCTAGATTAGGTTCAGTAATTTTGAAAGTCATAATGACCCTCCAGGACCCTCCCTTAGTGTTGGTAGGACATGATACCGGTTTCCTGCAAATATACATAAAATCACGCCTAAGTCCCTGAAATGGTAGGCAAAGGTGTTTGGATTTTGCCAACTACAAATTTTATTCTCACGTAACATGGGCATTTCTGGGATTAGATTAGGATTCACCAACAGCCTTTAATAGTCCACTGCTGGACAACATCTACTCCTTAGAAAGAAGGTTTTGGCCTACCATACCACGCTGGCCAGATGGGTTGGTATAGGATTTGTGTCAAGTTTTCCTACTATTTGCAGTGCTGTTGTCCTGTGTAGTTTTCCTCCCTTAGTTGGCTCTTACGACACCCACGGGATGAATTATCGTGGTGACACTCCGTATTCTTAATCCGTCACCACAGGCAAGGACAGATAAGAAATTAAAACAGATAGAAATGGAAAGCACTGTTAAGAAATTGTATTACAGTGGTTTAGTACATTATGTGAATGTCTTTGAATGAATTGGCACTTACTATGTCAGTTCCATAAGGTTCGGTGAGCATTTTGATCTCCCAATAGTAGTGATAACCATGTTCCAGAGGAGCGCTGCCTCTCACCACTGCCGTACCGGAACTATAGAACGGGTGAAATGTCACTTCTGTCTGGTCAGGTGTCATTTTCACCCAACTCGACTCCGTGTTGGTCGAGGTTTCCCATTGCCATTCCCTAACTGCAAAGATGGAACAGTGTGACAATCAGTATAGTTCTTAAATAGACTAGTAACATATACAAGCTGATTATTGAAAAGGAAAAATCCGACTGCGTGAAAATGTATAAAGTACTTGAAAGTTAGTTAAAGATAAAAAGCCAGTGTCACTCATAATTAAGACGAATCTAACGACACCTCGAATCTAACGACGCCTCGAACCTAACGACGCCTCAAATCTAACGACACCTCAAATCTAACGACACCTCAAACCTAACGACACCTCAAATCTAACGACACCTCAAATCTAACGACGCCTCAAATCTAACGACGCCTCAAATCTAACGACGCCTCAAATCTAACGACGCCTCAAATCTAACGACGCCTCAAATCTAACGACGCCTCAAATCTAACGACACCTCAAATCTAACGACACCTCAAAGTGACAAACCGTTAAGCCGTTAAAGTTACGTATAAGTCTCCTCCTCGTGCAGTTGGGATAAAAATTCGTAACCATGTTTATGCAACCTAATGTCACTTATGAATTTGAACTCTGTAAAAAGTAAATGCTATTTTTTAACATCAAGTAATTACTTCATTTTTATGAATATCACAGGTCACCGGATGGGAAGTGACTACCACTGCCCATTGACACCTGCAACTTAAGAGTCACACGTGCCTTGACGTCCTTTCAGTCCCTCCCTAGAGTCAGGAGGGGGGGATTTCAATTCTAGGGTAAACGCGTGCGCGGTTGAAACAGCCGCGGAATGCGCGCCAACGTGCAGTCGGTGCCGTTTTGCCTAACCTCGAAGCTTGGGTAGTAAGGAGGGAGGTCGCGTAACCTACCGACTGACGCAGGTGCTCACTGGGCATGGCTGCTTCGGTGAGTATCTGAATCGGATTGGACGCGAGGAGACGGCACAATGTTCCCGCTAGCAATCATTACTGCCATGCTGGCGGGTGAGGAGGGCTGGGGCGCAGTGGTCTCTTTCTGTGAAGCTGTAATGCTCCAGAAAGAGAACGCTGAACGGGAACGGGAGAGGGCCGATCCCGAGCGAAGAAGACATCGGCGGCGGAATGAGCAGCCGACGAGACCGCGGGCCGCCAGAGAGTGCGGACCTCTGGTGGCAGATTGATTGCTGCGGTAGGGCTAGGATGGCAGCCTGATCGCACTGAAAATGTGATCGGGCCGCAACATCTAGATAGGCTGAGAGGCAGGGAGAAGCCAGTGGCTTTCCCTGAGATGGGGCCTAGTTACGTCCAGCGTCGATCTGGAGAGACCTGAAATTACATGGCCCGGGTTCTACCCAGCCGGGCGCCTAAGGCTGGCCGTCGGAGTGGTTTTTAGTGGAATTAGTACATACTCCTGGCTCCTATATCCCCAAGGAGCCGGAGATCCGAAGGGATTTTCGACTCCGTTAATAAAAAAAAAGGGTACACCTGGTTCCCCGGCAACTGTTACCTTAGACGGCGTGCGGTTTTTGGTCGGTTCGAGTTCGACATAACCACCTAACCACCCCACCGGTGGGTGTTATCCGAGAGGATCTCCGCACAGAAAAAAAACAGTGACACTTCAGGAGTGCCGACAGAAGAAAACTTGAAAATTTTCAATTTTTTTATTGTAACAGGAAAAAAAAAATTTCGATTCGAAAAGTTCCGACATGAACATATATCTATGTTGTACGTATATACACAATATATGTTTAAATTATTTATAGTTATATTATGATTGTATTTCAACCCAAACTCAACTCTCGTGTAAACGGGCAAATATATGTAGATATATACATACAGAGGTGTCGGTAACACTAACAGTTCCCATCTTAAAAAATAGTTTCTTTTGTTTGTTGTTCAAAAATGCAGAACGCGCCTTAAAAGTTTTCACTTCAGAAATTGATTAACACCGGTTTTCTGTTATGCTGTGGCATCACTTCGGTGAAGCCAACCAAGCCAGACCTTCCCATGGTTAAAAGTGTAAATTTATACTTATTAAGAAAGAAAAATAATATTTCTTGTACAGCTCATGAATGACAGGTTCAACTGCAACTTAAACTATCTATCACCAAGAAGTCTAATCTCTGTATCTAAGTATAGACTACTTATAACTTGTAATAAATTTTTATCTATTTTTAAGAGTAGTAGTAAGAGGTCTATGTCCAGGAGTGGACTGCTTGATTTATTGATGTAATAAATAATAATCACACATTAACATACAATAAATTTAGATAATGCTATTTATTACTTTTTACAAGTGCAATGGCAAATAAGTATAGAACAAACTACATTGTATGTAAACATGCAACAAATGTTAAATATTATATACATAAATCTACACTCTATACAAATAAATAAAATTGAACAGTCTCATTTTAATGTCAAAATAATAGACTTTGTTCATGATCACATGGTTATTTGGACAATACCTATGCCTGAAAATCATTGTGTTTGTTTGTTCTGGATAATCCTCAAAACGGCTAGCTGTCTATATAAGGAATAACTTAGGCTAAAAATCCTCTCAGAAAAACCCTACAAAAGTTTGCCTGGTTCAGAATCTAACCTAAGTTCTCATGGACTGCAGTAGTGTACCGTACTACACAGCTAAAGCAGCGCTTTTCAAATGCACGATTCGAAGTGGCAGGTTCCGCCTTGTATTAAAACACAAATTTGCATTTTAGACAGATTAGAAAAAAGTTATTTGTAAGTTTCACATGTTCGCATTGTTAAATGCCCACATTTTGTTTACAGTGTATAGCCACCAACCGGGCATATTTATTTCTAAATAAAAATACATATTTCTAAATACATACGTATTACAGACAAATCACAACCAAGATACAGAAATAATCGTGCTTATCACGTAATATTTGTTAAGGGTGCTTGACTTCTAGCTAAACAGTCATATCAGGGCAGTCAGATCATCAGCGCAGTCAGACCATCAGGCCAGTCAGGCAAGTCGTGAAAGTTTGAAAAGTACTATGATATCTATTGTTTTACAAATTGTTGTATGTTGTTCCAAACAAGTTATAAATTATTGTTGGGAGAGATGCAGATAAGATATGACATCTTTTATATGTTGCTACTTGTATAAGTTTAAATTTTAAGGAACCTTTGTGGAAGAGAAATAAACTTTTTATTATTATTACATAACAGAACTATACAAAAGTTCATCAACAAACTGTGTTTCTAAACCTAATGGCTGTATTTTCATGTGTTTCCAAGTCTGATTCTTTATATTTCTGAGTTAATGTTTAATCATTTATGTTTAATCATCTTCTCTAGGAGCAGTCTAGTCTCCAAATCATCAAATCTTCTTTATGTTGACTAGCTCACCTGGCAAACGTGGAAAATATAACCTATTCTCATACCTACTCTAAATCGGTTCAGCCATTTCAGAGGAGTGCGACCACACACGTTGACACGAGATATTTAAATGTTAGAAGATTAAAAATGTTATTAAAAATAAGAGGAAAAACACACTTTCTATCAGAAATAAATTAAGGATTTATTGTTACGTTGTTATGATTGCTAATCAAACTCGCACACCGAGGGTTCCGTACAAACTTGTAGGAACATATTTTAATGATTCAGGAATCCAGTCTCACAGTTTTTATCCAAGCTTTTACCAAAATTAATTTTCCAAAACCTATTAATAAATTACTTATATTATTGTGTTTTATAAGTGAAATTGTACCCTGATGATTGATTATGTATTTTAAATAAACACTATATTTTAATTACTTATCTATGGTTTTCAAATTTTTCTCTGTACTTGTAGTATAAGACAATGTTACTTGCCAAATTTCATAGTTCTAGGTTAAGATCCCTATTAATTTTGATTCCCTTGAGAGTTTCGAAATATGTGTATAAACGGCCGTATCTTTTTTCACGATAACTAAGTTTGATTTTTTCTAGACTAATTTTCTGATCTATTTGACTAGACCTGACTATACAGTTTTAATTTCAACTCGATACCTGTAGACGTTCACAAGATAAAGGATCTTGAAAGACAGACGGACAACAAAGTGATCCGTTTTTTTTTTTACTTTACGATAATTACTTTGAAGGTACGGAACCCTAAAAATAAATATGTTGTATGCACATTGAAAACAAAAAATAAAAGATTTTTCCTCATATTACACTGTCTACATGAATTAAAACAAAACTTTTAGGAACGTAATATGTACAAAATAAATGTAGTAACTTGGAGAGACAGTTGTGAAATATTTACTATCTTTGGAATGTTCTCCACACTTGCAGCCAGGAATGTCTTCCAGACTGTTGGATTTTGAGTTATCAGCGAAACAGTCGCAAAAAGGTTTCGCCACATCAGCACTTCTCTGTCTAGACCAAGTCAACATTTTGTCAGCAAAATCTCACAGTTCACATACAAATAAAAACACAATACTGTCAAAAACAAACTGTTGAATACACGAATACACTTTCAATCAAAGCAGCTTTCTGAATTATGCCTGATTTTCTACTAATCGATGGCGTTGTGGTGGGGGTATTTATTGATTTTCTAATCAGTGTTGCCCTGTTAGATTTCAATAAACAACTTTAATTGACATTTAAATCTCATAAAAATCTTGGACCATTTTTTTTTCCTAAATGTATTAAAAACACTCTACTTTCTGACAATTCGAACTTCAAGCATATTATATTTTGAGTTTTCAATAAATAATTTTGTTTTTTAAAACTGAGAAGCACCAATTTTTTTTTTTTAAATATGTAACCTACATAAATCCTATTTTATGTTACTTAATAATCTTAGTATGTAGATAGTTGAGGGATTTTTCCAAAGGAAAGAAGAAAGTTGTAGTTGTGATATGACTGGTTTGTTAACCTAGCCAGATCTTACAAAAGGGGAACGTAAAATTGTTTAAGGGGTTTTATTTTGTTTCTCTTTTTATTGTTCTATGAGTAAAGTAGTGTCTAGTACTTTAAGTTTTGCATTTATAAACTGAACTACTTGTTACGTTCAGGTCATAGCCAGGTAGATAGTCTTTTTTCTAGTAATGAGGGAAAAAGTACTAAACTAGTAGAAAATCTGCTGACTACGGGTACGTCGGTTACACATATGTGTGAACTTTAATTCGTCCAAAAACCACAGAATTTAAAACTTCAAAAAGCTTTGAAATAAAATAGCGATTGTAGATACACTAAACTACTATAAATTTTAACAGTGATGGTATATTTAGTAAAATAATGTTATGATTCTGACTAATACGATTTCATGACTTACTATGCAACGCATGATTGAAAACGTTTTTGAACTGCTGTCTAGAAAGTTCCTGTTATAACTAAACATTTCACGTTTTTAGGTGGTAAATTCAAATGAGATAAGACTCGTGCCAAATAAGACTAAGTTAATTATTTAGCTATATTAATGTCAATATTTCTATTTTTGATATCTTACATTAATAAATGTCGCTACTTTAAATATCGCATGAGGTGAAATGTTGACGTTTAAACGTATAAATAGTATAAATACCAAAATTAAAATATCTTTAGATACTCTGTTTACTTAAACCCTGGGTAATTTAAAAAGTTTGCATGATTATTTTAATTTCTTGTATGTCATGGGCATCGTACAATATAACATTTCGAATTAAAAGTACTTAAATAACAAAAGTATTTATTGATTTTGACATTGCGGGAAAGTTGGTAGGTCTGATTGTTTTGCTTCGCCCGCGCACCCCGCCCACAAATGGCTGTCAAGTGCAAAAGCGAATTGAAGATTTATTTAAATGTATTTTAAAGATTTATCAAATTTGTTTTATTTGATAGTATATTAGCTATGTATTTAGATAGTGAAAATATTTATTGATTTTTGGAAACGTTTTATATGTGTGTGTGTGGATAAACCCGAAATTCTTATGAATGGAAGAAAAATTAGCAAAATATATAATATTTAATTCCCAGCTCAACTTCACTCGTGACTTTAGTACAGAGGTTGGAAGACATAAATTGAAAGGTACTGTATTTTTGTATGCTTCTGTTTTTTTTTTAAATGTTCATGAAGTTATGATTTTATTTCATCAAAGATTTCATCAAAAAATATTTTAAAAATTTCTAATGAAATCTTAGCTTCATGGGTTTTTTTTATTATATATTATCTCATGTATTTAGTTTTTATAGTTTTTTTGCTTTTGTATCTACAACCACTTCGAGTCTTAAGGTCTTAATCATAAAAATACTCTAAATACCTTAGAAAGGTACATTATATATTATGTACCTGAGGCTTGCTTACTCGAAAACCAAGTTCGTTTGTTAAAATACCAAATTGATTAATAATAATTTAAAAACCTCTCCTCAAAGACCTCAAATTATTTGAGCTTATTAGAAAATAACCATGATAGTATAATTAAGTTAGTTTTAGAAATTAATCGAAATCTCGATGGAACCTAATTAATGTATTAAATGATATAATTAAAATATTCAGTGTATTCATATATGCTACCCTAGACAAGTGGATGGACTAGATAAAAGTTGAAAAATGAATTGTGGCCCAACTGTTAGCCACTATACACACCTCTTCATCCAATTTTAGAAAAAAAAGATCATTTTTTCACAAGAGTCATCTGAGGAGCCAGCCATGGCAAAAGCAAACCGGTTTTCATTACACGCAGATCATTGCTTATAGAAAATTTAAAAAATTCATTACAAATAAAACAAGATAAAATAGGAATTAAATTAGCATTGCATCAAATACTTTTTTCGGACAATGTCATTGTATGATTTGCTGTATAGTGGTCCTTACAGCTATAGATTTAATACTAAACGTATAAAAAATAATTTGTACAATAACACTTCAATCCTAGCTGAGGTCATGCTCACATTTTGACATCATCATAAAACTTTAATAAAATATAATGCTAACTAAATTGACCACATCAAAACTTGCCATGTGCAACTTTTGGAACTAATTTAAGTTTTAAAATACATGTTTATTTTTCAATACTTTTTTCTTTTTTTTGAGTGTATGCATACATTATGTAAATTTCTTTGGCATACTCTGTAGTTAAAATGTCTTGATAGATTTTGGCTTCGGAGGTGTCGTTAAATATGTCTTAGTCGTAAAAGAAACACTGGGTACATCAAAATTAAAAAAAAAAAATCACCAGTTTGTAAAATGTTAGGATTTTTCACAGTCGGGTTTTTATTTTTCAATAATTAGTTTGTTTACCAATAGTTTGACTTCAACCTCAGCTTCAACTTTTGATTAAGGGCTTTGTGGTGGACTGTATCCACAATTTCGCCAATGTCAAGTAATTTAAAGACAAACTGTCAAAGGATTTTATGTAGAGCTTTGGTAGAGCCAAATATTTTTTTTTTTTGAGAATAAAAGAACAAGAATTAATAAATTGTTGACTTTTACAGGCATGATAAAACTTAAATAAACTATTAATATATATATATACAACTAGTAATTTATGTATTCATATCATCATCAACAACCTTTGATAGTCCACTGCTGGACATAAGCCTCTTCTCAGAAAGGAGGTTTTATTTCTTATTTTGTATTCATATACAAGATAAGCAATAACTAGTAAAACAAAAAAATAAATATTACACTGTGATATTAAAACTATAATTTAATTTTGTTTGAAGTTATACACTTGTCTAGAATGTAGACAAAAAAGGAACCTTAGAAGCACTTCCTAAAACAGAGTTCACTTCTTCATTCATTGAATATCACTAAATATATTACCACCCAATAGATGGCATCTATTAGATTGTCTATTAGACCATAACTTGAATGCATCAATAAGTCTATTTAGTGCAAAAAAACTGCAGCTTCATGGATCATGTTATGTTATCCCTAATATAAACATGTAACTATGCAATATCTTACTAATGAACCTGTTGTATGCATATTGTCTTATACTTATTATTAGGATACTTATAATAACAGGTTTATAATAGACAGGGAAATTATTACTACTTTTAAGTCATAATCATATGATGAAATGATTGGTACTAAGCACTGCAATTTACCAGTGATTATGATCTTTTTAAAAAACAAAAAAAAAAAATGAGACCAAAATTCTTATTTTATTTACTTATTTTTTAAAAGACAACTCCCGCACTAGGAATAAATCCTGTGTCGCGGGGGACTTTACAAACATACATGAAACGAACACAAAGTACACCCAGACTCAGAACAACAATTTGTGGATCACACAAAGTGTTGTTCCATGTGGGGTTTGAACCCACAACACTCGTGGTAATAGGAAGCGGCGTGGCGACCGCTTAAACCACTACGCCATCCGTGCAGTCAATTGCAGCAATTCGTGCAGCAATTCTTTTGACAATAGATTACTTTTTTTTAGATTTAGACCTTTCGCGAGTGGCGCTAGCGTAATAATAATAATAAGTCGCAGTGGTTATGAATACTAGTCACAAGTGTGATTTAGAAATCATATGATTTATCACAGGTGTTTTTCCATCTCTGATTCATAAATAAACCACATTATCAAAAAATCTAACATGTACTGTACCTAACTGTATAATACTAATAATTTCTATGAGGTCTAATATTGAAAGTGTGCTAAAAAATAATATTTTTATTGACTCGTACTTGTAAGGTGATTAGGGAACGTCCCCATACTACTTGACCCGTTCACCCGTCCATGGACACATGGAGAGAGCTTAGAGTTTTGTCACGTAGTCAATATCCTCTAGGGAAATCTCGCACTTTTTCGAGTACTCAAATAGCGCTGCAGGAAATAACGCTTCTTAAACTCCTAAAGCTATTGCCCGAATGTCAAAAATCGCTTAACACCATGTTTATGTATTCTAACGTGAAAACCAGAGATAGAGGGAGGAGGATAGGTCACGTAGGATGGGTACGTTCCGTTATTGGCTGCATGTATCATCTTAAGTTTAAAAGCACCAGATGTAGAAAGAGAATGGTACACATTTTCAGCCGCACTCCATACAATGTTCTCCAATCACGTGGTACACTGAGGTTCGGTCGATCAACTTTTGGCGGCAGCAAGCAGTGAGGCGTTCCGATGCATTTTTGGATAGATAAACGAAGCCAGTGCGCCTATCCCGGCCGCCATCGTGTGCCGTCTTCTATCTCCTCTGGTATGTTATGTAGTATAATAATTTACCTAATATGATATTTAAGGTGACTGTCTGTTCGTTTGCCCCGAATACAATAAAAAAATATGGAAGTACGTCACTAGCTTTGAGTAAAATTAAGATTGTTGCTTGATATAGTTCTGAAATTCTGAAGTTTTGTACCGCAACGTACAAATATATTAACTTAAAAACAAACAAACATATTTAACGGTGTGGCCCGCAGCCCCCTATTTCCTTTTTCAAGAATCTAAGTATCTTCGTGCGAAATTTCATTAAAATCGGTTAAGCGGTTGAGCCATGAAAGCGTAACAGACAGACAGAGTTACTTTTGAATTTGTAATATTAGTAGGGATAAACATGGTCCCTGCTCTGAGCTTCTTTATATATTAGATAATAATAATAATCACATCACATCATCACATCAACAGCCTTTAATAGTCCAATGCTGGACATAGGCCTCTCCTTAGAAAGGAGGTTTTGGCCTACTCTACCACGCTGGCCAGACGGGTTGGTATAGGGTTTGTGTCAAGTTTTCCTTCTTTTTGCAGTGCTGGTGTCCTGCGTTGTTTTGCGCCCTTAGTCGGCTCTTACGACACCCAAGGGATGAATTGGGGTAGTGACATTCCGTATTCTTAATCCGTCACCACACGGAATAATAATACATACAATTATTTATACACTGTGTTTTATAAACGCAGGTAGAAAACTCAAATTCTTCGTATTTGCCATCTTCGTATTCTACATCTTATGTTGTTATCAGATCTGGCACCTTTTGCTTTTGATAATGCGCCAGAATTCGATCACATTGCAAATTCAAAAGGGAAAATAAATACAATGCAAATTTTGAAACCTAAGCACATTAACACAGAGCAGTAAACAACTGACAATAGCGGCGTCTTATATGACCCTGGCTTTCTAAGACGCTGGGATCAGAATGCCAATTCTCGTAATAAAAGTACCATCACAATTCAGTTCTTAGACCCGAGTGTGAGTTTATTTCACTTCTACTCGTTCTTCATGGTGACGGTGTTCGGCGCTACGATTGGCCTGCGCTGAAATCTCCACCAATCGTAACCCCGATTAACTCGATCTCACAACTGTCAAAAAGGTATGTTCGTAGTAAGGTATTAAACATTCAACGTTAACTGCAATGTGATTATATCTTATTGTAACCGAACCGAAAATTGAATATGCTAGTCTTAGTAATACTTCACTATTTAACTACGAAAATACCTTTTATGACAGTTGCGAGATCAAAAGTTGATTGGAACTGAATTTTAACCGAACCTTTATAACGAAAATTGGACTTCGGATGTATACTGGTGTTTAAGCAATCTTGTCATTGTACAGAGATGTCTTTGAGCCATAAAATATTCATCAGTGTTATGCCTTGTGGATTTGTATACCTACATATATATCTGCGCATCTCTGGACTTCGAGATTCACTATTAGCACTTGCAAAGACAACCCACTAAAAGCAGCACCCTTCACAGTACCGAAAGAGACTTAATCCAAGTGAAGAGTCGCCATATTACTAAAACGATCTTTTGTGTGGATCATTATGTAAGTTTATATAAAATTAATTTGCTGTTCTGTGTATACTGTACTCGAGTAGTACATTATTTGAATAGTTTAATTTTACTTGATTGCCTTGTATAGATACTAAATATCAAATCCACAAATCATTGGTCTTTCGAGCCGAAGTACAGAGCAAAGTAACAAACATATAGCACTATCTAGTTATTAACTATATATTAATTTGGTTAAAGTATATATTACGACGATATGACTAATATTTGCCTCGGCATTTGAATGTTTGACTGCAACGACCCTTATCGTTGTAGTGCACGTTCGATTCCCATTCAGCCTGTGGCTCCAGAGGGATGGGCAGAATCGTATTGAATATGAAAATTATGCCAACTACAATTTGGTGGTAATAAAGGCCAACCTGTTACCGTCTATGAGGCTTTTTAGGAATTAAAGATAAGTTTTTTTTAGTATATACATATAAAAGGTAGTAAGAAAGGGAAGGCAATAGAAAGAACATTAGGTAATGCACTCTTCTTTCACACACACTTTCTTTTGGGAAGTGGATTTTTTAAATGGCTTTAATTCGTAAACTGTACATATACGATTTTACGCCGGCTTTACGGTGAATCTATAACTCCCAATCCAAAAGGTAGTCCACTTTATTAACTATTGATGCAACAGCTGCCTACGGGCACCCTGGAGGATTAGGACTTCGGCTTTGGGAGTTCCATTCGAGTACTAACGTAAAATTAGGAATTGTAAATAATACCTAAAGAAGTTTAGGGTCATATACCTATACCTCGAATTAACTATTGCCGAGGAGAGGGGCTACCTGTATTTATATTACTTTAAGAATGTATTTTTTTCCACGAGCAACAAAGGGCCGAACACATTGCGTGCAACAATTGCACGCAATATTCGTCCCCGGTGGGTCAATAAAGGTCACAAGTAAATAGGTGACTACGTAATTATGGTGAAATTTATTGTTTTTACAATCTTTATTAGTATTAGAATGCTGCTTCTGGTTCTAACTTGTATAATTTTATTTAAAAAAATATCGGAACATATTTTCAGCCTTCTTGAAATTGATAAAATATTGAAACGTTATTACATTATAAAATCATAAATGTTCAAATTTTTTTCTTAAAAGATAATTTAGAAAGATCCGCAGTTGTATTGTAACATTGCGTTCTTCGCAATGGACATTTAAAAAAATAGGTCGTATTTTTTACAACCATTTTATAAAAATAATAATAGACCAAGTTATTTAAATTAACTCAGCACCAATGAATGAACACGAGGAGCCAACGGTTATTTGCGTGTGCAGGGCGCAGTCGCGGTCGGGTGTGCGCGGGCGCGGCGGGCGGACGGAAAGGCATGGCGGCGCCGGTGCACCGCTTCGCCGCTGTCGACTGTCCGCCGCGCCGCCCGCACCGCACACATCGGCACTATGGGTGTGTACCTTCAGCTCAGCCCTAGACTACATTTTTTTTCTATGTGCAAAATCTTTCCTCTCACGTTCTATGAAATGGATTTCGTAAAAAGGAACTGTAGAGAATAACGCGCTCTATTTGATTTGCCCAATGATCGCGCAAAAACTAGGGTAAGTCATCAAGTGAATGGTGAGATGTCAGATATTACACATACTTATGCGACTGATATTTTTTTAAGTATGTTACACATAAGTTCGACACCCTCCGGCTTCGTCACGTTTGTCTTGTCTTTGTTGTAGTCATGTTAGGAACGTCGGACTATTTGGTTGTTGAATGCAAGAGAGAACAGCCTTTTTGTATAGGACCAACTATCGGTGACCAGCGGTGTAACAACGAGGACAATTTCGAATATTTTCTTATAACATGTTGTTCGTAATATTCTTTTACCTATAATACAATATGGTGGGTAGGCCTCCACCAATGCCAGCGGTGCACTCATCGCGACGACAGAACGACGAACCCAGCCTGTACGTCGAGATCCCTGCAGAGCCTCCGCAGCCGACTATCGCGAGTCTGGCGGCTGCTCGCTCCGTGACCCCAGACACGTTACTACGGACCGCAGCCCTAGGGCTCCACCAGTCTCCAATGATGGCTCCACATCTCAAGTTCGGTATGCTGGTGTCGTTCGCGCTGGCCACCGTGTTTTTAGCAGGAGCTAAGTACTATTTTGATCGACAGGTGAGTTTGCCAAAAAGTCTAGTTCTATACATATGAGTATCTAACAATTTTGGATGAACCTTTTACTTGTCTGAAATATACTTTATTGTATTGAGTTTAGAGTTGATAATGTAATCGATTGCAAACAATTATGTTTTTCATATTTATTCTACAAGTGTGTTTCAAATATTTTAAGTTAAATATATACGATCCTCAGCAGCCTTTAATAGTCCACTGCTGGACATAGGCCTCTCCTTAGAAAAGAGGTTTTGGCCTACTATTCATATATATACGATACAGTAGGGAAATAAAAACTCTTTTAAAACTTTGGCGCCTTGTATGATTTGTATGTATATAAGATGTATACTATACATGGAGACTGGATGGACTCATTGTTTACCATATATTTCGATCGATTTGCATCCGACGTGTTTAAGGTTTGGACTGATAATACAATTAAATCCAAACATTGCCGCGTTGGCAGAATAATAAAATCATATTTTTACTAATAATTACTGTCACAAAAAAGTAAATGAAAATCGATCCAATTTTTATGAGTTGTGATAACACAGATAGGTACACATGATAAACTAACACCCCACTTTTTTGTCGAAGCTTATAAAGGCAAAGTTCATCAACGTGGATGTAAAGACGCAAGCCAGTAAAAATACCCCCAAAATGTACCTTCTTCGAAACGTCGTCTTGTTCTTTCTTGTTTTTAATAAAATAATGATTGATTGAAGACGATAATAAATGATGTATTATAATTCACGAGTTTCAAATCATGTATCATGCAGAAGACAGCCGGCAGTAAATTTCTTAAAAAATGGGGCTCCAATTGAGCTTTGCGGTAGTCTAGAAAATGTTTAAAAAAGGTAGATCATAAAACAGCTTTGTAAACGCGCGTGAATAAATACACTAACTGAATATTTAAAGGAATCATAATAATAACAAGTTTATTTGTATTAAATGGACGCAAACATACCCGTGTAGTTTTGAGAAAAATAATCAATACAATTAATTACAAATACAAATTACAATTTGTAATTACTTTATCTGGGAATTGACGACCGGATGGCGAAGTGGTTTGTGTTGTCGGACTGCTATTCCAAAAGTCGCGGGTTCGATGCCCGCTTAAATTAAACATTTGTGTGCATGAACATTTAATATTTGATTTGGTCTGGGTGTTTCTATGTATAATATGTATGTAACTACAAAAAAAGTATATAGGTATTTATACCAGTTGTCTAATACCCAAAGTACAAGCTCTGCTTAGTTTGGGACTAGATGGCTTTGTGTGAATGTCGTAGAATAGTAGAATATTAATATAACCAAAAATGTTAATTCTTGTGAACAATAATGTTCTAAAAAGCTTGGAAAATAATAAAATACATTAAGTTGCCATGTCTAAATAATTAAAATATTTAAAGTCAAGCAACTTTACATGTCATAATTAAATTATTGTTCGTTCATATAACTCCATCATTGGCGTATTGTTGTCTACTGCTAAACGAAGGCCTCCCCAAGGAGCGCCAATCGTCCCGGTGATGGGCAGTTTAAATCCGTTCGCTGCCGGTCACTTTCTTTGAGTCATCAGTCCATTATTTAATTTTATTATAAAAAAAAAGCTTCTGGTAATAAATATGGTGGACACGCTATAGCTTATTTGCGTACAAATGTGGTAGGTACAAGAGATGCCAATTTAAACACGTTCTATTGTTTATGTCTGACTAAGTAACGTGTTAATGTCATTAGGTCTATTAGGGCCTTTTAAAATATCGGGACAATGAAACATTTTGAAAACCGATTATTTAAGCCTGCGTGCGGTTATCGCACTGAATTCTAACAGTTGAAGATTCGTATACCTATTGAAAGAATTTAGGGAATTGTTTACATATTTTACGTGGCCTTGCGCTTGGAGTTATTTTTGTAACACATATTAACCAGTATATTAGAGACGGTTTGTTTACTAGCAACATATACTCACAGCTACCAGTGTTTATATGTTACCATCTACTATTTTAGAATATTAGATTATTTTTTTGGAGAAACGTAGCCGTTATAGATAGCAATCTGTACACAAAAGAAGTCGATGCTGCTGTCAATAACTTCCTTTTTTTGCACCCCTGTAAACAAGCTTATGGTCGTTTGTAAGCGGTCATTGTAGCATATAGACATTTGCAATTCCTGACAGAGAAAAACGTATCCAGTCCTTTATTGAAGAAGCCCATACTGTGATTCAGGGAGCTTATCCTAAGTCGGAGTGTTCTTCTCTGGGAAAGAAGTGGTGTGTTAGATGAGCGTTGTATGTATGGTGTGTCAGGTGGCTCGCGAGCGTGGCGGAGGTATGAGCGGCGGGGGCGGCGAGGCGGGCGTGGTGTGCGCGGCCGTGGCGTGCGTGTGCGGCGTGGGCTGCGCGCTGTCGCTGTGCCGGACAAGGCCCCCGCCTCCGCTGCCGCCCGACCGCGTCTCCTCCACCGCTCAGCGCGACCGCCAGGTGAGCGGCCCCACAGTTATTGTAACATTGTTTATCTCACATATTGATATGACACGATAATCTGAATCTATTTCCGTAACATTCCAGCTTCCACCATCCGAACCTTCAGACGACATATCCTTGGCCACTTTGTTGCAATCCTCGGAACGCTCGCAGCCCACGGAATCCCCCGAAGCACCACCGCCGTACAAGATCGCAGTACTGATGCCGGGCCGAGAGAGCCCACCGCCGCCTGCCTACTCGGAGTTGAGCTAGCTACACGCACCTGTGAGCCAGGAGTTCATCATATAGACTGTCAAAAATGGGTAAGGTAATCATTTAAACAGATGGCAATTTCTTAATTATTTGAACAGGTAACACATCTTAATATTTGATAAATAATAAATGTTGCCAGTTATGTTAGGTTGTTTACTTAGTTATAGATAGAAAGGATTGTTATTTATTCTCATAAGAGATCGTTTTTAGTGAAAAAAAATGTTGTCCAAATTTACTTTGAAACAATTAGTAATATTTTTAGCCAAATCCAAGCCTAACCTTACCCTTCCCAAGTCTATATGTTAAACAATCAAATCCTGACTCACAATGGGTTCATGTACATGGCCCTTGAAAACATTATAAATGTAGTAATCACATCATCACCTTTCAATCAATTTTCCCACCCTACCCTCGCATTTAAAGATTTTTGACTACCCTCAATGTTTAAAGTTTTGCACAATGTAGGTCAGTAAAGGGAATTCCCGATGAAATTATGTTTAATGTGGGGAATCTAAGTTATAAAGTGAGAAGTAAGTTTTAGATTAAGCCAAGGTGGATATTACCAGGATTATTTACAAGGAGATAATTAAGCTTAACATACATTGTTGAATGTCGATACCAGCTATTGTTGAAAATTAGGAAGGAAACTACAAAACGGAGCAATGTACTTTAACTTTTTCTGTCCATAACTAGCCCGATCTCGATGTAATTAATGTCATTGTATAGATTAGGAGTTTTACCATCGCGCTGTGTCGATTTTAAAATATATGTAACAATAAAACGGTGTTCATTGATCGACATGATTGAATATTTTTAAATTAATCTCTGAATAGTTTTGTATGGCATATAACGTATAGAGAGATTATACTAAACCCCATTTATTCTGTACATGTTTAGGTATAGAGGATATAGTTTAGTATGTCTGGTGTTAAGATATGTATTTATACAAAAGGCAGAGTAAGTTAAGTAAGATCAAACGTTTTTCCAACAAGACAAGGGTTGCCAGATTCATTATTTAGAATTATAAAATAATTTGGGCAAAAGTACATATTTTTTAATTTTGTCACACACGGAATCAAAATTTTTATCTTTTTAATAAATTTGAACGCACAACACTTAATAATAATTATAGCCTGCAAAAAAATCTAAAGTCTAGACTGCAGATCCCAACATCGGACTTAAGTATGTGTATTAAGAATCTGGTAACCCAGATGGAGGTGTTTTACAGAGGTTTCTTCAGATTTATGAAAAAAAAGATCGTGCAAATGGCGAATTGAAAGCATTAGTGGTATTGTACTGTGTCATTCGTTTATGAAATACGTGTTTAAAAGGTGTAAAGGAACCGATAAACTGAGACAACCCAGATGATGCCCTCTGTCACATACGTGACTTATGTTATCCAAAAAACAAGAATTAACAGGTAGTTTTGACCCAAAAATGATTAGCGGTATTCGCCACAATATTGGTGTTTCCTATCTCTCTAGTCTTTACTAATGTATTCGTTAAGGTTAAGTTATGAAAACTGATTGAAGCATAAACTTCGAGTACAATTATACAATTAGTAATTACAAGTGGTGTACTCCTAACATTTGGTCCTTCGAGCCGGATTAAACTAATATTTTCAACATTTAGTCAGTTTTGTTTGTCAAGTCTTTTATAGTAATTGAAATACTTGCAATGTATAAAAGTCAAGTAAAGATCGACAGAAATTGCAATCAATGTATTTAAACCACCTGCCGTGTCTTGCACGTTGACTTGTGGACCATGTACTACAGAGGATTAGAAGATGTTTTAAATGATGCAGCTACAGTACCGCAACATGTAATATTAAAATATTTCTAGTCATATTAGACATAATCAATGTGATGTATTTTAGTTGGTTACAATTCGTTGGCGTTTGCATTATTATTTTTTTATTAACCTTTTAGAAGAGGACTGATCGGTTCGTCTTATATAACAGACGCTTCGTTATTAAATATTGTATATCTGTGTTGTTGTTGTTTTATTTATATGAATCTGTGTATTCAACGTATGGTCCTGCAACAGGGTGGGTCCACGGGGATTTTTTTCTCCGTAGTCCAACCGCACTGAAAAAAACTCAAATTTGTATTATCTGGCAGTTCCAGTGGGACCATGGGTAATCCAGTCCGGTAGACCCACTGCACTCGGGATGGCAAAAGTCAGTTCATGACAGCTAAAATTCTGATGACAGTCGTGGTTGGGTGGGAATACATATGCATAAAAAGCGTATGTTTGTATTCTGACGTGCGTGGGGATCTGTTATCTTGTCGCTTGGTATTTAAGTGAACACTGCAATAATTACGGGTATTAAGTACATGCCTTGCCTGATGTTTCGACTAGAGGCCCAAGTGTGAGTTTATTTCACTTCTACTCGATCTTCACATGATCGCGTTCGGCGCTGTGATTGGCCCGCACTGAAATCTTAACTTATCACTACGCCGAACGCGCTCGCTGTCTACAGCGCGTTAATGTGAAATAAACTTGCACTAAGACCTCAGGTAGTACTGGCCATGAGTCAGCCTGTAACAACGGCCAGTGATTAATTAATATTAATTCCCGTAAACATAATTTTATATTATGGACCGCAGCAGTACTGTTCCACACTTCTTGAAAGTAACAACCTTTATGATAAGCTGAGCTAGTCGTGACGGGCATCAAAATCTCTCCCCAATCGTCACGTAAAGTTTATAAAAATTATATACCACTACTGTCCAAATGTAAAATCGACGTTATATTGATAGCCCCAATGCAGGCTTAGCCTGGTATGGCTGTCATATTTAAACAAATTGTTTTAATCTGGACTTTAAATATTTTTTTATTAAGTACTTACGTAAAAAAATCACTGTTAAGCTGTAAATCAAAATTCAATACAAATAATAAAGAATGAATATGTTTTGTAGATGTTTCATCGGCGTGTTCAAACATTTACGTACAATAGCTACAATTCTTCCCTAATAGGATTTAAAAACAAAGTATTGCTTACAAAATACTCTTATAATGGGGCTAATTGAAGTGCTACATTTTTAGCTTTAAAACGGCTCCATTTATATTTGTCGATATATATTAAAAACCCAAATAATTATTAAGGAAATGCCTGATGTTCATAATTGGCTGATTGATTGACAATTGACAATAATGCAAGCACGAAGCTGGGGAGAGCAAAAGCTAGTTACAAATATGAATGGTGTGTAAAGATCCAACCAGGCTAGTTCAACAATCTGACGGTGCACATATCACCCCCGGACTGGTGTTGGTGATCTTACGATCTTGGCGAAAAATTGGATTTATCTTAATTAGTATGAGAACTTGAATTCAGGATCGGTAGTTACTGCATAGTTGGTTTGAACTGCACTAGATGGCGCTTTTCAATGTACTTGCATGTCATCGTATTAGGTTCTAATATAAAGTAGTAAGTTTTTTATGGTATAGTGGGCAAACGGACAGACTGATGAACTGGTGACTATCGCTGCCCATGGTACACATGCAACTTATGAGGTAAAAGTGCGTTGCTGCCCTTTTAGTCCCTCCCCTAGCACCACACACTGGCGGCATCTTTAAGGGGGCATCATAAACAGAAATCCCCACGAAAACAAAACATTATCATAATTTTCATGTCTAAGATATGGGATGGGACGCGGTGGCTTGATAATCCGTAAAATAAACGCCATCGTGACGTGCGGAATTATTTTGCAGCTGCAGCGTCTCGCGGCATGCCACGACGTGCCGCGTTATAATTGGATTTCTAAAATCATTGAAATAAGGATAAAAGAACTTAATCAGAAATAAAGTCCATATCCACCTCACCGGTGGGGTATCCGAAAGATGATCTCCGCACGTCAAAATAGCCGGCGGCTTCATCGGCATTGCACACGGGCGCTCAAACAGCTACCGGCAGCTCTGCGGCTCTACTCGGAATCAAGGGGAGGGGGAGGGTTTTGGCTCCAGTAACCTCTCATGATGATGATGATCCTCAATCGGTGAAAAGTAATGAAAGAAGTGCTAAACACCGGTTTTCTGTGATGCCGTGGTATTACACCGGTCGAGCCGGCCCATTTGTGCCGAACTATGATTCTCTTAGGTACGAACTATATTTTTGTTATAATTGTACTGTTCTATTATTGAATTAACTATTGCTCGATGAATGTGTAAGTACTTCAAATAAAGAAATAAAAAAACTAATAAAGCTGACATTATTATATATTTTCCATTCATTTAACATTAAGTACAGTGATTGTGTCAAATAAATAAGTATAATTACAGGTAACACTAAAAGCTTCAGTAAGGTAACATTACAAAATATTTATAACCTGTTACACAAATATCAAGAAAAATATCCAATCATACTTTTCTTGTTCTAGAAGGTAGTAAAACAGATAGTAAAGAAAAAAAAAAAAAGATCGATTCAGAAACGGTTACCTCATTTAGGTGTCAAGGACATATAAACTAAATCTAAAGGAATAGTGCATTAAACTACACGAGTAGAGCCAATATACATGACAACAATATTTATACCCGTGTGTGGTTGTAATACAGCCAGTTTCGTTTGGCAAGCTAACGCCCAGGTATTGTGATATTATTAAAACAGTAATTCTTCTAGGTTACTACACCACAGTATTATTAAACTCGTAAGATTGAGAAATAGATAAATAAAAATAACTAAAAGAAATAAAAAAAGAAGAGATCCATAGACAGGACGAGACTGGCAGAAGTAACTGTCACAAAAGTCAGTCTTGCGCGTTCTTGTTAATCCACGGGAAGTCCTCAAACTTCATCAGTAACAAAAGTATTTTTAGGTGGACCAAAGGGTCCCTATTACAACACCACACTCCTGAGAATATTTTGTCATGTACATGAGCAACTAGAAATACTATAATATTAATATATTGATACTTTTATATGAAATCATTTGACATAATTTCTTCATAGAATTATTTAAATAAATTATAATTTGGAATGTATTTACATTTGTAAGCCTCGTAAAATATATACCAATTATAACATAAATGAAATCAGTTTCAATAAGTACATTGAAATCGGTTAAAATTGCATAAGTCACTGTTCTGACCAACTTTCAACTTACGAGTAACTTTTTTTTATTGTCAAAGCATTATGTTCTTTATAAACAGTTTAATTCACACATATTATCTAATATATCATTTATAAAGTAAGTTATAATTTTTTGTTACAAGTTACAAGCTGGAATATAGACATCTCATGAAAGTTATATGGCCAAAGTTACCCGCAATGATGAATAAGTGAAAATAAATAAAATTAATCAATGTTGGTTTATTTTCATAAATTTGAAGTTTGTCTATGATCACACAGATTAAAAATATGACTAGCTGTCAGTTATAAATTAGATATTACATTATAAAGTACATATAAAGCGTTCATAAGACGTGGTCCATAAATGCTGAGATGTCGTTTAAATTGACTAAGTATAAGACATGTGTATAGTCACTATATCAAATATTTTTAAAAATCATAATTTAAAATTCGAATTAGTATTCATAATTTAAAATAATACATTTCAATAAAATAGCTACCTTAATTAAAATTAAACTAAATTTAAACTATTATAATTATAAATGCGTGCATTATTACAGCGTTTTACAGGCGCAACTTTTTTTTATATTTTTTATACATATTATAAGAAAAAAGCAGTAATTAGACGAAAAAGATTAAAATACAAAAACGCCGCAGTTACTTATGAGCCTAAAGCCTTGATAATTATTTGATTATAAACTCTTTGAGATAATACAGTAGGTTGCATTCACGACGTAGACAAAAACCTTTTGTGATAAAAAAAATCTGAGACCAATATCAAATATTGATTATGGTATAAATAAAAGTAAAATTAATTATCTACACCTTTAACTTTTATAGCAACTGCACCTCTTTTTTGCCTCTCCTTTACCACCATCAAAAGACTTGATTTGTAAAACATGTGGTTGAAAAAAAAACAAAAAAAGAACAGTGGAGACACCATTCCGGTAAAATAAATTATTAGAATGTATTTTTCCCGCCTGTGCCAGATGAAGGGTTATGTCTTTCGAGTGTATGTATGTTTATTTCATTGGCACGCTCTGTAACCTAAACAGCTTGATAGATCTTGACGTTTGAAGTGTTGTTGGATTCGTCTTAATTTAGAGACAGGCACTGGGTATATGAAGATTATAAAACTTAAAATCGCCGGTTTGTAATTTTAAGTTTTTTTTTTCAATAATTAGCTTGCATGTACAACGTCCTCTCCTCCTTTTCTTTTAGTGAGGATTATCTAACTTTTCAAGTGTTGTAACATTGGGTCGTGTACTGTGAACACTCATTGCTTCACATTGAACATTCGGATTCACCATCTATGCTTAATAATTAATACTATCATACCTTTGTCTGTCTGTTGCATTTTCGCGCTTTAACTAATCAATATGTCATGTTGTTAAATATAGAAAAATGAAACCGGATTTTCCGACATGTCCGAATTTTAAAAGGAGAGCGTCGTTTGTCTTCTAGATATCTTGTATATCTGTGCTCTAAAACTAAAAAGCTTTTCTGTGTAATATGTAATAATAATAATATCTTACCATATTCACACAACGCCATCTAGTCCCAAACTAAGCAGAGCTTGTACTATGGGTACTAGACAATTGATATAAATACAAATATACTTTTTTTTGTAAATACATACATATTATACATGGAAACACCCAGACCAAATCAAACATTAAATATTCATGCACACAAATGTTTGACTTGAGCGGGAGTCGAACCCGCGACCTTTGAAATAGCAGTCCGTTACACAAACCACTACGCCGTCCGGTCGTCGAATGTGTGTAATATGTTGTGTTATGTAATATGTGTATGTATGTATGTATGTATATATATATAAAATTCATTGTCATAAGTTTGAAATACTGTATAAAGTAGTAAATATATGAATTAAGAACTTATGGAGTCACGTATGTATTTCCGGCATGTCTGAATAGTTTCGAACTCGATAGGAACCCTATATCAAGGAGCGCACGTGATTTAACCGTACATCTATTCGAACATTATAAAGCTGAACACTCTGTTTGGTTGTACGTGCTAGTCTCAGGAACAATTAGATAGCAAATTTATCAACGAAGGCAGGCTTTATAATATTATACGGAAAAATGTTGCAAAAACGGCGAAAATTTATTCCTTTTGCGAGAAGCTGACGAAATTGCGATACAACTGACTAAAATATTTATTCTAAGTAGTAACTATTATTTATATTCTTTGGTTAAATTATAAAACCAAGTCGGTAAAAGAAAATTTAAGAAATTAACTAAAACATTACGTAAATTATCATTTCAATATATTTAAGATCGAAATATAGATTGCACAGAACACGTATTCATTGTAAAAGGTTTAATTATCTAATTCTTAATTATAAGTAGTCATTATGTCTTTGTCTATCGCTATTGTTTATCTTATAATTAACATATATTTTGTTTAATATCACCAGATACATATGTTTTGACAAGTTGCGTTTGACAATAACTTGAAAATAGAATATACCAGTACTTGTATAATATATGTTAGTTTCATATATTATTGGATGAAAAAAAAAACTTTATGGTTACTATTACAACTGTGACCTCAATGCACCTTACATAATTTTTACACCACCCAAAGGTTGTCTGGTAGAGAATGCCCAGGGCATTAAGTCCGCCGATGTGCATAAGTTTATCAACAGCCTTTACTAGTCCACTGCTGGACATAGTCTCCTTAGAAAGGAGGTTTTGGCCTACTATACCACGCTGGCCAGACGGGTTGGTATAGGGTTTGTATCAAGTTTTCCTTCTCTTTGCAGTGTTGTTGTTCTGCGTAGTTTGCTCCCTTAGTCGGCTCTTACGACACCCACGGGATGAATAGGGGTAGTGACATTGCATATTTATTCCGTCACCACACGGACTGTGCATAAGTTCATAAAGGTGTAAATAAATAAATAAATATGACTTATTTAACATTTTCATGAAATGTAAAACTTTACAGAAGAACTCATGTTTATACTAAATAAATTATTTTATTCTACAATGCGTCTCCAACATGAAGATCTGTATTCTTCACTCTATAATCTTCAACCCTTAAGAGTGGTTCTTTTTCTTGAAATTTGAATGGTACTAAGTATACCTTCCCAAGGAATAAAAGATTTTTAAAATAGCTTTACAAATTTCTGAGGAAACCGATATGAAAAATCCTCCTTTTTCTAGTTGGTAACGATGACAGTTGCAACTAAACGACTGCTTATAATTAAGTAGTATATTAATATTTGACGATAAGTTAACTAATTGGTTTCGCTGCCTATAGTATCACATCAAGAAATTGTTTTTTGTAAGTCAAAGTTGGAAGACTAAAACCGATTGCAAATCATATGTTAGAGAGAGACAAAAACTCTTATAAACCAGCAGAAAAAACGGTCCTACATTTTAAAATAATACATTTTATCAAACCCTAGTTTGTTCAATAATAATTACAATGAACTCAAATATTAATTATTAAATACATTATATATTATGTTACTCCAGTCCGGTTTGTATAACATCACGTCATGGTTTGTGAGGCTAGGCAGGGCTCGTAGACACTCATAGTTTACTGTTCCTACACCCGCTGTATTTCGAATAGCTTGACGTCTGTGTCGTACCATATAGGCGGGTCAACATTGCTATGAAAACAAATAATTGGATTCATTATATTACAACAAAACTTTATGAATTATGAAGTCTTTCCACAGACATATCGTTCACTCACCGTATATAAATAACCCCCCACAAGTAGGTGCGGAACCAGGCGGCGGTGCCGGCGTTGGCCTGGTACTTGCGGATGAGGATGGGGTGCGGCACCGGCAGCAGCCCCACCAGCGTGCCGTGCTGCAGGAACCGGAGGATCTCCGACTCGTCTGTTAGGCCTCTGTAAGATAACATTACGTATCATATGTAATGAAACGGAAACCAGAATGTCTCTTTATTTCTTGTTTAATTAAACAATTATTTGTACTACGCAAGTTATTATGTTTTTGCAGCAGGAGCAACAGAAGTCATTATCATCATCAACTGCCTATAGCAAACAGTCCACTGCTGGACATAGGCCTCTCCTTAGAAAGGAGGTTTTGGCCGACTATACCACGCTGGCCAGATGGGTTGGTTTAGGGTTTGTTTCAAGTTTTACTTCTCTCTGCAGTGTTGTTGTCCTGCGTAGTTTGCTCCCTTAGTCGGCTCTTACGACACCCACGGGATGAATGGGGACACTCAGTATTCTGAATCCGTCACCACACGGACAGTTTTTTTTTTCACTAAATAGATACAGTTATAAAATTGTTTATTCTTGGTCACGCTATTTAGTTCTTGGATTTTTTAGCTGGGAAAAGACAACTTAAATCTAAAAACTGCTTTTTTGTTAACTGCAGTAAAAAAATATTTTCGTAAAAATGAAGTTTTTTTTTATAAAATGAGATTTATACTATGCTGTACAGTGAAATTAGTCTCGAGAAATTTTTGCATATGTGTGTATTACTGTGTAAATTGTGTATATTACTCAGATCTTAGAGCGCGTTTCCACTATATCGTTCTGGCCTATACAAAAATGTTTCGATATCCTAACATTACTATTTAATTTTATACTTATCCCTAGCAACACTCTGATTTTTGTTTTCAATAAAAACAAGTTTTTATTTTAAAGAAAAAGGTTTTGACTTTATAAAAAAAAAGGTGTGTGTGCGATTCACACACGATAGAAGTGAAACTTCAAAGAGGAGAGACCGATATTTTTTTTTTTTCTATTAGTTCTATTTTTTATTTTTTAATCTAGGATTTTAAAACTTCGGGGGGTATACGGGGGGGTCAAAATTTTTGTTATTTTTGGCCTAGGACGCACCGTTTTCGAGATATTTCAATCTAAAGCAAAAAATCGTCACTTGACAGTGGAAAGTGGAAACACGCACAAAACCAGAATAAACCAGTTTACGCTGTCCGCTACCATACACTACTACAAACGCAAAAATTTCTCCAAGCTAATTTACCTGTAGTACATAGTATAGATTTACAGTACAGTATATATACTAATAAGGTATCCCTTTACTGGACGACTCACTTCATGATACAAATTGTCGTCTTCCAAAGGTTTGCGGCACCTGGCTCATTGCGTTCATCATAGCAGATTATTAATATATAATAATACGCAACACATTTTTAATATCATAAGGCGTATTAATGCTCTCTCTGTTACAAATCATAGATTTACGTTACACATAAAATACTAATTGTCAAAATGACAGGCAATTCAAAAATATAATATTATTGGATATCTAACACACAACGCCATCTAGTTTCAAACTAAGCCGAGTTTGTAAATATAAAAACCAGATTGACTGATATATGTTATACATGTTATATGTTATATATATATCCATTATGTGATCGCATTAGTTCCCATATACAATGAAGTTAAAAAGTGTAGCTTGTTTCATGATTCATTTAGATCTAGTCAGGAAGTTAATTAGCTAAGGTTTAAGCGATTGGTTTGTGTTAAAAAAAAGAGTTAAAAATAGAGATATAAGCATAGAGAAAACATAGGGTACAGCTGCCAGTAAGTGGAAGCTATACAGGAACGAAAGAGACGGATGCCCGATATTTCTCTGTCTCTGTTTAGCTAAGCCGCGATCGGCTACTTATCAACCCATATTCCCCAGCCAACCACAGAGCTCGGCTAGAAAGAGATAGAGGTTGATCTGTCTATATCGCAAGAGCGGGGCTACGGTCGACTCCACGCTTATGGCTCGGAGTAGTGTAGGGTCAGTACTGACTTGTCGATGCAGATCTTCTCGACCTGCGGCACGAGCACCTGCAGCAGGCGCATGATGGTCTGCAGCGGCAGCTTGCCGCGCCACGTGGCGACCCACTCGGCCGACGCGCGCCACGCCCCGCCCCCCGCACCGCCCCCCGCCTCGCCGCGCCGCTCGCCCGCCGCCCCCGTCGTTAGGCTGTCCCTCTGGAATTATACACCTCGTTTCTACAAACTGCCAAGGGGATGATCCTGATCGCTCAGCCGAAGATCGTTGATTCGATTACCGCCCAGGACAATGACTCGTGTGTTCAGCGAGATCAATAGTTATATGTCCATGTGTAATTTGTTAATAATTTCAGTATTTAGAAATATACTAGCTGCACCCGGCATGCGTTGCGATGCCAAATAATGTATAAAGAAATAACGAAAAATATATAAGGATTTTTGGGTCATTAAACCTTTTTTTTTTCCGTGCCGATAGGTACCACCTATCGGTGGCATGTCGGACACGAACCGACTAAAACCGCACGCCATCTCGGGTACTAATAGGCGGGAAACCAGGTTGGGTCATCAACCCTCGTGGGCTTCCCCAGTACACACTACAAATGTTCATCGCAATCTATTCAATGGTTTCAGATCAAACAGAAGACCAACTCATAATTTTCTTTATACACATTTATATAAAATTTATGTAAATATGTGTTTTGAATCAATACAATAAATTTGGTTTTTGAGAAATGGAAAAAAAATATTTTATGCAAGACACCTGTGAGCGAAAGCTATTTATACAATTAACAAACTCACATGCGCGATAGACCTCTTCTCCCCGTCTACATCTTCTTCATCATCCTTTCTATCCTCACCGTCAGGTCCCGCTCTCTGCGGCAGGAGTCTATCCCTGGGCTCTTTCAGCTCCCCCTCCTCAACAGTATCTAACTTATCAGGTATTTGGATGTCTGACTGTGTGTCCGATTTGTCGGATATATCCGACTTGTCGGTTGGATCACCCTCTATCCGCGCTGCGGGTGGATGAGCAGATTCACGTTCTGTCATCGTGCTGATCGCTGGAGTGGTAAAGGTTGTAATTTCATTATCAATATTTTCACTTAATAATAAAGAGTTTGTGTGCGTGAGCGAATTTAATAAATAAAAGTCCGATTAATAAATAAGTATTTGTTTAGTGTGTATGGGAAGTTGTAAATATGTTTTATGAGTTATGGTTTATGGTGTGATTTACTTAATATAGAAGGCAGAGATTTAAAGATAATAAAGAAATTAAAAATACAAAAATTTTGTTACGAGCTGAGCTTCGTGATTAAATCATTACATGGAATTTTATATAAAATAGATACAATTAATTAAAATTATTTGCAATAAACATAATTATCCGTAAATATTGGTCACTCGTTTTAACGACAACTTTTCTGTTGTAAGAGTTTATGTCATGGAAAGTTCTAGAAGGATCATGAACTTCCTCATAAAATCTCGTAATAACCAGATCGATTCAAGACTGTTCTGCAAACTTCTAGAACATCACAGACCCTTCTAGAACGTCGATTTTTTCTGGGTCTGTTAGTTTTGCTACTTAATAATAGACGGCAACCGACGTCTTAACGTGGGCGACCTTTATAAGAGTAAAACAATTCAGAAATACTTGTGATTAATGTTTAAATGTGTGATATATTGGTGAAGTGAGGAGACAGCGGTGGGTACTGACCGGGCGTGTCGGGGAGCGTGGGGTTGAGCGTGCCGGGCTCGGCGGGCTGCGCCGGCCGCGAGCCCTCCATCGGCGTCTCCGCCACCGACTCCGCGCTGCGGGACCTGGGACCACCTCACACTCTATATCTATTTCTAGGATTCTCATCATCATCAACAGCCTATAACAGTCCACTGCTGGACAGGCACCCCATAAAACTTATTGTGCACGGATAGTACATACCTATCTATGTAAATGTTATGTTGGTTTCATCATCATCATCATCAACAGCCCATAATAGTCTACTGCTGGACATAGACCTCTAATTAGAAAGGAAGTTTTGGCGTACTATACCACGCTGGCCAGACGGTTTGATATAGGGTTTGTTTCAAGTTTTCCTTCTCTTTGCAGTGCTGTTGTCCTGCGTAGTTTGCTTATAAATAATTTTATTTGCTCCTTTCACGAGGGATCGAGTGGAATTATTTGAATACCTACTACAAATACATTTTTAAGATTGTCTTTTGGGTTCGATGTTTTTGTAACTAGTAAAACATTCTTGAAGCACATACGTGAATAAAACCTTACTATATATGAGGAAGGTTTGCATAGAATTTTACAATTAATTAGCCTTTAGTTATATTTGTTCTAGGACCTGTTTATGGGTTACTTTTGGGGTGTAAACAATTTTGCCCAAAATATCTCAGGTTGCTAAAAATGAGATGTAATATATAAGTATTTTAAAAGAAAAATAGCATGGCTTCCAATTCTGGGGAGAGTCTACAAAAAGGGGAATTTTACTTATATTTTTTGAGTTACAGATGTTTATGGACGAGTGGTAGCCACTTACCACCAAGTGACTTGTTGTCTTGTTTATTACCTGTGCCATAAAAAATGATTATCCCGTTACCTGTACACAGCCCAATATTAAAACTGTATCGCCAATTTAATACGCTGTTACCAATACTTTGACGATGGGAAAGCAATGTAATTTATTATTTTTTTAAACAATAATTATTGTGTTGAAATAATACACATTAAAATGGTTTAATCAATTTGAATATTAAAAAACTAAATAATGTCATGCATCATAATTAAATTCAAATACCCAGATTAAAAAAATAATTGTCATCAAAAATCTAACATTAAAAAAAATAATAATAAGAAAATAAATAAAGAATCATTACAAAACATTATTTCGTATAATCCTTAATTGAATAGATACTCTCATCAATAAGAAACACTCTAAGATTGTACGATCCACAGATCGACACAAACCGCGCTATATCACGTTCCGCGCGGTCAGCGATTTAACTCGATTAACGTTATTTTATTATAACATTAAAACAGTGCATTTTCGGTCACCATTCCGTTTGGTTGTACTCACACCATCTAACCATATCATTGTAGATTTAGTTAAGTTAATATAAACCAGGTTGGCTTAACTCTATCTTTTATTTTCCCTGTACGGTAACCATAACCCGTACAAAGATATAACTTTTCGTACACGGTTCTTTTAATTTCCAAAATAAAGTTAAAAGCGCCGTTATAAACGTACCTATTTCATTTTATAACCTTAAAAACTAATACGACCCATTTTTTTTAAGCAACACACATACATTTAGTGTTTGTCTAAGCTTGTAATCAAAAGAGGATAAGGAGTGGGGAGAGCGCGAGTGTGACGGGTGTGACGGGGCAGTTACCTGGGCAGGGCGGAGCGGACCGGCGCGTGGCCCTTGGCGCGGGCGGCGGCCAGCGAGCGGGCGATGGCGGCGTGCTCGTGCGGCAGGTTGGCCAGGTTGTGGAACACGGCGCGCTTGCGGATTATCGTGTACACCAGGTTCGAGTTACCTGACACACGCCCATACTTATTGCACAAAACTTTCATTTCAAAGCTCGTTGGTTCGAGTAAAACTCAACAACAAACAAAAGAAAATGTAATGGGCACGATCATTCGTTCTGCATCTGGGTGTAATTTATCTAAAATATATATGTTGTATTTAAAAATATATAAGTACGTTTATCAGCAGTCTGGTTACCATGGCATAGCTTTGCCTAATTTCAAACCAGATGACCGTGTGTGAGATGTGTTAAATTACTATTATTAAATAATTAAAACCTGTAAATAATAATGTGGATCGCTGGACCACACAAACTGGACAAAAACTTATGAAGAAAATATATTTTCTTATACGTTGAGTATTAAACGTAACACACACAACACATGAACATACACACACATATATACACACACACATACACACACACATACATACACACACATACATACTCTTTCGCACACACTAATAACCAAGTCCAAACATTTCCACCAATAGCAACTATTACTACAAGACTAAAGTAAACGACATCTCGGTCGAACACTGCCTCTTAAGATACAAGCCATGCCTAGTTTAAGAGTCGGAGACTTCCTCCTCCTTCCTTTGAGACCTATACAGCTAATGTAAAAATTATGTAACTACTGTAATTATTTGTGGAAATAAATATTAACAAAAAAAAGATGAAGAGCAGAGCTGTGAGGAACCATTTAGTTTTTAATAAATATGAACATCACTCTTTTTTTCAAATAGTCATATGTATTTAAAAATGAATTATCTCCAACTCACCATCAAACTGATATTGTATCATGTTATTGAACATCTCCAACAGAAAGAACACTAAGTGATGGTGATGGGCTTGGGAGAACAGGAACCATGGTGTGCTGAACGCCTCCAGCAAGTGAAGTAGTTTGGTCGAAGCCACCATCGACAATGTTTTCAGGTACGGTGATACTGTGGATACCAGTGTCAAAAAAAATGTTGAATGTATTAACAATAATTCAAAAAAATAGTTACTATACCAATACTTAATGAGGTTAAATTTACTGGTAATCCATAACTTACTGTTAAATAAACTGTTACATTATTTAAAAAAATCATTATAAATTAATTACATGTATTAAAATAAGATGTGACGTCATACATTGCTTTTGCAAAATCATTCAATTTTTGGTATTGCAATTAAAACATGTAATTATCCAAAACTTCATACATAAAGTGCTTAAATTCCTTAGTAAATTGTTAAGTTATTAATTCTAATCATAGACAACTACCAGAGTCAATTGCAGAGTTGTCATATTATTAACAATAGATGGCGCTAGCTGTCGAGTGGAATAAAAGTCATATATTGAGGTTAGGAATGATTTAAAAGAAGCTACAGTGTATAAAGCTAGGATAAATTAGGACTCTCACCGTTCACCAATATGGTGAGCAAACAATCAAACAGCGGCTGCAATCTCTGATGTCCAGTAGTGATGATCTTGTGGAACACGACGACCAACAAATCAGCGTGGCTACCGGTGAACACCGGTATGTCCATAGGCACAGTGGCTGTGTACGGCTTGTTGAGCCGCACGCCCAGGTTGCGTTCCCCGGATAGCAACAGCAATATGAACACCCCGATGTGCATTAAACCTACTCGAGCTGAACAGCGTAAGATATTATTAGACCTTGAACCTGAACCTTGAACTGTTTAGGATTCATTTCCTGTAAACTAAACATGTTTGGAGCAAATAAATATTTATTATTATTACTAGAAAAAGAAATTGACAAAGGTATTCTCATCACGTATCTTAGATTAAATCTTTTTGTACTGACGAATGTAAAATACCCCTTTGAGTGGCCTGCCTCGCTGAAAAGGGAGGGAGGTCACTCATGGTCATGTGATGGGCCATGATCAAGCCCTCATAGAATTGTTTATACTGATTTTTTAGGGTTTCGTAAATCAAAAAGTAAAAAAGGAACCCTTATAAGATCACTTTCTTGTCCGTCTGTCCGTGTGTCACCACCAATTTTCTCAGGAACGGGTAGACCTAGCAAGTTGAAATTTATACCAGATACTGAGGTTTATGGTCCCTATTAGATGTATAAAAATCAAGGTCTGAGCCAACACGATAAAAGATATCGGAAAATTTCGATTTACGCGAAAACTTTTAAATACTATAGTTTACCTTAATTTTCAACTTATTTTTCCAAATTTTCTCTTTACTTGTGCTGTAAGACCTTGCTTTTAACAAAAATTGACAATTCTAGGTAAACCGGAAGTACCCTATAATTATATTATTTTGGTCGAAAACCCATATGGTGGTTCCCATTGACCTAGAATCACGAAATTTGGCAAAAAGAAACGTCTTACAGCACAAATAAAGGAATAATTCCAAAAAATAAAAAACTTGAAAATTAGGAAAAATTTTGGTACTTACAAATTTTCGCGAAAATCTACGTAATATCTGGGTATGTACGGAACCCTCGGCGCACGAGTTCGACTCGTACCAAAATTTATCTACCGAGTTAAAAAATATCCGATTGCCTGGGATACAGAAAAGGACATAAATACCTTTCAGGGAGAAAAAAAATGGTTTTAAAAAACTAAAAAACACGCTTTCTATAGAAAACCAGACTAAAAAATAGAAAATTAATTTGAAAAAAAAAAGCGTTGGGTGCCTGTTATCAATAGTAAAAAGCACCCCACGCTTTTTTTCTATTTTTTTTTTTAGTTGTTAGACATCGGTCATCGGTCCTCGATATATCTACAAAGTTTGAACGAATTCTGACCGTTTAAAGTGAGTCAAATCACGCCCAAAGGAGTCAGTTACAAACATACAAACAAACATACAAGTCAAGCTAATATAAAGCGTGTAACAATAAAAATACTATAACCGAGAGATAAAAGCAACATTGAGACATAAGGTTCCTTTCGTCCAGAAACATGACTTACACTGATCAGCGCGCGAGTCATTGAGGTGATAAAGAATAGGCACCAACACCTCCAAAACGTCGCTACTCTTCAACACGTAGTACATAAATTTCTGGAACAACATTATTTTCTCTTAAAGTGTGTTCTTCGTTAATATACCTACTACCATTTTTTTTTAATACAAGGCTTACTCGCTAAAGTTCATGAACATTGACGACCGGATGGCGTAGTGGTTTGTGTAACCGATTGCTATTCCAAAGGTCGCGGGTTCGATGCCCGCTCAAGTCAAACATTTGTGTGCATGAACATGTAATGTTTGATTTGGTCTGGGTGTTTCTATGTATAATATGTATGTATTTACAAAAAAAATGTATTTATATCAGTTGTCTAGTAGCCATCGTACAAGCTCTGTTTAGTTTGGGGCTATATGGCGTTGTGTGAATGTGGTAGAATATTATTATTATTTACATAAAAGGCAGGAAAGGGCATTATTATTATCTTAAAAAAAAGATTAACTTAAAAAAGGTCTCCAAGTTGCCTTTTTTAGAGGTTGACCTGAAGGCCAATTCTCGTACTGCAAGTTTGGTCAAAATTCAGATCCGATCAACTCGATCTCGCAACTGTCATAAAATGTATTTTCGTAGTTAAATAGTAAAGTATTACTAAGACTAGCATATTCAATTTTCGGTTACAATACGATATGATCACGTTACAGTCAACGTTGAATGTTTAATTCCTTACTACGAATATACCTCTAATGAATTATGACTGAATTTACGAGAACTGGCCTTCCGATGACTATAAGACTGATTAGACACTAAAACAATAAAAACAAACAAACAAAACTTGTACAGTCATCTTTGAGTAATCGCGTAACATATTTTTCATTTTGCGATCTAAAAAAAAACACGCACTGTGAATATATCCTGTGTCGCGAGTTACTTTACAAAAAATATATGATACGGACACAAAGAACACCCAGACTCAGAACAAGAATTTGTGGATCACACAACGTGTTGTCCATGTGGGGATCCAATTCACAACACCCAGCGCAGTAGAAAGCGGCGGGTGATCGCTTAAGCCACTACGCCATCCGTCCAGTTACACACAGAGTTGAGAATAACATGTCATCACGGATTTAAAAAAAAAAAACATTATAATTAATTATTATTAGATTAGTAAAGAATCTAAGATGGAAGCTGATGTTAATAGTGTTATCGGGAAGTCATTTCGGCCTTTCTGACGGGCCTGTAGGTCTAGTGGTTAGTGACCCTGATTGCTAAGTCGAAGGTCGTGGGTTCGATGCCCACCTAGGGCAAAAAATTGTGTGATGAAATGATCACAATCTTTTTTTTTCTTTTCTTTCTTTTTAAAAAGACAACTCCCGTATTAGGCATATATCCTATGTCGCGGGGGCCTTTACAAACATACATGAAACGGAAACAAAGAACACCCAGACTCAGAACAACAATTTGTGGATCACACAAAGTGCCGTCCGATGTGGGGTTCTAATCCACAACACTCATCGCAGTAGTAAGCGGCGTGGCGACCGCTTAAACCACTACGCCATCCGTGCAGTAAAAATTTGTTCTATGTCTGGGTGTAATTATCTATAAAATGTATGTATTTATAAATACATAAGTGTGTTAATCAGCAATCTGGTTACCATAGTATAGGCACTGAATAGTTTGGGATCAGACTGCCGTGTGTGAGATGTCTGAGGTTATGATTACATATTATTATTTACTAACCTTGTTATAATCACACATCTTCCAGAACAGTACCAGCAGTTCCTGATGCAAGTTAACCTTTTTGGACGAGTTGGGGAGATACGTCTGCGCCAAAGGATTGTTCAATAGTCGCGTGACTCCTCGTAGGATGAACTGGAAATCCTCATCTCGATGGATTCTAGAGAGGTAGTTGATGAAAAGGTTGTCCGGAAGAGTCTGCGTAAAATAATAACGAACAGTAAAATTCTGATGTACCAATATGGTCCTGCAATTAATTGGCTATCATCACACATTAACCTATAAAATGACAGAATCCTGCATCTTTTGTTTAATCTATGTAAAAATTCTTGAACAAAGCTGAACAAAGAATGTTAAAATCCCGATCCAGATTAGCAATTTAGAACTCTCTGTGTACGTTTTAGGGTCTATATTTGTATGCAGATTTTTGTTTCGGTGTGATAAAACGTTATGGTTGACATGTACACTCACTTCCTCGGAATCTTCGTTGACCGCATTACTGGTGTCATGGTCGAGTGTCACTATGAGTACTTGTAACGCTACTTCGACGAGCGGCTCCACCGTATCAGCGAAGAGTAGATGGTTGTACGGCAGTCCAAGACCGACGGGGTCATAGGAACATACCGTGTTCAACAGCGAAGTGAACAGGGGCAAGGCGTGACGGTTCTCTGGGCTTGTCAAGTATCTGTGAGAAAAGACGCTATTGTTGAAACTATTAGTTTGGTATGCAGTCAACGTAGGTACAAGTGGATTTTGATAGAAACGGCTTTACTCATATAGGGTAATCGATGCAGAACTGTTTCTGTTTTTGAAGCGTACACAAATTAACTTTTTTTTTATAATATACAGATATGAAATGATATTTATTTCTGTAAGTAAATCTTTTCAGATATTTTTACAAGTCGGACTTTACAGCTAGAAGGAGCCGGCATTTCCTAAGGCTCACTTTGGGAAGAAACCCCGAAACAAACCACAGAGGTGTTTTTTTTTAGTCCGTATACAAAGTTAAAGAAAACTAGATAGTGAATTAAGTAAAACTAAACTTTTTTTATAATATTAATCATTATATTAACTAATTTGTATTCAACTTACATATCAGGCAACCATATAATTTCTATTTACGTGAGCGAAATCTCTCACTCATATATATTCGTATAAATAAAAGCGATATTTTACTTACAAATGATTTTCTAACATATTGAATAGATACTTTAACTTGTACAAAGAATAATTAATTTCCAAGAAATGCACTGTATACTACTGAACGCGGTGACGTCACAGACACGCGTTTGTACAGACAGCAGCACAAAAGATAGCACTACAAGCTTGCGGACGCAACTTTGCCTATGCAATTTTTTATGTAAAAAATAACATACATAGTGTTGTATTCAAAACAACGCCATTTTATATTAATCTTTTATTATTATACTCAGCCTAAAAAAAACAATATTGTTTCATCATCAATAGCCTTTAATAGTCCACTGCTGGACATAGACCTCTCCTTAGGCCTACTATACTATAATATTGTTTGCATGAATTATACTACGACGTTACGAGAACAGCTACAAACAATTAGTAAAAAAATTTAATGTTTTTATTTCAAGATTAACAACAAAATATACTTAACAGGAAATCTGATAACAATAGGAATGCGTCGTCGTTACGTGACTAAAAAAAAATAGTTTTAAAAAACTAAAAAACACGCTTTTGTATGTATGTTTGTAACAGACTCCTTTGGGCGTGATTTTGACTTACTTTAAACGGTCAGAATTCGTTCAAACTTTGTAGATATATCGAGGACCGATGATAATACACTAAATTAAAAAAAAAATAGTTTAAAAAAAACAAAAAACACGCTTTTTATAGAAAACTAAACTAAAAAATAGAAAATAAATTTTAATAAATTTGAAAAAAAGCGTGGGGTGCTTTTTACTATAGACAACAGGCACATTTTTTTTTATATATTTTTTTAAATTAGTGTATTTTCATCGGTCCTCGATATATCTACAAAGTTTGAACGATTTCTGACCGTTTAAAGTCAGTCAAAATCACGCCCAAAGGAGTCGGTTACAAACAAAGATACAAACAAACATACAAGTGAAACTAATATGTATTAAGCGTGTAAAAAGGGCGTTGGGTACAGTGGGCGCTCGAAGGGAAGTGACAGGGGTAGCGGGCGGGGAGTCGTATTCCACGCAAGTCTCAACTTATTGGAAAAAACGGATAGTACATACATCTATGTAAATGTTATGTTGGTTTCATCATCATCATCATCAACAGCCCATAATAGTCTACTGCTGGACATAGACCTCTCCTTAAAAAGGTTTTGGCCTTCTATACCACGCTGGCCAGACGGGTTGGCATAGAGTTTGTGTCAAGTTTTACTTCTCTTTCCTGCGTAGTTTGCCCCCTTAGTCAGCTCTTACCACACCCAAGGTACGAATAGGGGTGGTGACACTCTGTATGCTTAATTTGTCAATACACGGATGAAGATGGTTTGTGTACGCTTTAAAAACTCAAAAGTTATGCATCGATTGAGCTCAAATTTTGAAACGATACACAACCCGCTTCAAAAATTGTTTTTATTTATTATATCGTATCGCGTCAGTTTTGTTCTTCTATTCTAGACTTGCAACGAATAGTATATTCGGCAGTATACCGAATACCGAATATTCGGCGAGGCCCCTGACCGAATAGCCGAATATTAGGCAAAAGTATTCGGCTGGATAATAGCGCCAAAAACTTGTACAGACGTGCATTAAATTATGTACCTGTTTTATGTACCAATGACTACTTAATAAATGATTATAAAAGAAATGAGAACCTTACCCTTCTAAATTTTGATTACCACAATAATTCAAATACATAGAATCCTCCATTTTTCCAATTCAGAAGATGATTATTTACCTGTGTTATGCACCAATGACTACTTAAATGATTATAACAGAAATGAAAATATGAATATATACGTAATCAATCGATTTTAATTTTTCATTTTACCAATTATTTCTCAATGACAAAATATATTATTTAAGTATTCGGTATTCGGCCGAATAATATGCAGATATTCGGTATTCGGCCGAATATAATAAAAGCAGCCGAATAGGCCGAATACCGAATAGTAACCGAATATTCGTTGCAAGTCTATCTATTCTCATCTAAGTAACCACAATATGGCACACCGAATCATGGCAGGGTACAGCTAGTTACTTATATTTAAAACTCACGCGATCCATTTATTATGATGCGTAGCTGCGTGTGAGGTGGGCTTGTATATCGTCTCACTGAAGCACGTCAGCATGAGACGCAGCAGCTCTGTCCTCGCAGCCTCATGCGTCGAGACCCGAGGCGGGGTGCGGGCGAACCCCACGCCACCTGCCCAGATGTACTCGCAGCTATCCAGAGATGATAGTTCTTCAGCACGCTCCTACCACAGAAAAAATGTTATGTAGTTTTTAAAGACGTTGCACCCTAGAACTAAGGACGCTTGACTTTTTCATACACATGGGTAATTTCATTCATATCTTATTTTAGTGTATAATAGATGGGCCTGTTGGTCTAGTGGTTAGTGACCCTGACTGATAAGCCGGAGGTCGTGGGTTCGATTTCCACCCAGGTCAAATAATTGTGTAATGAACACGATGATTTGTTCTGTGTCTGGGTGTAATTTAATGTATGTATTTAGAAATATATAAGTATGTTTACCAGCAGTCTGGTTACTACATAGTACAGGCTCTGCCTAGTTTGGGATCAGACGGCCGTGCTCACACACGAAAATGTGCGAAAATATAAAAACAAAATGTTTAAAAAGATATTATTTGTAGTAACTATTGGGGGATAAATTGGATAACAGTCAACTGTGTCTCTGAAGGTTTGTTGACACTCATAGTTCAGGATTACCTATTTTAAGTATCAGCCGCTCATGTTTCGTAGATTATCTGTTTACTTTTTTCTGTGCCAACAATTTTAATGTTTATCGAATTAAATAAATAATATTATTCTTATGTCCCTCGAACACAAAAGGCCAGATGACCAAGTGCGGGTATTTATACTAATCGGCATGAGAACTTTAATTGCGCGATGTAGGATTATAATGGAGAGTGGCCCTGAGTTTGCTTGCTTTTTTTCTCATGAGGCTTGGAAATGGGCAGTTATAGATCGGCACAGGCATATAAGAGATTTTCGATACGTATATATTTAGTTTGCTAAATCTATGACTTTAGAGTCTACTCGTAAATAAGAGACGATTTCAAATAATTTAAAAGTTTGAGTTGAGTTTGAGTCCATTCGCGTTCAGAAAACAGTGACGCAGCAGTGCCGCATCGATCAAGCACCGCACCCTGACCAATCGGGTACCAAACTTTCGTACGAAACGATAATTTCTTCTAACCTGATTGGTCAAGGGGCGGGGCTTGATTGATGCTTCACTGTTTTCTTAACGCGAATGGACTATAGGAATAACTCCGCAGATCGATGTGCCTTCGTTACATGGTACTAAAGTGTGTTTCTATTTCGTTGTATGTGGAAATCGCCACAAGGTGTTAGAACTACGGAGAAAACCTAGTCAACTCAGTTTTGAGTTTTGACGGTTTCAAAATTTTACATCTAACAAATACTATCTAATTTTAAAAAGTCTTGATACGCTCAACTATTGGTAGTCCAATGGTTAAGGCGTTAAAATGCACAGAGATGAGTTCGATTCCCACTAAGTACATAGGTCTTGAATTGCTGGTATTACATACACACACATTATCTGTTTGGTATATAGTTTAAGAAATTGTCGTGTATATGTCACCGGAAAATAACAAGAACCGCGAATGTATAATTTTCCTAGGAAATTTATAAACCTTCGTAGGATTCTAAATGAGAGAAGAAAACCTAACCTAACCGGGATTCCAATATCAATACCGGGTTGGGGGGTAATGAGCTAGCCGACCAGCTCGCCAAGGAGGCGACTCTGGGACTGAAGGAAGCACCGGACTAGAGTTCGGTAAGTTTATCAATTTGCGAAAATGTGGGCGTAAAATAATACAATTTATACCTATCTTGTTTAGAATTCTACGAAGGTTTATAAATTTCCTAGGAAATTTATACGTTTGCGGTTCTTGTTTTTTTTCCGATGATTTACACAAAAATAAAGCTGTAAAGTAAATTAATTTTAAAAACATTAGTATAAATTGTATAAAATCTACATACATACAGCAGATACAAAGAAAAAAATGCTTTTACTTTGTTATTAAATGACCTTAGAAAACTTATTAATACTAACCAATAACGTAGACTATTTTAAGCTACATTATTTATCAGGGTCGGAAAAGACGAGTCCGCCCACTGTATTGTTATAAAGCTGATTATACCTATATTAATAAACTTGACTCTCCGTATACAGTCTTCTAAAGTGTTGTCATTAAATATTATAATAATTTATTGACTGAAATAGAAATACAATATTTCCTATCTTTAAATCTATGCTATGGCCCTTTGAAAGATATAATAATAATAAATAATAATATAATATATTGTTTATTTAAATTTAAAAACGTATTACAATATTCAATTACAAAAAAAAAAATCGTATGTGTTATACGCTCATCATACACAATCGCGCACATACAGTTTTACACTACACACCTTTTGTTTTTATATTATTTATACAATTTCTAATTAAACATACATTGACAAAGTACTATACTATGTATGTTTGTGTGTGATGTGTGTATGTGGGTGTGTTGTAGTGTATAAAATGACGACTTTAGATAGTTAACGGCGGTGTCTGTGCTAGTATAAACTGTGTGACAGACACCGGAGCCTTCCTCTAACAAGTAAAATTACATAATTTTAGAACATTTACAAATAGTACAGTACTTTGTCAATGTATGTTTAATTAGAAATTGTATAAATAATATAAAAACAAAAGGTGTGCAGTGTAAAACTGTATGTGCGCGATTGTGTATGATGAGCGTATAACACATATTATGTGTGTACGAGTGTTTCTGTGTGGTGTGTGTTTGTGTGAGGTATGTTTGTGTGTGGTGTTTGTGTGTGATGTGTGTATGTGTGTGTGTTATAGTGTATAAAATGACGACTTTAGATCACTTTCATGAGCAACTTTCTATCTCTTCATACGTTGCGTTTTATATAATATAACAATATCTTTCTGTAACATGCTGTATAACCATGAGGTAGTGACCTTTATGACACGAAAAACTAGTGCGTTAGGTGATGTTTTTGATATAAATATTGAGCAACATTTGAGGTGTATTACCATCAGCATCATGAGACGTGAAAGCAAAATCATCCCGGTGAGAAGCCACATGAGCAGCTATCTCTTCTCACAGCCCTCCAGCCATGATTTAAGTGTCGTGTAAGAAAAACGATATTGCTCTAAACAGGTAAGTTCCGTTTGTGTGGGGTGACATAACGCCACTAACGTTCAGACCTTCAACGGCCATACTACCACTGTATTATTATATTCCCGCACTGGGATAAATCCCGTGTCGCGTTGGACTTTACAAACATACATGAAACGAATACAAAGAACACCTAGACTCAGAACAACAATTTGTGGATCATACAAACTGTTGTCCCATGTGGGGATCGAACCCACAACACTCAGCGCAGTAGGAAGTGGCGAGGTAACCGCTGAAACCACTATGCAACCTAACCTAATGACCTAGAAACTACAAATTACATTTCTAAACATCAGATAAGGTACAATTATATACCAATAATCTTAATAAATGAATGAATGAAATATTAATCACAGGTATCTAAAAATAACTATGTACTTAAATAATTAATGAAAGAAAGCGGATTACGAACTATGAACTATTCATATCATATTAATGAGATGAAAATTCACGAACAATGTAAGATTATGTATCAATGCATCAATGCGATAACTCGGTCACAAGTCGTTAGCGGATCCAGAGCCCTCTTACGATTTTTGAATGAGTTATCACATTGATACTTTACACAATACATTAATCTAGTTATAAGAAAGTATACGTAATTATACCATAGCGCGATTCAGAAATTCGGTACAATGCCATCTGTCGAGCGGAGATATAAACTTATTTATTATGTTTTCCTGAAACGTTAATAAACTAAGAAGCTTGAATATTAAACTTTAGCTTCTTTTTTCTGTATGTTTAGTAGGCAAGAGAATAGGTAGTAAAGTATTTTTCACCCACCTACCCTCACCCCTCATTTGTTATTTTACTTACGTTCGATTTCTTTGATATTTGTGTGTTACAATAGTTTAGCAATGATATAATGTACTAGACAGTATTAATTATAGTACTTTGTGTTCTTTTCTTTTATGTTAGAGGCGGCAGACGAGCAGACGGGTCACCTGATGGAAAGTGACCATCGCCGCCCATAAACGACTGCAACTCAGGAGTCACAAACGCGTTGCCGGCCTTTTAGGAAGGAGTACGCTCTTTTCTTGAAGTTTTGAAGGTCGTATCGGTCCGGAAATACCGCAGATGATAACCCGTTCCACAGATTGGTGGACTTATCCGTGTGGTGACGAATTAAGAATACACAGTGTCACCACCCCTGTTCATCCCGTGGGTGTCGTAAGAGCCGACTAAGGAAGAAAATTACGCAAGACAAGAGACGGAAAACTCGAAACACAGTCTTACCAGCCAACCAGTCTGACCAGCGTATTATAGTAGGCCATAACCTCCTTTTTAAGGAAAGGCCTATGTCCATTGTGTATGTGTGTATGTATTTTTAAAACATAATCTGCTATTAGGTAATAAAATAACCTAATTTTGTGGTTAAATACGTTTTACATAATAATTAATTTAAAATTCCTGTACGAATAATGATAACGATAATTCATTAGTGTTAAAAACTATCGAAGTTAAGTGCTTTGCGTGACGTCACCGCCTGCAGAGCTAATAACTGACAGGCTACAAATGGATCGATATTACAGATAAGATAAAGTTACACTTACAGGCCCCGAGCGCTTCGTGCTGGCCACTGTGAAGTCCGGGCAGAAAAGGAGGTCCTGTTAACAAAAAAGTTTTTTTAGTTGACTAAAATCTTTTTTTAATTGAACGTTAAGTAAGTATGTGTCATACTACGTCCTTACAGAAAACCAGTGTAAAGCATTTCTTTCATTCCCCCCCTCTCCCCCCATAATCACAAGATGACAGCAACTCACTTGTGTCTTTTGATGACATAACTTGACGGTAACCTAACGTCCCCATGGAAACATGCTACATATTTCCATGGTGACGTTATTGGTATTTTGCCCTCTACACCATAAAAAACGAATAAATAACAACATTATAAGTTAAATAAGAACGTTATAGGTAGGCGTTATATACATGGGTAACATTGATGAACCCATACACTGAAACCCGCACACACCAATACACACATTAATATAATTAATTATTTCTGAAATTAAACTTGCACGTTTTATTTACTAGTTATTGCTATTGGTAATATTTTCGAGTTGGTGTTGTATTTCGTTTTTTAAGTAATTTTTGTGGAACATTGAGATATTATTCTATCATAGACTTGTACATTTTTAATGCTTAATTTCGATAATACCTACTATATTCTGGTATTAAGGAGTTATAATTGAGTAACTAGCAAGTGCCGTTCTTCAAACAAACTGTGTAAAATATCTTGGTTTCCGCTTAAGAGCCAGCGCAGACCGAGAGGAGCGTAGCGGAGAGGATTTTTTTAAGACACCCGAAAATAAACTGTAAAGTTATGGTTATAAAGTGCATGCACCTGAACAGAGCCCGCGTGTTCATTTTTGTCATGTTTAAACAATTATGACGGTAGTCTTCACTAACTAAACAACAACAAAAACAGCAACGATAATTCTATTAATTACGGTGTATTATGTCATTGTAGTTTATACATTTGTATCAATAAATATGATAAATCCATAATAACTTAATGGACCCAAATAAAAAAAACGTAATACAATTTCAAATTGTAAGGAAATGATTTATTTATTTTTCCAAATATGGCAATCTTTTTGATATCACCACTAATGAGCCACTGCCGTTCCATTGCCACTGTATAGACACTGAGTTAGTGTAGACTACCGATATTTATACCGATGCCAATGGCCACTCGATGGCATTTCAATAGCGTGTCAGTGGTATGACAGTGGCTTGGCGTGAACATAAAATAGCAGAATTGAGGCCCAGGTCAGAGTCAGGTCTCTCTGGTCCATGGCTCTCCGAGGTATACCTAAGTACCACGCAATAGATGCCACACCTCCACAGATTGGGAGAATTATTGGTAAGGCTTTTCACATAAGCTGTTCACAACGAAGAAGCTTCAAGAAACAATTAAGATCACACAGTTCCACATATGGGTGCGTGTTTGTAATTACGAATTAATTAAGAAAATTACGCAAGACAAGAGACGGAAAACTCGAAACACAGTCTTACACCAACCAGTCTGGGCAGCGTATTATAGTAGGCCATAACCTCCTTTTTAAGGAGAGGTCTAGCAGTGGACTATTGAAGGCTGTTGATGTGATGTGATGTAATGTATGTAAACAGCTGTATTAACAGATAGAATCATCCGGTCGTTGCAGCCATGGCAGTCCATGAATATACACATTACTTATTCATAATAATATGTAACATATGGCAGAATAGCAATTACATGGTCGGCTAACTTTGAACAATGTACATGTGGAGGAACGGGTGTCATGTCCCTCCAACACAAAGGGAGGATCCTCCGACCAGGCGAGGTGATCATGCCTGGCGGGCCGCGGCCCAACGGTTGATGTTGGGAAGTTGTATATATGCTAATCGGCGAGGGAATTCTTTATATCGCGATACAGGATTAGCAATTCTAATCTTAGTAGTTACTCCGTAGTTCGGTGTGTCTTCATTAGATGGCGCTGTAGTATGTTTCTGTGTCTTTGTATGTGGGAGTCGCCACATACATGTCCTAATCTAATCACAGGACGGAAATACGGGTACGCGACCTCGGCCTCGACTACTGAGCTCTCTGTCCCAATTTCCATCCAGGACTTGCTACATCCCTTTCGCTCACTCCCTCCCTTATCCGTTTTCTTTACCTTTCATCTTTAAGCTTTGTACTTTTCTGCTAAATGTTACAAGACACAAATAATATGGGGAAAGGGCATACTAATGTAATACTGGAGAGTATACCCTCTCCCCGCCGGGTTAAACTAGGTTTTACTCCGTGAAAGGAATGAAATAACTTCTTAACATCTGTTTTCTGTGAGGCAGTGGTATCACTAGGGAGGTGCCGAAGTGTGGCTCTCTCGCGGTTAAGCTTAGTCAAAACAAGAAGATTATGGAAATGCTTCGTTTCATAGACAGTCCACTTCCATGGCCGCATCTAGTTATACTAAACTAGCTTTTGCCAGCGACTTCGTCCGCGTGGTTGTCGACATCAGACATCGTATTAAACTCCGACAAACATTTCGCTGCCAAATGAGTCTCCGACAGAATGTTTCGTTTCTGAGTTACTCAACGGCAGAACCTCTCAAATACGAACGATTCGCCGACAAAATGTTTTATATAAGACCTAAGCAACGACAGTACCCTCGTTTACGAAGTCAGAAAATGATGATATGGACATAAAAACCTTCTTAAATGTCTGGGCCCACATTTTTCACTTAAATAATACAAAATAATGTGTCCTAGTAGTAGCGAGTAATAGTAAGATTCTGTCGTCAATTCACTGATTTATTAATCGTTCTGTCGGCGAAACGTTCGTAGCGGAAAGGTTCTGTCATGGATTAGGTCTTATATAAAACGTTTTGTCAACAACAACTCATAAACGAAACATTCTGTCGGCGAAACGTTCGTAGCGGAAAGGTTCTGTCATTGATTAGGTCTTATATAAAACGTTTTGTCAACAACAACTCATAAACGAAACATTCTGTCGGCAACTCATTCGGCAGCGAAATGTTTGTCGCAGTTTAATTTCAGAATCCAAAACTAACGAAGTATCATATAAATTTCCAACTCCCGATTAGCACCTTTAGGGGTTGCATTTTCAAAAATTCTTAGTCCACGCCTACGTCACTTAAGGAACATTTGTGCAAAATTACATGCTTCTAGACCCAGCGGTTGCAGCTGTGCGTTGATCAATCAGTCAGTGAATCATTCTGTCCGTTTCTTTTTTTATATATATAGATTGTCCAAGGTATTTATGATTATATTTGTCTGACTTTTCTCTTAATACCATGACTTAAAAACATATCCTTAAGCTTAAATAAGAATTTCAAGATCAGCACAGGTAACGGCATAATCTACAAAGTTAAATTATAAATAAAATCGTACTCACACAAACTGCATTGATGAGCGACTGAGCTAACGGCACAGACTCATTTTCACCTGCAGCTGGTAACGATGACCAGAAGAAACCATGCCATTCAGGTTCTTCCAACATATATGGCAAAACTCTTGTTAGCAGTCGAGCGCAGTTGAGTGCTGAAACAGGATCTGACGTCACTTTTTGTCTAAGACAGTTGAGGGTCAGAACCTCTTTGCTGAAAACTTTGCACATTATTTTTTTCATTTCTTATACGCTTATCATTTTACGCAGAATATTACATTTAGACAGTAGGTACATTATTTTAGTTGTTTGAAATTTGAGATGCGGACAACCTTGAGGTCGGGATAACAGTACCTTGCCAACAATATAACTGAATTGCCGGATATTCGTTAAACTTTTAAGCCAGATAGACATATATCCTGCCAACCTTCTAGCTGTTTTGCCGGATAACGGTCCAAACTTAAGGCCGGTTGAAAACCGGCTTATAGCCAGATATCATTCCAGATATCCTAACATTGTCAATTACTTATTGTGGATGCCAGTAGCAATGCCACATTATCTTAAAAATCAGCATGTCGATGTAATATTGTTCAGACAGATAACTACGTAAGGGGTGTTGACGCCAAAAGATATCGCCAGATTTTATTAGATTTTTTACTTTGAGTTCTTCAGTAGTTTATCTTTTTATTAGAGCCTAGACCAGCGATTATAATAATAATAATAACGTAATAACCTCACACATCTCACACACGGCCGTCAAATCCCAAACTAATCAGAGCCTGTAACCAGACTGCCGATAAACATACTTATATATTTGTTAATACCTTCAAATTTTAGATAAATCCAGACACAGAACAAATGATCGTGCTTGTCACACATTTGTCCTGGGAATCGAACCCACGACCTCTGGCTTAGCAGTCAGGACCAGTCACCACTGGGTCAGGGCAGTGAATAAAGATACGGATTTCGGCTTCGGCAAGGTTGTTCTAAATTTCATACGATTTAATTTAAGAATAAAAAATACGTAATTCTTCAAACAAAGTCAAGAGTATCAATAAATTAGATTTTCTTTAGTTTACTTTTGTTACAATGGTGTAGGTTACTACCTACCTACCAGGTAACTAAAAAATTGTCTATTTTAAGTAATTCGGTTAGAAATATTTTGATTAATTTTACTACATACTCGTTTCATAAGTTTCAATTATTTTTATTTAATTTTAGGGCCTGGCTAGGTGAAGCGTCGAACCGGGGGGGACCTGAAATAACAAGACCCGGGTCCTCCCCAGAGCAGGGCTCCTGAGACCGGCTGTCGGGGTGGTTTTTAGTGGAAACACCACATACTCCTGGCTCCTGCGTTCCAAAGAGCCGGAGATCCGAAAGGATATTTCAACCAAACAAACAAACTCACATTTACATGTATAATGTCTACTAGCGATCCGCCCGGCTTCGCACGGGTGCAATTTAGATACTACTAATGTCGTGTCAGTGTGGGGTAGTTAGTTATACTATTGTTATGATATGACTATACTACAGGAAATCTTTAAATGCAATATTTATTGACCCGCTCCGATCCTACCGGCCGCTGCCATCCGCGACGGACGTACAGCACGACGGTCGTTGGGCCCCCGCATTTTAAACCTCTAATATCTTCTAAAATATTCATTTAAATGATATGCTGTAGAGAGCAATTTAGATCAATCTACATTTAATGCACAACGTATCTAACGTATCTAATTGGATAAGGAATAATAATGTATTGTTTAAAATAGCTTCGTGAATAACGCAAATTTTTTTTGTAATATTTAAAAGATAAAAATGGTTACTGTGGGTTATCCTTAGGAGATAGACATACACCATCGCGGACTATTTTGTAGTTATTTTTAAGATATACAATTCCGTAGTACATTATTTTGTATCCCGTAAGGTTTAGCCTGCGTTTGCAAAGTAAGCGCTCAAAATCATGTTTTTTACAAGAAATCTTTGAAATTCTCAGATTTTCTATACTATTATATTATTATTATTATTATTCTATAATGCACTAGCAGATCACAGATCTGATGCGTACATATCACTGCACTTGTGTTCATTTTGTTGTTTTTAAATGTTTGTCTAGTCTGTTTTTAAAAATGTTCACTGATCCAGCACTAATTACACTTTCCGGTAAACTATTCCAAATGGTCACCACGCGATTTGGTAGAAAGTGTCTTCTAGGGTTGCTAACAGACGGAGACCTGGTGAGCTTCAATGGGTGTCCTCTCAATCGGGTATTAGAATTCATAGTGTAGAGGTTTCCGATGTCTTTCACATTGTAGTGTCCAGTTAATATTTTATATGTTTCAATCAGATCTCCCCGTTGCCTGCGTTGCTCCAGTGTAGTTAAGTCTAGTTCAATAAGGCGTTCCTCATATGACATGTTTTTTAATGATATAACCATTTTTGTAGCCCTCCGTTGTACTTTTTCGAGCATTTCTATGTCTTTCTTGAAGTATGGATTCCATATTTGAAATGTGTACTCCAAGAGCGGGCGGATGTATGTTTTGTAGATCTCTATAAACAAGTCTTTCGTTATGATGTTAAATGCTTTTCTAACCACATACAGCATGGAATTAGCCCTCTTCACTATATTTGTGATATGTACATCCCACTTGAGGTTATGTGTGATGGTTACCCCTAGATCTCTTTGGGAACTTACAGGTTTCAGTTCCACCGAACCAATCTTGTATTTCAACTTCGGGTTGTTGTGGCCCATATGTAAAACGGTACACTTCGTTGCATTTAGTGGGATGAGCCAGTCCTGTGTCCACTGTACAATACGATCCAAGTCCTGTTGTATAACGCTATGACTGATGAGGGGGTTTCCCAATATTTTGGTATCGTCAGCAAACACAGATAAGTCTGATCTAATAGCACTTCTGAGGTCAGTAATGAAGATACCAAACAAGACAGGTCCGATCACAGATCCCTGAGGCACTCCGCTGTGGACATTGTGAGCTTCTGATAGTGTGTCCCCCAATCTTACTCTGAATTGTCTATTAGTTAAGAAGTCAGATATCCATTGAAGAAGCTGTCCACGTATTCCGATGTGCTCGAACTTTGCTGTTAATCTTTTAATGGGAACCCTATCGAAAGCCTTTTCATAGTCCAGGTAAATAGTATCAGTTGGTTGATTGTTATTCCAGTTGCACGTCCACTTGTCAAGGCAAGTAAGAAGATTTGTGACAGTGGATCTCTTAGGAACAAACCCATGTTGTTCTTCCATAATAACATTCTCCATACTGATAAATTGCCTTATTTCTGCTGCTATTATTTTTTCCATCGTTTTACAAGCTATACTTGTAAGGCTGATTGGACGGTAGTTGGCTGCAAGGTATTTGTCACCCTTTTTATATATTGGCGTCACATGAGCTTCCTTCCACTCCTGCGGTAGTTTTCCTGTTTTAAGAGACACATTCATAATATGTGACAGTTGGTGAGAAAGCACATTGCTACATTGCTTTAATACTATTGAAGGCAGAGAATCAGGACCCGAAACCTGACCCCAGGAGGAGGAAATTGATGTTGTATCGCTGAATGTTTTGAGGGTTTTGCTAACAATATCTGGGGAAATTGTGATATTTTCAATAGATTTTTCAATGCGTGGCATCTTAATACATGGCATTGACGTGTTTGGTGGTTCCGCAGTATACGACTTTACAAATTGCCTAGCGAACAGGTTGGCCACTGTCTTCTGGTCATTGATTAAATTCTTACCATCGTCCTTCAATGAGGGGGGTACTGACACCGCTGAAGAAAGCTGTTGGCGCACATACGAATAAAAGGCTTTAGGCCCACTATTTACGATTCCTCTTTCGAATTCCATTTTTAACTTCTTAACCAATGTTACAATTTTATTGTTTAGTCTGCGGTAATCTTTATATGACTCATCAGTGCCTTTAAATGAGTATATTTTCCACAATCGCTTTTTATTGTCTATCATTTCTAACACAGCCTTATTGATCCATGGTTTATTTATGTTTCGATTCAAGCGTCTGCTTGTTAAAGGAACATGAGTGTTAATAGCGTGTATCTTTGAATTATAATTAGAACAGGTAATGCTTGTGAAATTATTCCAAGCTTGATCAACATCAGAGCAGCTTAAATCCATAATGTTGTTTTTTATTAGTGTTTCACACATTTCTCCATAATTAGTCTTGAAGAAGTTGTGTCTTCGTGAGCGTTTGAGGTGCTTTGTAGACAGTTGGTTTTGAATTTGTATTGTGGCTACAAGCACAAGATGATCACTCTTTCCTATGTTTGGATGGTGTTCTACTTTTGTACACAAATTAATCTCGTTACAAAGGATCAGATCCAACAAGGATTCTTCATCATTTCGCTTTCTTGTTATACTGGACATCAATTGATCCAAGTTGCTGTTTGTATACACATCTACAAATTCACTATGCAGTTTGTTGTAATGGTCGACATCTACATCACACAATGGCCACTTCAAGTCAGGGAGATTAAAATCTCCCATTATAAACAAGGGTGTTTTCCCTTCAGATGCATGTTTGATAGTGCTGAACAGCAACCGGTCAGTATCCTCAAGTTTGTAATTTGTTGGTCTATATACACCCGCCCCCAGGACTTCGAAACATCCATATTTTAAATTCAGCCAAAGAGCCTCAACAGCCGCGTGTCGGTTATATGTCGGATGAAGAGTTACCTGTATAGGCAAGCCACAAAGTTTGCACGAAACATAAATAGCCACTCCCCCCCATCCGGTTCCGTTCAATCTGTCATGTCTAAAAAGCATATAACCCTTAATATCGACTAAGCTATTGGGGATAGTTGGTTTAAGGTGTGTTTCTGTTATAATTATACATGTAGGTTTCAATTTATTTATCTCAATAATAAGCAAATCTCTTTTAGCCATTAACGATGCCAAGTTGGTGTAGAAGAATGTAAACTCAACAAAGGGATCGTTGGGTGTTATTGGTTTTTTGTGGTCAAAATAGTGGGACTACCGCTTACATACTTGATAGTTAAGTCCGTTTCACCAGCCTCAATTCGACGATTCAGATTCTCACGTAGGTTTCTCTAATAATCGCGTTGGTACGGTGTCAGATCGTTTTTCGCCACAACATTAGAGGGTAATTTTTTATTATTTTTTAATACATTTATTGCCGATTTTTTATTAGAGAAGATCACCTTAAGTGGTCGGGGTGAAGTGCCTTGTCTGCGCTTACCCAGACGTATGACAGCAATGGGCGTTTCAGATTTCGAAATGTTAGACAGCACCTGCTGTGCTTGGGTTTTATCATGATTAATACATACCTCTTTGTCACACCAAACAGAATAACATTAGCACTGCGCCTCTTCCTTTCCGACAATTCGGAAAGAATTGTTTCTATGTCACCGCCTCGGTTTGGTTTGGACTTGAGAGTGTCTACTTCAATTTTAAGTTGGGAAACCATATATGCATGTATTATACATATAAAACTTCCTCTGGAATCACTCTCTCTATTGGTGAAAACTGCATTAAAACCCGTAACTTAGTTTAAAAGATCTAAGTATACAACACAAAAAGTCGACTTTATTTTATACTAGCTGACCCGCGCAACTTCGTCTGCGTCTCTCAATAGTAATAAATTTTCTCCGTTTTTTGAAACATTCTTCATTGGTGCTCCGCTCCTATTGGTCTTAGCGTGATGATATATAGCCTATAGCCTTCCTCGATAAATGGGCTATCTAACACTGAAAGAATTTTTCAAATCGGACCAGTAGTTCCTGAGATTAGCACGTTCAAACAAACAAACAAATTCTTCAGCTTTATAATATTAAGTATAGACTATGTAAAGAAAAAGTATGAATATAAAGATTAGTTAGGATTTATTTGTTAATTGTTAAGGAAAACCGTGCAAATTCTTATTGTTACTCTAATCATTAATTGTATAGTTTAATGATTTACCTTATGCATATAATCCATACTCATATTACAAATGCGAAAAAGTGTCTGTCTGTCTGTTACCTCTTTGTTGCTTGCATGCTTAAACTGCTGAATTTTGGTCTAGCGATAGTTTGAGTCACGGGAAAAGCCTACGATAGTTTTTATTCCAGAAATCGTCCTTTGAGGGGCTGAAAGGGGGTGGAAGTTTGTATAGGAAACCAATAACCGCTGAATCAATTTAGATGAAATTTGGTATGTAGACAGTTTGAGTCTTGAGGAAGGACATATGCTACTGACATACACGCGGGCGGAGCCGCGGGCAAAAGCTGGTTTGTTAATATATTTGCAATAATTTAACCCACATTATTTTTCCCTACAAAAAATTCCTGACGGTCTGCTTTGTTTTACTTGATACCTAACTATGCTCTAGTGGTAAGTGATCCTGGCTGCTGCCAGAGGTTGTGGATTCTATGCCCACCCAGGACACATAATTGTTTGATGAGAATGATCATGTGTTCTGTGGGTGTAATTTATTTATTATATGTATGTATTTAGAAATATTGAAGTATGTTTATCAGCAGTCTGGTTTCCATAGTACAGGCTCTGCCTAGTTTGGCATCAGACAGCCTTGTCTAAGATGCATATCTGTCCCACTGCTTCTGTCCATCTTCTCAATTATAATTTTCTCTTTAAAAAAAACTTGTGCACCTAGACAAACATTTACCCATCACCCAAAGGTATACTGGGAGAAAATGCTTTTATAGAACAACAATTAACTTACTTAAGATAGTTACAAATTATTTTATTAGTAAAGAAGATTATAAAAAAAAAATCAGGACTTTTTTAAAAATTTAATACAATGCAAGTTGCAATAATGAGGCAGTTGTTTTATAGTATTTTCCAGTACTGCAAATAATAGTAATCTTTTTACTAGTTGTTGTGGCAAAACTTGGGAGAGGCTTATGTCTAGCAGTGGAGGATACGATAATAATAATTATAAATAAAAATTAGTTTTCCTGTGATCCTGTAACCAGCCAGCAACTGACCTATTTTCCATCACCAGTATAGGATTTTAAGGCCAGATACTGAATAGTAACCATTTACCAGATTCATATCTAATAATATGAAGAGAATTTTATGTGCCTCTTTGTAAGTATTTTAAATAAACCTTTCAAGTAAAGATAGTCTTTTCTTAACAATATTTTTTGTGTATTAAAAAAAATATGTGACTTCAAAGCATAAATTCTATTTAAGCTATATTTATATAAGTTGTCCTGGTGTGGAATGTTTATATGATAATAGTTCAGGGATTGAACACCTTGATTATATATTCAACATTTAATTATTTTTTTATTAATTATAGACTACTAGGCAATCATTTATTTACATAAAATTGGTTAAGTAGGCAGTAGCATTTAAAGCAAAATTGTATGCATTGCGAGAAAAAACTTTTAATGAGAAAATAACCATCTTCTTCTTATGGCTTCTACACATAGGCTTTATTACATTTATTTAATACAGACTCTTTATAATACATAAGTTTATCTATAAATCTAGTTATTAAATATCTCACCTGTCTGTTGCTCTCTCTGGGTTCTGCAACTGCTATCGACCATCTTCACTAACTTTTCAACAGCTTTGTACACAAGGGTCGCTAAATTATTCGGTGACTCCTCACGTAAAGCGCGGATCTCAGCACCTGGCACCAGCGCAAAAACATCTTGCACATTTGTTACACTTTCAGACCAAAATTGATCCCAGAAACTGTCGTCCGATGATTCAATAGGCTGAAAGGAAACTATTTCATCAATATTCTGACTCAATATCGTGTAACAACCCATAACATCAAATATTATTTGTCTTACTTGAGTTTTAGAGGTAAGTTGTACCACAGCTTTCCTAAAATTCAATTTTGTGTCAGCGTTACCCATTTTTTTTTTATATTTATTGTCTTAAAAACAAAATCCCATTTCAACTTGCGTCCTACAAAAACAATGAGAAATGACAAACTGACAGCTGACAGTAGACGACGTGTCACAGACAATTTTGTTTTGGCCTTAATATTGAGAAGAGCTAATAATTGTTTTTTGTTTAATTTACAATCTTCCTCTACCACGCTGGACGCATCCGAAGAGATAAAGATTCATCAGGATGTGGCGAAAATTTTAATTACCCATAACTTTGTTATAGTCCGCAATTCCATCTTTAATATGGTTAATCACATCAACAGCCTTTAATAGTCCACTGCTGGATATTGGCCTCTCCTTAGAAAGGAGGTTTTGGTGTATATCATGCCAAATTACATTATATTTTTATTTATAATTATAGGGATCACATTCATCAAGTGATTCAAGTATAACTTTATGAATGTGTAATCTACGAGTAGAAGCAAATGGAGCCCCGTCAAATATCACTGGCCAAAACTAACATAAATCGACTTTATTTATAAACGTTAGGTAATAGAGATTTTAGTATTGCAGTTGCAGTCATAAATGACTCGCGCATTTAATTAAGTTTCAATACTTTTTTCTATTGTCTGTGGCACACTTTGTTCATGTGTGGTCTTGTCAAATCTCATTTTCATCGCATTCGATTCTGGTCTGGAAAATGGCTGCTGCAAATCTTGTTCGCAGTGCCCTAAGTGGATTTTTACGAAAATCCTCCACATATAAAACACCGGTAGTATGCCGGCTTTCGACCGTTGCTTTGCAACAAAAAATTACTAGCGTAAATTATGCCATCAAAACATACAACAGTCTGAATCACCAAAATGGGGTAAGCTCGTTTATAATCTACATCAGTCAATAGAATGTGATATTTTATGCATAATAATAAAATTAATTGGAATTAATGTCAATGCAAATTGTAATATCGTTTGGTCCTTATGTCAATACTATTGATATCTTTTGTCTAAAAGATAACCTAAAATTTATTGCATAACAAATGTGTACAATGTTTAGGTAGCGACACTGCGTACCCAACGATACTACTGTGCTACTCAACCCAAACCAGGACAAAAGGAAATAGAGGGTAGAGTGTTGAAAGTTTGCAAGGCTTACGACAAACTCAAATGTTCACAGGTACATACACTATTTTTATTTTTGTACAATTTTGTTTCAGAACCTGTATGTGAGTGCCCGCAACTACAGCGGCGGAGCTCCTATCACATTAGAATTACTTAAAAGTAGGGTGTTACTTGTACTACAACTTTATGACAAAATTAATCCTGAAAAGGTAGTTCCCTCAATATTTAATGTCAAAGAAGCTTTAGTTTTAAAATTCATAGACACTATTTGACACAATGTTTGTTTTTTTTTTCAGTTGAGTTTAGAAAGCCATTTCATTAACGATCTTGGATTGGACTCCTTGGATCATGTTGAGGTTATTATGGCTATGGAAGATGAATTTGGATTTGAGATTCCTGATGTAGATGCTGAGAGGCTCCTTAGACCAAAAGACATAGTCCAATACATAGCTGACAAAGAGGATGTTTATGAATAAATACACAAAGTACATTCAACAAATGTCTGGAATTTTAGGCCAGTTGTACACATATGGTCTAATGCTTATAACTGGCTTAAGATATCAAGACAACGAGTATAGGGCTTAGTTTGACTTTATTTACTTGTTATTCACATAAGAATGAACAATATAAAAACACTTCTAATCAGTCATCTGTTTGTGATGTATAAAGTGTAAATTCTGTTTTTATTGTGATTATATGCCTGTTAGAGTAGATCATTTGTTTTTCATTTGATCTTAAAATACCTGAATCAATAAATTAACACTGTATTGAAGGTGATTTTAATTTATGTAAACAAAGTATGTCCCCTAAACACTGATTGCATTTTAAATATTTCAAATTAATACAATTTCAGTTAAATATAGTCGAAGAATATCTTTGTAGAACTGGGACTAGAAAAATACCACAGCAAAAAGGTATTGGTCGAAATATGATTGCAAAACTTAAACCGTTTTAAAATAATTATAGATGTTTAAAGCTCAAAATGTTTTTATTTGCAACATTCTTTTAATTGTTTATGCATTTTATAAAAAAAAATTGGGGAATAAAAGCTAGGCTATACAAAGCTTTTATGAATGATATGTTTTTTGTAATTGACTTAGCGAATTTTATATCATAAATATTTATTGTCATAAAAGACAATTTGGTGAAGCACTTGCTTGAATGAAAGACTGGGACTAGTGAAGGATTTACCTGAAAAATAAATCATCAACAGCACTTACTAGTCCACTGTACGACATAGGCCACTCCTTAGAAAGGAGGTTTTGGCCTACTATACCACGCTGGTCAGACGGGTTGGTATAGGGTTTGTTTCAAGTTTTCCTTCTCTTTTTAATATATAATTTTGATTATATTTACGGGAGTAAACACACGATAAGTAGGTATTAAGGAACATTTATTTGAAATGTCTGATATTTCAACCAAGATGCACAGAACATGTCGGTCAAAGATTATACAATATTAATAAATATAATAACACTATCTATTTTAAATCAGTTCAGAAGATATTGATTCCCTATACAAACTTCCACCCACTTTAAAGTATGATATATGGGATAAAAACTATCCTGTCCTTTCTCGGGACTCAAACTATCTTTATACCAAATTTCATCTAAATTGGTTTAGCAGTTCAAGCTGAAGAGGTAACAGACACACTCATATTTATATTAGTATGGATGTCAGTGAACGCGGAGCGGGAGAGGACGCAATTGGAACCGGTCAGGTGAGCACGCGATCGGCTCATCTTATTGTTTCACAGTGGTTGTGCTTTACATTTAAAAGACGTTTTAACTGAAAAAAAAACTAAATAGATTTACCACTTGCTAGAATCATTGGTAATCTTGTTTGGCATCCTTAATAAAAATATTTCGTCGTAAATATGTAATGGCTCGAAACTATTTTAAATAAACAACTGTTTTTACTGAAACATCACTTTTTTCGCTTTATGCATAAGTATGAGTTGTACAATAACGAATTTAATGCCACAGGCATTTTCTCCCAGTCTACCTTAGGGTGGTACTGAAATGTGTGATTTAGACAGGTCACCTGATGGAAAGTGACAATCGCCGCCCATGAACGTCTGCAACTCAGGAGTCACAAACGCGTTGCCGGCCTTTTAGGAAGGAGTACGCTCTTTTCTTAAAGGTTTGGAGGTCGTATCGGTCCGAAAGAAAATTATTGATAAGTCAGACAGAAACAATGCGATAATATATATATACATGCATACGTACCAAATACATATATACATAAGTATTAATATATAAAACTAAGGTTGTAATCTGCTAGGGTATCTAAAATTCGAGCTCGAACTTTCATCTTGAACGAGAGGCGGCTGGGTGCTATCCTGATTTCGAGGAGTGTTCCAGAGGAGTACGAATTGGATTGCAGAAGATAATTGGTTCTATGGTTGGAACTCAGAAATTGGAATGAAGATGTGAGTTAAGAGGGGGAAATGGGTGAGTTGAGAATGGAATAGAATCAAAAAATAAAACCACAGAATGAGAATCATAGTATTATTTATACAACTTTATATTGATACCGTTTGACGTTAGATAAAGGAGATGGGAAAGTGGTATCAGTAATAAAAGCATTACAATATTTGGCTAGGCGGTAGTACAGACAACATTTAGAGAGTTAACACACATTTATAATATGCCTATTGAGTTCTAAGTAACGGTTATGAAATATATCGTAACATTTAATCGGTAACGGTTTACGGATCTAATATTGTCCTCCATCTCCTTTAACCCTTTAAAAAAGAAAGATACTCTCTAAGCGTACAATAATAACGTTTATATACAAACTAAGCTCGGGACATCTACGCACCGCACCATACTTTTACACACAAAACACACGCACGAGTTTCACAGTTTTTAAATACCCTATTTATTTATTTACACACTCTAAATCGGAACTCGCAGCCTCGAGATATATTATTCTCTTATAAACAAAAAAGAAACAATTTAAATACTGATACTCGCAGTCGTTCAGCCGCTCCGGGCGGCCATGCTGACAGACTACCAGCACTTACAAAATAAATAACAAGGAAGGCCAGGTCGCGCGCTACCTCAGGCGCGCCGAGCGGGGCCGCGCGGCCGAGCGCAGGCGCCGCGCCGCCGCCGGGTCCACCCGCGCCACGCGCACCACGGGCTGCAGCCAGTCGGCGAGCCCGCCCAGCCCCGCCAGCGCGCGCCGCGCCGCCCGCCGCCGACCGTCGCCGTCCTCAGTCTCTGAACTCCGAGCCTTCTGCTCCGCCTCCTCCTCTACCTGCACCGCCTTCTCCTCCCGCAGCGTCGCGTCCTGCGCGTCCGTGGAGTCCGTCGTCTCGCGTCTCGAGGCCGACGCGACCTCCGCGAGGGTCTTGTCCTGCGACCCCTCCGAGCTCGACTCCCCGCCGATGGGTTTCTCTTTTTCGGGTTCCGATAGATTCGCGTCCTCCTCGCTGATCGTGCCCTGCGTCGTGTCGTCGTCGACCGACGATCGGTCGAGGCTGCTGTCCGCTTTGGTTTCGGACTCGAAGCTGCTCGTCCTCGAACTGTTCTTCGTTTGCTTCCTTTTGTTCGGCCATCCCGTTCGATTCTTCTTTTTGAACTTCCCGCGTCGACGGCGAGGGCGATCGGCCGCCTCCTTGATTTCGTTGCGAATCAGATCACAGTTTTCGCACTCCGAAACTAGACTAGAGACGTCCGGTAAGTTCGTGGACGTGGCCACGGCGGCCTCCCCGTCCATGACCTCCTCCGAAATGTCGAACTCGGCCGCGTCCTCGAACACTTCCGATAGAAACTGTTGAAGCCTCTCTGATGCCTCCTGAGTTTCTGAAATCAGAGGTTCGATTTTGAGGTTGCAATGGGTATCGCTAACGGTGTCTTCCGAAGCCGTCGACTTTGTGTCGTCGGGATGTTTCCTGCGATGCAGAAGTCCAGCAGATCCGAGTATGGCTAATGTTGAAGCGTGTTCACGAGGAGATTTCCGCGGGTGTCCCTCGAGCGCTTGTAGAGCCGCCGTCCGTTTTCTAATTTTCTGTTTCTTCATGCCCCTTGTACCGTATGAGCGCGAGGGTCCGGGTTTGTCTTCTCGTTTCACTAAATCACTGAGAGGACAGCAGTTCGGTTTTAAGGGTGGTAACTGACCTATTTCATATGGTAACTTTGGCGATTTAGAATAGAGTGCTGAAACAAAAAATAAATAAATTTATGTTCACTGAATTTAAACTCCAACACTAGTTTTTTTTAAGTATCATTACTTTTTAGAAATACTTAAAATTAATTAGATTGCTAAAAGGTTGTACTAAAGCTAAAGCTTTAACTGTCTTGTTTTTATTTAATGTATTTTTGATATATGTTAATATCTATTGAATTGCAAACAATATCTAATAAAAACTATAACATCTGATCATTGTAGGCATAAAGTAAAATGTGCTCTACACAGCTGCCGATGCATGCAGGAGGAATTATTATTGTTAAAATATATCTATATTACTTATCATTGTCATGTAATTTGCTAAAATCAAAGTATCAAATTACTTTGATTTTAGCAATTCTGTGTTCTGCAGATATAAAGCATTTGAAAAATGGAGCTTACCAAAATATTTGGGTACATTTCGAGTAAGCACTTTGTCCTCATCTTGCCGTTTGAAGGTCTCAAACCAGGGTTCACTCTGTGGCACACACTCAAAGGCAAACTCTAGCTGTTCCACAGCAGGTGTATATTTTAATTTGCCATCTTCCCATTTCATACACTTTTCGACAGGCTCTTCTCTCAGTGGACTAACTTCAGGGACTGGTGTAGGTGGTGGGACAGTGATCTCAGCTGGTACCAGTTGTGTAATAACTGCTGGTTCTACCTGTGGTGTCTCTACAGACTGTGCTTTATATTGAACTCTACGGGCTCTTTTGACCACGGCCGGTGGTCGCTTCTTACGCCTTCTCTTATCCTCTGGCCAACTATCATCTTCTGAGGATTCTTCTTTAAGTGCTAACGGCCGGGCCTGTCTTCGTCTTTCGTTTATGATCGGCGGCGGTGGGGGAGGTGTGCATTTCCGTCGTGGGCTTAATTGTTTGTCTACATCGTCCTCTTCATCGTCATCTTCACCGTTCTCATCGTCCTCCTCCTCGTCTGACGAGGTCGAGCTTGTCGAGCTAGCGCGCTTAGGAAACATGAATTGCTCAGCCTCGTCACTCAATACTGACAGTTCCGACCGCCGAACTTTCCTAAATTTGACGACTAGAGGTTTAGTGCCGTTGCAAGGCGGCGGTGAATCCTTACGTTTGGCTGTGAAGCCCCCGCTCGACCTCAATTTGGTACTGACGCCCACCACTTTATAATATTGGCGGTCCTCAACATGTGGCTCGTTAACGCGTTTACTACATCTAGTGTTGTGCTTCTTCTCATCATCCAGTCCTCCATTACGCCTCGGACTCTGGTTCCCGTTCATTGTTGAATCTGGTGACTGCGATCGCATAGACCGTCTGTTCTTGGGTTGGTCGATGTCCCCGTTGCACATGTTTCTAAGGGATCGTCGTTCACCGTTGACGGGCGTGGCCTTGTCGAGGAAGGCGGAGACGTCTGCGCCGGCTCCGATGAGCGAGTCGAGTGCGAGGAAGTTGGCGTGGTCCCTAACGAAGGCCAGGTGGTGCGGCGAGCGCCGGTGCAGAGCCGCGTCCACGTACTCCGTATTGCACATCTCGCAATAGCCGCCTTTTATTTCTTTTTCTTCCCTTTCCTTGATACGTGGGCGAGTTTTTCTCGTCATTCTGTAATAATATTTATCCATTAAGAGTTATATCTAGAAGGACATTAAACCCTTCGATTAGTGTTCAGGGATATACTTACTTTTGGATTAGGTCTTTTGTAGTCTGATTAGTATTTTTTTCAGGTGTTTCCTTTTTCTTCTCTTTTGGTGGGTCTGGCTCTAGTGATATCTCAGGCCATTCATCGAACTCTTTGTAAATAGGTCTGCACAGCCTGAAAACGAAAACCAAAAATTGTACCTTTCTGTAAACAGAGTGAATGTGAACATTTTTTTTATAAATGTTGTATCATACTTGTCCAAAAATTCAATCTTGATAAAATGTTTAGTGAAGTGCGTGACATGCGCTTTGCGCGACGCCGTGAAGAATGTATACAGTTTATCCAATAGACTTATAGCCTGAAAGATTAATAAATATTTGTAAAGATATATAAAAATAAAGCCCAATATTAAAATAAATAAATAGAAGTGTTAGAAGAATAAGAAATATTAGTAATAGGACAGAGGCAGTGGAGAGAGTGAAGCAAGCACAGTAGGCAAGCAGCTACCATCTAGTAAGTCATCAAGGATAATGTTAACAAACATATGCTAGATTCTCATACTGTACGTATCATTACTTTAATTAATTCTACTGGGTGTGCAGCCATATTCTTTTTTTTTTAAATTGTGTGTATAATCAAGAATAATTCAGCTAATACACTACTACACACATATCAGAAAAGCAATAATGATGAAATACCTTTTGAACTGTGAGCTGGACGTATCGCGCGTTGGGCGAGTGGGGCGAGTGGGCCGAGTGGGGCGAGTGGTGCGCGGGCACGCGCTCCAGCATGGCATCAGCACGCGCGCGCCACTCACGGCGCGCCGGCGCCCATCGCGCGCCCGCCGCAGGGCTGCACGGCGCCGGCCGCGACCGCACCACGTGGGTCACGCGCGACGTTAGGAATACTTCTTGTTGCTGTAAACAGCCACAAAGTGTTACTGTACATCTCATATAATGTCAATGATCCCTGAATTGTGACTGGCTTCAACTTGATCCTATCCCACATCGCACCATAGCTACAGGGTACATTTACTTTTTATACACTAAGAGGAAGAGAGGTGTGAGAGATCAGCAGGTGACCAGATAAGAAAATGGCTGCCCCACTATGCGAATTACTCCCATTCACCTACCATTGGTCTCAGCGAACTATCGCCAGTATATGTCTGTGGCTAGCGAGCAATATGATTAACAAAAAATGTAAACAATTAGAACTTGACATATTTGTGACCAGTCAGCAGGTGGTGAGACGGGCACTCAGTCTTGAGTTCTTTTTGCAGAATACTAGTTTTATTAAGTGTTGTACTTGATTCTTTCTTAAACTTATAATTGCTTTTAAATACTAAATTCTCACACTTACTTATTGTAAACTGTTTTCTATTTGTGAAGACATGTTAATGACTAAATGTAACCTATACAATATTAAATCAATTTGTAAAGCTGTTGTTCTTCCAAGATCAAATAAATAAATAAATTACAGGCAGATAGGATTTACTACTACTAATGAAGGTTTACCTATCAAAAGAATAGAGAAGATTCGCTTTGATAGAAATGTGTAAAAAACTAGGGAAGTCAAAGGACAACCTAAATGATATTTCTCTTATCAACAACAAATTTAAAAATGTATTTCATCATCATTATCATCAACAGCCTTTAATAGTCCACTGCTGGACATAGGCCTCCCCCTAGAAAGGAGGTTTATATAAACAATTATATAAAATATTTTAATACAATATTCTTTTTTTAGTCTTGAATATAAACTTTTATTTTATTTTTAGTATACTATATAAAAACTGAATAAAAGTCATACTACATACTGCTTTAAAACTTTATTATTGTATGACTTCATCATTTTGGTTTAGGTTAAAGATAAGACCTTTTAATACAGATAGATATTTTGCTAATTAAGAGTTACTATAAATTATACATATTGTTAGTCCAGATGTGACATCTCGTAACTACTTTTTCGGTAAAGCTATATTTTTTGTGAAATATTTAGTTTAATGTTTTTTTTTTATTTTATTTATGAAGTATATACATATTATTCATTTATTTTTCTTAACAAAAGACAACTCCCGCATTAGGAATATATTCTGTTTGAGTGAAAGATTGAATGATGGACACAAAGAACACCAAGACTCAGAACAACAATTTGTAGATCACACAATGTGTCGTCCCAAGTGGGAATCGGACCCACAACACTCAGAATAGTAGTAAGTTTAAAAATGATGTGTACCTCCTCCTTATACCTCCTTTATTAAGTATTTTGTGATGCTTCTGAAAAGTTTATCAGTTTGCAAGTACGAGTTGTCACAACTAAACCAACAATATTATAAGTATAATTATTTCATAAGTATCATACCTGCTTTCATTACATAATTAGTACTATTTTATATAATAAGTAAACCAGGGTATTCACAGTTCACACCAAAATGGTGACAAAAAAATTTAAGACGCCTCAAGAAATAAATACTAATTTATATATGTGCTGTGTACTGTTTATATATTATGATTTAGCATTAGGTTTCAACTTTGATGTTGATGAAACAAGGCCTTATTAAATTTGTTCTTCAGTAACATTTTGTAAATCAATTAAGTAATCAATTTATATGATGATCAATCAAATATTTTTGTAAGCAGTTGCATTTTGGTGTACAAACACATGCTAACTTAGCATTAACATAGTTGTAGGTAAAAGCTTGTGTGTCATCACTTTACTGTTACTATGCCATGATCTTTAGACATGCTAATATGTTCACCTTTAAGCATTTCATATTTTTATCATTCGTTAAACAAAGTTATACAAAAATAAACCAAGAGGCTATTGATATTACATCTAATTTGCATTTCAGTAAAATCACAACTACTGATAATAATAAACTCTTTGTACAACAAGTATCATTTTAGTTGCCAGTTCAAATATTTACATAGGTACTTGTTACGTGTTTCCTGGCAACTCTTGATGGTATTATTGTGTCAGCAAATAGTATTGTTATGTTAAGGTAATGCTATGTGCAGTAAAGCTTTATGTGAAAGTCAGCATTGCACCAGACTGACCTAATACGCGTAATGTAAGTGTCGCAACTGCTGCCTACTCGACGCGACCGCGCGACAGTTTGGTCAGAGGGCATTCTCGGAATATGTTAGTGAGCGATGTTTGCGACGGTACAGAGTAACGAAGCGACTATGAGCGCGAGCAGCGAGTTATCGACGTACCGGAACACACATGAGTTTTCCTTGAAATACGGTCGGCATAGCAAACCGACGCCGGCGGGCCGCGGCATCGCGCCCTCCACGACTCGCGCCAACCGTCCCGCGCAAAAAAATAACACCATATATCACCACATACTAAAGTCACCCTTAAGACATTACACTTAAGATTCACATCCCCTTGGGTACACATAAGCAATATCAACTGTCAAAAATTAAGCAGACACACGCGTAACCCGAGGGAAACTACATTTCAAACGGCTTTTAAAATGGATGTAGTGCAACGCAGCGCGAGAGAGCGCGCCGCGCGGCCTCGGGCCGCTGCATTTCGCCTTGCGGCGGTAGCTCTAACGCGACCGTACAAAAGATGACCTAAAATTGAACGCAAGCTACGTGCTTAGCTAGAATCTACAACTGTTTTCTAAACAATTCTGACATGATCGCCGTGTCGGTATACACATGAATATAATATACATCGTATATACTTACATATGAGCCGTCCGCGAGGCCCCCACACTTCGCTTATCACAAAAATAAGTAACTATATACTAGTCACTGAGACGACCACTATGTTCGTCACTCATAGGTTTAACTCTTAATGAAACATACGTTCAAATTGTCCAACAAACCCATTGTCCCAAATAATTCTGGGTTACTAATGCAACGTTTGATACACTTTTTAAAGTTATCTATACACAATTGATAAATAAAATCGAAAAAGTAACAACAAACACAAATCTGTCACACAAGATGGAGATATTTCACGATAGTTTATGTTTTGGTCACTGGGGGGCGTTCGCGGTGTAATCAAGTGGAAGGGGCACGACTTCCCATTGGTTCATAAAAATGACGTTCCAATCCATGCAGTAACACTAGTGAGTTCTTTTTTCCCAAAACGTCTTAGTAAAATTACTCAATAAAGTCTAAGACAAAAGAGTATTTATGTTATAAGATATCCATACAACAATTTAAAATACACAGAATAATAAAGCTTTTGTAATGAAAAGAAAAATATTTCGTTCCTCTAAATATCTGCATCTAAACGATCTCATTTTGACAGCTCTAATGTCATAAAACAGAACGTTGATAACATGACCAAATGTAGTTTACCTATTTTTTGCCAGTAACAACAAGCATTACTGTTATACTTGTTTTGGTCATACTTCTTTTATGCCTAACCAACAAATATGTGACAACGTATATACAGATCATGTACTTATCTAGACGTGTTTGCTATTATAGGAGGGAATAAATTTTGGCGGTAAAAACCTCATTTACTTACCAAGCCCATGTCTTCAATCCTGCGTGATAGCGATAGGGACAGACCGCGGTCTTGAATATCCAAATAAAAACAGAAATTTCTCCTTACTGTAACACACCAATTATAATTCAAATCTAGGTATATCCACTATTTCATATAAATAGGTCACATTGAAAAGATGACGCACGTACCTCTATTAAACTTTTCGTTTAAATTCAAAGTAGATACCATTTTTGTTATAATTTATGTGACATTTCAATATTCCACTAGGTATTACAGAAGAAATTTTGCTCCCATGGTTCTATAAATGCATAACTTTGGTATTTTTACTAAATTAAATTATATAAGTTAGGATTAGACCAAATTAATTAGACAAAATACATTTCGTAAAAATACGTTTCGAACGTCGAAATGTCATTGACAGCTGAGAAGAATAGATAAAAAGAGTTGACGTAGATCTATGGTAACTGATCGATATTACAATCGATAATTAAGTTTTTCACAGGATATTTGAGTTTTAATGAAGTAATTTTATTTATTAACAGAAATAAAAAAAAATAAGCACAAATACGTCTAAATAAAAGATTTTCATCCTATGATTATGGTCAATATAAAGAATTTGTAAGTCGTGTTCTTAGTATGTTGTTTTTTTATATTACGTCTAAAAACTAAAACCACAAATAATTTAAACTTGTAAATTGTGTGCATGAACACTTTGTTGAATCCTTTGACGGTTACGGTTTTCAAAAATTATCTTTTTTTATTAAATAACTTGAATTGAACTGCATTTATAGGCATAACAAAGTTAATGTCGTACATTTGCTAATTAGTTCACCTTTAGTAGTGAATCGCGTTCATATTGAATTTAAACAACTGTCTACCCTTTCTATAACAAAGAGCGGTTGAATAAAACCCAATAGCTGTAAAATCAACTCCATTCGTTTCCATAGTCCCCGCCCGACGCTCCGTGCGCGTATGTAGGCATCGGCAGTACATGACCGGCTATATAGTATTTTATTGATTGCTCACGTGTTTGTATATAGGGACGTGGACGTTACCTAGATAACTAGGTATGCGCGCCCGGCCCGTTTATTTTGCGATGTAATAGCTATGTAGGTCGCCTGGATTTCAATACTGGGTAAAGCCCAGCGAGCTCAAAAAGTTAAACCGAAATAAATGTAAAATGTTCTATAGTTGACTTGAATTTTGTTTTTGTATCTATCAACGAGTTATTTTTTTCGTAATTATGCAAATTCGTAGTCATAGATTTAAAGTTATCGAACCAATATTTGTTGGAAATATCTACTGCCTATTAACAACTTAATAGTAGATTTATGTGAAAAAAATTACCAGAATCTTTGAAGTTAAAGATATCTACTTAGCTATGAAATGACATGATTGATTTATTCAGAATTATGAAATCAAGCAAATCTAAATAACTTTTTAAAAGTTACTAATATAATAATATATTTACATAATTATGAAGGTACGTTTAATTTGTAACAAGTAACATCGGGAGTTATATATAATGCGGTTCTTTTATAATGTACTATTATTATAATATATTAGGTTTTTTTATGAAGGTTTTTTTTTAAGAAGATTGAATTTTTTATGATCGTTCATCAGTACCACCTTCTTCCTTTTTTTTTTAAATAACACTCGCACAAGGAATATATCCTGTGTCGCAGGGGACTTCAAACATACATGAAACAGACAGACCCAGACCCAAAACAACAATTTGTGGACCACACAAAATGTCGTCTCATGTGGAGATCGGACCCACAACACTGTGTAGTAGTAAGAGGCGTGGCGACTGCTTAAACCACTACGCCATCCGTGCAGTCTTTCTTAACCCTATTTGGCTTCGGATTTAAATGTAAACCTGTATTGTAGCCTGTGTCCCAGCCAAACGTATTTACAATAATGTATAGAGCTCCTGCACTTCACAATTTCAAACATAAAAGAAAGATAGAAAAAAATCGTTGATAAGCTAGTTAAAAATACAAATAAACAGAAAACTTCTATTTTCTTCTTTTATTCTAAGTAAGTTTAGTTCCATTTACATAACATTGGGCAAGCCTCTGACAATCGGCCATCATCACCGTCATCATCAGCCTATCGCAGTCCACTGCTGAACATAGGCCTCTCCCATTGCACGCCACTTAGATCGATTTTTAACAATCGGCCATACATATGTCTAAATAAATATACTATTAGATTTTAAATATGTTTATACCATTATGTTTATGGAAGAGGGGGCAAACGAAATCGACGGGTCATGGAAAATGACTACCGCCGCCCATTGACGCCTGCAACTCTTAGGAAAGAGTACCCAGAGTACACAGAGAGTTTGTAAAAATTACACCTAAACACAGAACAAATGATCGTACTTATAATAATATTTGTCCTGGGTGGGAATTCGAAACACGACTCTGGGCTTAGCAGTCAGGATCTACCCGTCGTTTTTAACAAAATGATATTGTAAATTATAAGTTTTTTTCGAATAGCAACACCACGTCAAAATTTAAAATCATTACAGGGACTGCTTTTTAAGTGTCTGCGTCACTATTATTGTTGAGAGATGTTCAAATCTAAGCGCGTATTAAGAAAGAGTTAAAAACACTATCTGATAATGCTTAAATGGCAAACCTCACTTTTCACGTTCATCCCGGGCTACGGAAGAAGTGGTAATGTTTGCACAGTTTCTTCCCTTATTCCGATGATTTGCTAAAGAAATGGCGCTTTCACTAACTTGACCAACAGCGAACGAGCAGCTCTTAAAAGCTGCAAGAAACAAAATATCTTTAAATACATAGCCAAGTTAAGTTTTTCGCTGGGAAAAGGAAAATTCGTCTTCTAACAGACAGGGTCTATAAAAATACTGTCCGGGAGTTGCTGGCTTGAAGGTTGCATTGGTCTAATCAGGAAGACATAATCTTGTTTTAAGCAGTTAAACGAGTTGCCTCGTCTACGTTCCTTTCTATCTATCCTATGTGTCTGTAGTGTTCAAAGAGTAATAAAAGCCAGCCACAAGTACAGAAGATTACAGCTGCTTACGATGAACCATTTAATTATTTTTAAATTACTCACTATATGTCTATTTAATTACTAATTTCGTTTTTTTCGGTACTGCTAAGTATCCTAAGTCACCCAGTTTCAATTTTAAAGCTACTTTAAAATCACGTTCACGCGTTTTTTATAAATTAACAGAATATTTTATGGTGTCTGAAAAACAATTGCCGAGCATATTAACGAATAGACATCGTCGGATATAAAATACCAGACTCAGTGCAACCGCATACTGATTATCCGTCTTCGTTGGCGTCAGTAAAACTGCAATCAATACTGCTGCGAGATACCTACTAGCGTATTACATATACATAATATTAATATAATAATAAATGGGTTTTCTCTTATTTCTTTGCTCTTTTAGTCCTAATCACCCTGAGCTTTTCACAAGGTTCAATTCTAAACCAATTTTTACATATGTGTAAAATAACTTACAACGACACCTTTATAATAATAATACATATTAGGGTAGTTGACTGTATCATAAATAAATAAAAATGTCTGCTTTATTATAAATGAATCAATCAATCAATGAAATATAATTATTCCAGCTTTTATAGTCAAAAAACATTGAACTATATTCTTCAATTGAGTGGTCCAAAATAGTGACGTCATAAGTTGCTATTTAGTACATTTTTAATACAAAATTATTTTCGTTTTGACAGATGATAAAAGTAACTAATTTGACATGATTTAAACTACGCTCTCTTAAAAATATTGCATTGGATTAATACTAACATTGGAATATTAAACGAGAAAACGGCAAATTGTGTCAAATTAGTTTCCTGTAATGTCAAAGGAGTTTTAAATACAAAACATACTTTTTTATAATCTGTAGCGGATGTTTTCTTTAAACTTATATGGGTATAAAATTCACTATTCAAAATCAGATAAATAAGTTGAGTCTTAAGTAATCTCAGTGTTGAATGCGAAAAAGTGTGCGTTACCCCAGCAAAATAATGTATCTACATATTTATAATTTTAGCGGACCAGTGCAGATTTTCTGTTGATTGTAGCTCCGGTAGTTAAAAAGACTAAAGAAATTATAAGTAAAGAAACTAGTGCTTAAGATCAATTAGGAAAAAAAAAACAAAATAAATAATAGGTAATAATAATGAATAAATATTGAATGTATTTAACACTGCACGCAACTGTACCGAAATCGTAAGGTGTATTACACTAAACATTTTAAAAGACAGCGCAATGTACTGGGTGATCGCTTTTTTGTAACCACCTAAACATGGTCTGATTACCACGGACTTGCACCTTCTAATGACTTTTATTTAATTATCTCGTAAATTATTACTTGTACGACGCTGAAGTTCTACAGGTAGACAACTGAACTAAACAACTAATTATTGGCATAACATTCAGTTTATATATCCACACACAGGTTTATCGGTGGCCAAAAAAGGCCGCACACATTGTGATCGCGAACGTGGAGAGCTACATTTCATCATAACTTTTTAGTCACTTACAGTATTCTTATGAAAATTCGTATACATTTGAAGGTAGTTACAAGCAATAGAATAACGTTTCAAGTAAGTCTTTAGAGGTCTTATTTTAAGTGTTAGGACGTATTGAAGTATTTTCATACTTACCTAAATAATTTTTAAACGGTTCATTATTTTTGTTATTTTGTTGTCGAACAAATTAAAACTAATCCTTAAGAAGTTATGTACAAAAGATGGTTACAATCCGCTTACCCGTTTCAGAGATCCAGCAAACCCACAAACGTTACTCCAGCAGGATCTCGAATAACTTCGCAGCCGAAGAAAATACAAATACCAAATAAGTTGTAACATTTACCTAGTCCGGATAACTAATTATTTAGCTCAAATTTATTTCAATATTACAATTAAAAAAGAAAATGTCTGGCTGCGGTAACGTTTCAAAACGTTGCCCCAGCAGGAAATGTTTTTTTGAAATAGCTAAAAAAGTTTAAGTGAAACAAATTTAAAAATGTGCCTAACAATTACAGAAGGGGAGCAACTAATTATCTATAACGTTTAAATGACCATTTTCGACATTATTTTGCTGGGGTAACGCACACTGCGAAAAATGCAATCAAACATTAAAACGTTTCGAGTTCTCGTATGTCTTTGTTCTATTTCCATTCGTATACCCATCAACGTTTTTTAAATTTTTCAATCATCCTAAGC